CCCCCTTCCTCTCTCATCTTTCGCGCCACCCGGCAGTTGCGCTGATGAACAGTCACGACGCTTACTCTGGTTACCGAAGCCTCTTGCCCGCAGGGGTGGAGGGCGAGAATGCAGTGGCAGCAAGCATTGCTCTTCAAATCCCACTGCTCTTCCCAGGCGCGAGTGCCAAAAAGGTCAAGATTCCCATCCACTTTTCAATCTGCGGAAAGGACTCGGTCGCTCCTGCCGCTCCAACGCTCAAGTACGCCAAGCAAGCTGCAAAGGGAGAGATCGAGTATTACGAGGATTTCGGTCATTTCAGCATCTATCAGGGAGAACAGTTCGACGTCGTCACTGCCAAGCAGCTGGACTTTTTGAGCCGAAATTTGCCACTGGAGGCATAAGCGGCTGCAGCCAATCAAAAGTCATCAAACACGCTCTCCATACCGCTGCTCGGCAGGACACTTAGAGGCAGGACCACGATGAATGAAGCTGTCATTGCGCGAACCCTGTGCGAGTGCCGTTGAAAGAGGGTGTGGACAAGTGTGAAGAGAGGGAATGTAAAGGCGTCGAAGGTGCCTCGAATAAAGGTGATGCTAGGTATCAAAAGAAAGTGGTGAAGAGAGTGTCGCGTGCGTTTGTCAAATGGCGCTGAAAGAGGGGTTCGCTCAAGGTGCACCACGCGCGGCAGAGCGCAGGTTGCGATGAGATTTACGATGGGCCAAACGATTGCTGGGAGAGTCCACGACGGCGCGTCCTGCCTCTTCAGCAGCAGACATCTGCAAAGCCGTCGCTTCTTTGCGGGAGGTGAAAGCCTCGTCATGGTCGGCAGCAGCAGCAGCTGTAGCAAGAACTGTAGCTCGACCTGCCGATCTTCCTACCGTGACAAAGCTCTTTGACTTCTCGTTCGACTTGTTCGCTGTGTTGGAGAGGTTATGGGATGAGCGCGACTTGTGCTGGACGAGCCTTGGCAGCTGTGAGGTCGGTCGAGACAAGACAGTGGATGCTCCTTCTGTCGTCGTGAACGGGTCGTCGTCTGCGTGGCCGGAAGCACGCGAGCGCGCTGATCTGCCCGACATTTGCTCGCGCTCTGCGCTGCGACGACGCGAGGGGGAGATGACGCTGGAAGAAGAAGTCGAGGTCACGTCACGGCCAAGGCCGATCGCAGATGAGGCCACAGCGGCAAGACTGGGCAGCGGCGCGGCGTTGGGGCTCGCGTCGATAGATGTGGACGGCTTGAAGGGAGCCACACGACGACGTCCCGATTTGAAGCTAGGCTTCGGGGTGGTCAAATTGTCCTCGCTCGCAGTTTCCGGGGCATCGCTGCTCGCTGCTGGGCTCTTGGAACGCCTCCTGCCCCTTCGCGTCTTCGATCGTGGCCTCGCTTGGCCCGAAGAGGTAGGTTTGGAGGACTCGCTGTCGCTATCGCGGCTCCTTCGCATAGAGTTCGCTACGGCTCGTCTCTCGAGATATTGCTTTTTCGTCATGACTCTGACCGTGGCTTGCGGACTGTAATCGGTGGGCTGGAGCTCCGCTGCGCCAAGATCGATTGGCTGAGCACCTGAAGCGCCTGTAGGACTGGTCACGAGAAGGACCGGTGGACCGTCGGTGTCAGAGCCCACCGCAGAAGACCCATCGTCTTCCTCCTCTGAGAAGCTTTGCTGCGGCGCCTCGGAGACGGCGAGGGTGTCTTGACCGCTAGTAGTTGTCGTGTACTGTTTGCGGGCAGTAAGCGCGGCAGAGGGTATGATAGGCTCCAGCATGGCAGCTCCGTCCGAGAAGACAATGCGAAAGTCAGTAGCGATGACTTGCTGCTCGGCCTCCTCTTGCTCGGTGGTAGGAGCCAGTGGGCGTTCGGTCTGACGAAGGTTAGAGCTTGACTTGGATCCACTCTGCATTCGAGCAGCGGCTTGCCTGAGAGCTTCGACGCTACGCATGCGTCGCATACCGACACCAGCTGGCCACAAACAGCCATCGGAGCGCAGCACGACTGCGTCATCTCGGCTCACAACGGGATTTGCAGGTAGAGCAAACAGCTCAGCCAGGCTCTTGCGTGCACCTCCTTCGGCCTGCGAAAGTGCATCATCTCTGGTCTCGTGCTCCTCAAGTCGCGGCACTGGTGTGGAAGAGCCGCGACTTTTTGGCGCATGACTGCCTTGAAGGCTGTTGGAGCGCGAGCGAGCCTCTGCAAACGCCGAAAGACTGCTGACGCTCTCGCGCCATTCTTCTTTGGCTCGCCTTTGTTGATGCAGCTTTCTGATCTCGCTACTCGTCTTGCCCTTCTCGTTCGCTCCGGTCTGAGCAGGATCCTCGACTTCATCTTCACCTTGGAGACCAAAAGCGGCTACGAGACTTTTGCGCTGCTTGCTCCTAGATGCACCAATTCCACCGAGTGCTCGAGCCGCTGCATCCGCACCGGCACCAGCTCTCAGTCGAGATGGCACAGACCGAGAATTGCTAGAAGTGGAAGGTGCTCCGGCGGTATGACCTCTATAGCGCATCGAAGCACTCCAAAGCGAGCTCAGCTTGCTCGAGCTCGTCTTTGTTCTTCTTGGACTTGCAGGCAAAGCGCTTGCAGTGCGCCTCGGACTAGCGTGCACTGAGCCTTGGCGAGAACGTGTTCGAGGTGTGGAGACCAAATGAGCTCGGGTCTTGCTGGGAGTCGAGGGTCGACTGGTCGACGAGGGTGCGGAGCTAGCGTCCGTACTGTTGCTGGAGTTAGCGGCGGCGGCATGCCTCTCGCTCTCGGGAGCAGCGCAGCACCTGCTTTCGGATTGGCTTTCATTTTCAGGCAATGCCTGATGCTGAACCGTAGGAGCGTCTTCCGTTGGCAGCGGGTCCTCCTCCTGCTTGTCACTTTCAGCTCCTATCCAGAATGAGGCAAGCCATCCTCCCGCAATTTGACCTAATGAGCTCGTCTTCTTGACCAAGGGCCGAGGCTGCCTTTTGTTACCTGACTGTTCATTGCCAGCAACAGCTAGTCTCCTTTCAGCAGCGGAGGTAGCTCTATCCTCCGACTTGCTCGTAGACGCCGTCGATGCGACAGCGATGGAGCGAGCTGGCGATGCAGCGCTTGCAGCAGCGGAATCATGCTGAGGAGTGAAGATTCTAGTCTCTTTGTAACCGGCTTTACTGAGAAGGTCCTGCAAGGAGTCGAAACGCTCCATAGGCGGGGCGCTGGTCTTGCGACTAGGCGTTCTCGAGATGACTTCGGACTGCTCAGAAGCATCTTTGCCCAGCTTTGCCGGTAATGCTGATGGCGCGCGGAAGCCCAAAGGCGCCCCTTTGCCGCTCTTGGCCCCATCACTTGCTCCTGGCTGCGCACTGTCCGCCATCTGATTGATGGACTGGCAGGACGCAAAGAGTACGCGTCAGCACCCAAAGATCTCCTCGGCGAACCGCTTACACTCACTCTCTCCCCGAGAATCCCGCTTGTCGTCATCTTTGGAGCAAAGATGTGCCCGACCGGTAAGAATGTGTTGTATCGCTCTGGGACTCAAAGCCGGGAGACAACGTCTCGGAAGAAAGCAGGCAAACGAAGTGGCAGAGGGCTGTCACTCTTGGCTGGCAGAGAGCGTCAGAGGCCAAAGTCATCTAGTCCAGCGTCGACACCATTGTGCCTTGCGGAGACGGGACCAATGGCTTGTCCGCGGAGAGAGGATCAAAGGGTGAAGGTGTGGGAAGGGAGATGGGTGATGGGACTCCTACAGAATGGTTCGGAGGTAGTCAACGAGTGAAACGCGGGCCTTTGCATGCAGGCCGGCGAGCTCTATCGTTGGACTGACATTAGCGACGTGTCCCTTGATCATACGCGGACATGCTTGACGTGCAGGTGGATGGTCGGTCAAGCAGCTCGAGGACGGGATATTAGGGGGGGCTTGAGTGAAATGTGCCGAAGCAGGCGTGCATGAGCTAGGCGGCAGCAAAAGAGGGAGTGTATCGTGAGAGGCAGAGTCCAAAGAGAGGAAAGGGGGGGATGGGGTGCGGTGAATCAGGCAAACGTGGGAAAGGGACGAGCGGGCCCGGCTGGCGAGGCACATCTGTTTCGTTGTTCCTTGCCTGCGCATCCAGTACCGGTAGTACCGGTACGGTAGTCTGAGCGTAATTCAACAGACGGCCCTATAGTGGTGAAGTGCGAGTCGAGCCTCCCTCACGACTCACGACTGCAGATGCAGATGCAGCACGTACTCATCAGCTACCTAGCTAGCTCGCGGCGGAAGCTGCGCATGGAGGCACGCAGCAGCAATCTGGGTCACGAATGTTGTATGCAGCTTTGACACAGCGTGCAATCTCAATTAACAATCATCAACGAATCTTGTTGAAGCAAGCATCCAAGAGTGTGAGCCAATTTTGAATGAGCGGCAGATAGGCTCTAATTTGAATCAAGAATCACAGCTGCAAAGCCATCGGTATCCGTATCACAGCACACACAAGTCACAAATCGTGATTTGCGTGCTGGCATTCGATATCATGCAGTCGTGAGCCGGAATCGCCCTCTATGTCACTCCATGAAAGTGGGATGGGGCGAGAGATGCGATCGGGCCCGAATCTCCCCATCATCTGACATCTCTACCTGCGCTGATAGGCAACGGTAGCCTATACAGTCGGAGACAAGACGCAGATGACAATCGCGGATTGACGATTGCCCGAGGCTAATGATCCTAGAAATGGAACCTGCTTTCGAGTGTATGTCGATTCGGTGGGCAGTCAGCATGTGTAGACTCATCAGACTTCACCGGTACGACGAGCGAGGAGCCTGCTATGTAGTTATTATATTTTTGAGTGTTGCCTTGCGGGTCGACGCGCTCCTCGAAGTCTGCACGCGTACGTACCGCGTGCTTGCACGTGATCTGCGAATCTCCGAATGCCACGTGACGTTGCTTCACGAATCTTGAATCAAGAAATTTGTGCATGGCTGGGGATCCACCTTTGCGGCGCCGGCCGGCATCGTCGTCTCTGCGTTTGCGTTTGCGGTGCCGAGTCCGCGAGACGTCTGCCACTTGCTGCTGCAGATGTCGGCAAGCCTGCTTTGATCCTTGATCACGCTTTACTTAGCACAAGCAGCTATAGGTAGCTAGCTTGTCACGGATGAATGGCTGTGCATGATCACGTCACTCTTGAATTGAACATTGATTGAGAACCTCAACCTTGAATCACGAATGCTTGTTTGGACATGATGACTGGCAGACACAACAAGGTGCATTAATTTGAGTAGTAGGATTCGTGATTCTTATTATCAGGTAGTTAGTTAGTTAGCTAGCAGAGAAGAGAAGAGCGGAAGCAAGGGGGACACTCAACTCAAGACTCTTGACTTGACTCAAGACTCGTGGCTCGTGGGCCTCGGGTGCCCAACATGCATGCATGCATGCACGTGAGGGTGTCATCGCCAAGCGCGCGGCTGCGATGCATTCAAGATTCAATCTGCTCTCACATCAGCCAGATCAGTCCGCCAGAGAGTCGCGGTCTGACGTGAATGAAGGTCGTCCTGCTGATGCATGCTGCTGAGGCCCGGTGTTATAGAGTCACGAGTCACATCACTCACATATAGCAGACAGCATCATGCAGCGATCGATCTGTCGTGCACAAAGCCGTGCGGTGCATTGCATAGCGCGCGCCATCAGTCGAGCGAGCAGAGCATACCGGCAGTTTTGCGCGCGGCTCGCACGCGCACATCGTGGCTGATCGATGGCTGCTGATGATGATGCATGCGATATCGCAGCAGCTACAAATTGCATGGACGATGCACAGATACGCGCGCGCGCCTCTGCGATATCTTCCAGACTTTCCTCAGCAATCTGAATCGTAAATCCAGCTACTGCCACCGCGCTCCACCTTCCTCGCCAACGTAGCATACATCCCACCCCCTCACCCACGCTCACATCCCAGAGGGTGAACGCTACGCTCTGTCAAGGTGCTCTTCAACTTCATCTTTCTCCTACCGATTGTTAGACAGGATGGGCCTCTTGGCGCGTAGCGCCGTTCACCAAGCTGCTCGTCATGTCACGAGCAGTGGCCGCTCCACCGTCCTCTGCAAGGCCCCTGTGACCTTCGCTGGTGCTAGAACTGCCAGCCGCAGCTTGGCTTGCTCGATCTCAGGGGCAGCTCGTGCCTACTCTCAGCAGGTCGATGTGTCTGATCGCGTGCGTGCATGCTATCACAAAGGCTGTCGAAAGAGGAGGCCACACTGTGCTGACAGATCATCGATCGGTGCTTTCATTCTTCCTGTAGGAAACCATCACTCGTCTATTGTATTCACTGGCATCGCGAAAAGAAGTGGAGAGGTATTTGCGCATCTTTAGCGCTGCGAACAAATTCGCAGTTCTGAAGGTCGGGGGTGCGATCCTCACGCACCAGCTGGACGAATTGGCTCTGAGCTTGAGCTTCTTGCATCGAGTGTGCGTATCAAAGCTCGGACATGGTACTGCGACACACCGGTCGTGAGCGTAAAACTGACAACTCTGTCCTTGCATAGTGGTCTCTACCCGATCGTATTGCATGGAGCTGGACCTCAGCTCAATGAGATTCTCGAGCGCGAAGGCGTTGAGCCAGACTACATCGATGGTATCCGGATTACTGGTCAGTCTTGAGTGCTTGCACCCTCTTGCAGTGTCCTAAGATCGACTGCTGAAACCAGCCAGATGATCTGTTCAATCAGATGCCCGCACGCTTCGCGTGGCCCGCAAAGTCTTCCTGGAAGAGAACCAGCGTCTGGTTGAAAAGCTCGAGTCATTGGGCTCAAGAGCTCGTCCAATTCCTCTCGGGACTTTCACTGCAAGCTACCTTGACAAGGAGAAGTACGGCTTGGTCGGCAAGATCGAAAAGGTTGATAAGGAGCCCATCGAGAGCGCTATCAGGAGCGGCTGCTTGCCAATCCTCACTTCTCTTGCGGAGACCGAGGATGGTCAGATACTGTGAGTAGCGTGCACGCATACACAGAGCTGCATTGAGGCAGCAATGGGACAAGCGGAGTCTCTGGCTGACGCTGCGATTGTGCAACAGCAACGTCAATGCCGACGTCGCTGCTAGCGAGCTGTCCAAGGTGCTTGAGCCTCTGAAGATCGTGTACCTAAACGAGAAGGGCGGCTTGTTCCACGGGAATACAAAGGAACTTCTAGAGACCATCAATCTCGACGAGGAGTACGATGACCTCATGAAGCAGGAGTGGGTCAAGTTTGGCACCAAGCTCAAGCTGCGCGAAATGAAGGAACTCCTGGACCACCTGCCCCGTTCCTCTTCGGTTGCGATCATTAGCGTCGACCAGCTCCAAAAAGAGCTCTTTACTGACTCCGGTGCAGGAACTCTCATTCGACGTGGCTACAAGCTGTACAAGAGCTCAAGTATTGAGGAGGTGGGGGCTGAGCGCTTGCGCACCGTCATTAAGGAAAACGATGAGGAAGTCAAGGACGGCAGAAAGAGTGTAGCTCAATTCTTCTCTGAACTCAGCAAGCACCCGTACACCATCTATGGCGACGAGCCCATGGATGTGATTGCATTCGTGTCCAGACCTGAAGGCGAAGTGCCCATTCTTACGAAGCTCATCTCGACTCGCAATGGTGTGCTCAATGGCGTCAACGACAACGTCTTCAACCAGATCAAGAAGGACCACAGGCGTCTTGTGTGGACTGCTCGTGCAGACGACGAGAACAGGGCATGGAATTACGAGCGCGCTGACGGCAGCTTCTCGCGCAACGGCCGCAGCCTGTTCTACTATGGCATTCAAGATGTGAGCGAAGTGGAGAAGATTGTGCGCAGCTTGGAGGAGAACAACAGGATTGAGAGGGCGTACCTGCCTCTCAATGCCTCCAAGCCTGGCAACGTCCCCGGTGGCGCGCGAGCCTTCTCCACCTTTGCTGCCTCCAGGCGGCAAGGTGCTGCTTCCCTTGGCGCATCTACCAACGGCACTCTTGGTCGGCGCAGCTACGCCACTGCTGTAGAGCGTTCCCAGCCTCTCCCCGCAACCAACTCGGAGAAGAAGCGCGTTGCATTGATTGGTGCTCGTGGCTACACTGGTCAAGCCCTTGTCAGCTTGCTCAATAACCATCCCCACCTCGAGCTCTCCCACGTCTCTTCGCGCGAGCTGGCAGGTCAAGCGCTGGAGGGATACGGCAAGTCCGAGGTGAAGTACAGCAACATTGGCGTCGAGCAGCTTCGCAAGCTGGAAGAAGGCAAAGGCGACAGCGCGCCCCCTGATGCCTACATCATGGCGCTTCCTAATGGGGTCTGCAAGCCTTTTGTTGAGGCTGTTCAACAAGGCGGAGCTGGAAAGTCTCAAGGTCACGGTACCATTGTGGACCTCTCCGCTGATTATCGCTTCGAAGACAAGTGGACGTACGGCTTGCCTGGTCAGTAGAAATGTTGAGTCAGAAAGAACACAAGAGATTGGGCACGGGCTTTTGAAGAGGGCGTTCGGCGTTCTGAATAGACCCCCGACATGGAATGGGCAGAACAGCCGCGGTAGCCCTTCTTCTGCTAGCAATGAATGAATAGTTGACTTTTCCTCTCGTCCTCTTGGCCTGCGTGATCCGTCTTTCTGCAGAGCTGTACTCTAGGCAAGCGATTAGAGAATCCAAGTTGATATCCAACCCTGGGTGCTACGCTACTTCTATCCAAGCTCTTGTCGCGCCTCTACTTCCCTTCTTGGATCCCGCGGCGCCTCCCACAGTATTCGGTGTGTCGGGCTACAGTGGAGCTGGAACAAAAGCCGGTCAAGAGAATCCCTCTTCACCCGGCAAGAAGGTGACCGTTCCCAAGATTGGTCCTGAAGACCTCAAGGGTGGGATCCGACCCTACAGCTTGACGGACCACATCCACGAGCGGGAAGCTGCCAGGCACCTCTCCGTCCTTGGCGCTGGTAATGCCGGACCGGGAATGGGCAATTCGATCAATCTCGCCTTTGTTCCCGTCGTAGCTCCTTGGTTTCAAGGAATCATCTCTACCGTTTCTGCGCCTCTGCGAACCAAATTGACGGCCAAGGATGTTCGGAATGCGTACGAAGAGTTTTATGCCGGTCAAGCCCTCGTCTCCATCGGCAACAAGGTGCCGGAGATTGGAGATGTTGCGTTGCAGCATGGCATCAAGATCGGAGGCATTCAAGTCCACTCTTCCGGCAACCGCGTCGTCGTTGTTGGAGGTATTGACAACTTGCTCAAAGGCGCTGCTACACAATGCTTGCAGGTGAGACCAACGTTTGGAGGGAGGTGCTGGTGGCGCGATCTTCGAGAAGCCGTTGACTTACGCTCGCTGCCGCTGCTTGCCACGCACCAGAACCTCAACATTGCACTGGGCTACGATGAGCTCGCAGGTATTCCGCACTGAAGCGCACGCGCCTTGTAGATATTGATAAAAGTGGGGAAATGGAATGACGAAAACCTGCTCCAGACATTGCGCTCGCTCGCTCGCAAAGAAATGTGATTAGTCGTCGTGATGGTCATACGAAGGTTTCATGATACAAGTGTAGTTATGCGGGACGGAGATGGCAGACGCGGTATCGAGTCAGTACCCAACAAGTGCGGCACGCTGAGCGAGCGTCCGCTGTGAAGCTGCATAACGCTGCTTTGTGCCTCAGACTCTCAGAATTCATGTGAACGAGGGTCCGACAAAGCCATCGTCCTCGGCAACGAAGCTGGTTCTGCTAGCTGTGCGTTTAGCCCTCTCGCTCAGCTCGACATGCGGAGGCTTGACGCCCAGCGTGGCTCCTTGTTGTTGTGCGGCGGACTCGTTGGGCTGAGGAGAAGCAGGCAGACCCGATGCTAGAAGCAGAGCGTTTCCCGCAGCGCCTGCCGAGTTGGGTGGCGAAGAAGCATTGCTAGACGTCACTCGGTGCAGCTGGGAGTGATCCAATGAGGCGAAAGGGGGAGAGGCGAGGCTCGCAGCGCCGTTCTCGCTTGCTTTGCTCGATGCCAAGTCCGCAGAGGCCGAGTTGCTCGTTGGAGGTGTAGCTGTGGATGCGCGTTTGGAGAACCAGCTGCTAAGACCTCGAGTGACTGCAGGTGGGGGCGCAGTCAGGCTCGCTTCAGGCTCCGTAGCGGCGGTGCTTGCAGCTCCCGTACCAGTTGAGGCGTCCGAGACGATGCTGGTCACACTTTCTCGGTTCTTGTTACTACCAGCGTCTGAAACGCCCGGTGAAAGGGGTCCGTTGGCAGCTGTGCTACCACCTCTGGAGAACATGCCAGCAAGCGAGAGACCACCAGAGGCTGCAGCTGGCGGGGAGCGCAGGCCATTAGCGCTACTGGCACTGATTGTACGGCCTGGCGTATCCGGCATCTTGGTGTACGCGTCCGGTCCGGTTGGCGTCGGAGGGACAGATGGAAGGGCGGCTGGAGTATCGCTCTTGGTCCTTGCAAATGCGCTTCCAAATCTAGCGCCCCAGGTAGAAGCAGCGGCGGCCTGCCGTTTGCTCGGACTGGTACCCTCTTCGTCACCAATATCTTTGTCGGTAGGCAGGGGCGGTAACTTGATAGCTGTATCCGTGGGACTGATTCCAGGGTCGCTGTTAGGTGCCCCTGATCCCCCTGCAGCTGCACCATCAGCAATGAACTGCCGAAGAGCTTTGAGGCACAACTCGGACGCATCTCTAGCTTCCGTGCTTTCTTGCAGAAGCTCCTTGAGCTTTCTGACTTCTTTTCGCGCGTGATCCAGTTCAGACTCGCGAGCTCGAAGTTTGCCCTGCGCCTCAGCAAGTGCGCGTACACCTGTGCCTGTGCCTAGACCTCCTGTTGCGGAGGGGGGTCCTGCTCCAGGCGCGCGAGCCGTAGTGGGCGTAGGACCATCGCCCTCCATATCAGCACCTCCTGGGGATTCCTCGGCGAGAAGTATAGAGTGCTCAGCTTCGTCTTCCAAAATGGGGCTCGTCATGTTGCTGGGACTTGGAGAAGGGGAAGGCCGAATGGGAACCGTAAGACCATCAGAGGGTGAGGTGCCAGCCAGCTCGGCGTGCGACCCGGCAGGCGATAGCATGCTATGAGCACTGCTCCGACGGCTATTGCCTCCTCCCGTCGCGGCACTCTCGGGGGCGAGCGCAGCATTTCCACCCGTTCCGCCGAGTCGAAGCTCTCGCAGGCCGCCAGCTCCTCCACCCACAGAATCCTCCGTTCCTCCGCTCGCCGTGCGACGGTGACCAATACCGATCAGAGAGCTCGAAGCTGGTCCAAACCCAGACCTGCCCGCGGCGCTAGCTCCAAATGCCAACGATGCGCGCTTGCTGCGTCTTCTAGCGAGCATTTCTTCCTCGTCTACCGTGCTAGAACCGGTATTACCATTAGCACCGCCCGTGCCGGCAGCGCCGGAGGTAGGGGCAACGTTGAAGCTGTCCCGATCATACCCAGCCGAAGAAGGTGGCACCCAATTTGCCAAGCTGGAAGGACCAACGCTCCTCCTGTTGTCTTTTTTGGTGCCAGCAGCCTCGCCTTGCAGGCGCATGATGGCTCTTCTAGATTCTTCAGCACGAAGTCTCAGATCCTGAACCTTCGCCTCCTCATCTTCTCTGAGGCTTCTTTCCGTCTCCACCTGAGTCTCCAGAGCTGAGATGCGAGCCTGGGCGGCGTTCAAAGGCCCATTGGTGCCTTCTTCCGAAACGGAGCGTGCGAGAAGCGCATCGTGTGCTGCTCGAAGCGTCTCGAGCTCGGTGCGCAATTGACGAATCTGGGAATGAAGAGCGGGTATTGACGTGCCGAGAGATCCGGAAGAGGTCGTACTGCCCACCGAGACAGCACTGCTCTGGGAGGCTGTTCGCTGATGGGACATATTGTCTTGTGGAGAAGCTGCCCGGCGAGTAAAAGGCGCCGCTTCAGGGCCCCTTGCCGCGCCTTGATTTGGTCACGGAGGACGCGCGTATGTGATTGCGAGGTGAATTCTCTGGCTGTGATCTCGGGTAGAGCTGGCGCTGATGCTCAGGGTTGAGGGGTGAGGCGTTTGTGCGTACGTCGATCACCGCTGGGGCGAAGTGGTCTGATGGACGAGGCGAGTTTTGGCGAAGATTGGGTAAGGTATCGGCCAATTGCGCGTCGTGGGTGCTTGAGCGCTTGCGAACCGATTTGAAAGAGCTGTGGATCTAAAGAGCTGTGAGTCTTCGAGCTAGATGCACCTTGGGCACAGAGCGTCTAGTAGGACATGATGATGGTCAAGATTCACGTCGCGAGGCTGTTCAGGCGAGCTTTCACTCGAAGAGTCGACACGCACTGATCGAGCAGCAGCAACGCGGGATCTACACACAAGACACAAGTTGACTTCGACCCGAGGCTCGCGACTCGTGACTGTCTGCATGCAAAGTGCGCGTTTCAGGCCATCGGTGCATGCATGCAAGCGCCACGGGACGGATCGCTTTTTTAATCTCCTCTACTCGGATTTGTATTCGCACTTGCAAAACATCTCTGCTGATCTGCCCATCAACGCGGATATCACCAGGCAGCGATTCGCCAATCGGGATTACAAAAGTCAAATGCGACTTGACACCATTCACGCTTGCAAAGTTCGAAGCACATCATCGCACCTCATCGCGAGAGGAGTTGGATGTGGAAGTAGCGTCACAATCACGAATCCTGCCTTGACGCTTCTATGTCTTTATTGAGGGCCGCGGTGCCTGCGTGGAGCAGACTTTTAACCACCTCTGAAGAGTCAGCAGCGCAATGTCGCGTGGAAGGTGCCGATGGCCGCACCCTATCCTCACCACTGTGTGGCAGCAGATTGCATGCTTCCTGCCACGCACGCGCCAACGCTACGGTAGGTATATGGTACAGTACATAGCGCAGTACGCGGTGCAGTCAGCTGGCTCACTTGCGCAGAAGCTCCCACCAAATTTGGGTGTACCTACAGGTAAAGGGATGGCGTAGCGCCCGCCGTCCGGCGCGAGGCGCACGGCGCGCGCCCATCAAAACATGGAGATTCAAAATTGTGATTGTGGAATCGTGGAATCGCGAGCTGATCGCCGACGTCCCCTCTGTTTGTCATCAACACGACCCACATCGGCGGCCAATGTGCAATGAAGGCATCATATGAAGGCGCTATCGCCCAGCCCTTGTTCCTGCAGCCTTCTCCTAAGAGTTCTTACCCTCGCGGGCCATCCCCATCCGAATGGTGCCTGAATTGTTATCAATGCCTGCCCCCCCCCCAGGGCACATCAGCCAGACGGCTGCAAACGAGTCCATTCAGCGCACATTCCCCCTTCCAAAGTCGAGTCAGGCCAAAAAGCGCAAATCACGCAAGCATGCGCATTCATGGCGACAAAAACGTCGAATCGCGGGCCGAAGAGCACAGTCACAGTGTTGATGAAAGAAAAGTGGACTGACTCGCAGTCAGCAAAGAGGCGCAGAACGTATAGGAAGCCTGTCCTGTTTCTTAATCCAAAGTCAACTTATTCAGGGGCTGTCGCCAACACAATCCGGTCATGGTCACCTGCCTGCCTGCCTACAGCAATGCTCTTGTCGTTGCCTCACAATCCACCACAGTGACTTGAGCCAGACAGCAGCTCAGAGGAAAGATGGCGTTTCGTACCATCCCACGATGGGCAGCCTCAAAGATGGGGCCCGCTTCAGATCAGGCAGGCGGGCAAGGTGACTCGAATCATATTGCACGCAACGCTGGGCATAGTGTACGTCATGCAGACCAGTATAATCCAGACCGAAGAAGCTCTTTCACTGTCCCATGCTCTCCGCATCATCATCGACGTTCATCTGATCTGCGTCCGCTTCGCCTGCGACTTGACGTTTGCTCTGCAGCTGCTGGGCCCATTCGCGAGCGCGCTTGAGAACAGCCTGTTCTCCCTTGGCGCTCCCGATCGATTGTTCCCAGGCGAGCCATTTCTTCAGAACAGATTTCGCCTTCTTTGAGCTTTGTCTCAAAGCCAGCACTCTCTCAAAGAGCGACCTGAGCGCAAAGGTGTAGAACGTCCGTTTAGTGACACGATCTGGCTCGAGCGAGCCAATGCAGCCTGGACCGCCCACTTACCGAACGGTAGATGTCTGATCCAGCTTGGCCTCCTGATCAATGTATACCAGCCACAGATCCAGACGCTTAGGATAGCTATCGACCAGACCTTCGAAGATGGTTCGAGCCTGTTCAGGCTCGCCAAGCTTGTAATACGACATCGCGATCGCCTGGATCGTCTTTACATCTGCAGACGGCAATAGCATTTCAGCGATTCCTCATGGGATGTTCTTCGCGCTGCATCATCATCCCAACTCACGTTTCCGCTTCTCCAGAGCTTGCATACTTCGAGGTATCAAGCCGCGAGCATCATCGACGCGTCCCCTTCTGAGGTAGAATTGCACCCAGCCTACCCAGACCTTAGAGCTAAAGCCAAACTTTTTGGCAGTCCTGCGCCAAAGCTCTTCCGCCTGCTCGTGCTTCTCGCTATGTTCCAAGATTGCGGCCAATCGCAGATGAATGGTCTTGGCGTCGCACGCCTGAGCAGCCTGCTTGAACACCGTGTCCAATGTCTCGCTCGTTCCATACGCGTTCTCCAGATTAAGAAGGGCGATCCATACGTTGAGCCTTTCGTGCTCTTCTCTGAAAGAAATGACCTTTAGGCCGCGTCGTGCTATCTCCCGCGCCTTCTCCACGTCGGACAGTTGCAGTTGGAAAGACATGAACTGTATCCAGAGATAAGAGGAGTGCGGCGAGCCCAAAAGCATTCGTTCAAAATCGGCAGTCGACTCTGGCTGCTTGGTCGCAAGATCAGCAGTCAAGTCTTCTTGCCCAGCATCAGCCTTCTTGCCCTTCTTCTTCTTCTTCTTTGGCTGGCCTTTTTCCTTGGTGCCGTTTGCTGCCGCATCATCCTCGGCAGATTCGCCTTCGTCGTCCTCGCTATCCTGATCGCTGTCTTCAGAACCAGAAATGGGCTGCTCAGGCAGCTGGGCACCTTCTTGTGGCACTGACCAGCTGAAGCCTCCAGCAAGCTCTAGGGCTGGCACGATGCGCTTTGCTTGCATGGACTTGGCAGCAGAGTCCACGTCGGAAGCGGAGAAGGATTCTTCTCCATCATCATCCACCATCGTCTGACCGCCGACGGCCCCCGGACCAATCTCCTCCTCCTCGCTGTCGTCATTTTCATCATCGTCGCTCTCGTCGCCATCTGACGCATCTCCGCTGCTCTCTTCGTCGTCCTCTTGATTCACGTGCAGCTCAAGGCGCTCATCCTCATCCGAGTCGTCCTCAGCTTGCAGCTTGGCCAAGAACGCTTCCCCGTCCATCTCGACATCACTCGAATCGCTCTCAGCCTCTTGTTCATCCTCAGAGTCGCCCTCCTCCTGCTCTTCTTCTTCTTCTTCGTAGTCTGCCTGGTCAAAGTAGCTAGGTTTGAGGCTAAAAGAGATGCGCGACTTGGGCAAATCGATCTTGAGCACGACTGCGCGGACCTTGTCCCCGACGCTAAAAGCCTTGAGAGCGTCTGCCGCCTTGTTATCGGACAACTAAGAAACGATCGCCATTGTCGAAAACGGTGCATCAGCCTGCACATCTCGCGACGCGACGCGACAGGCAACAAGTTCCTTGCCAGCCAGGGGTCAAAACTCACCTCGGTCTTGTGCGCAAGCCCACTGATGCGCGTCCCTTCAATCTGCACAAAAACGCCGAATTCGGCTACCGCTCGAATAAAGCCGTCCACTTTCTGTCCCACCTCCAGGTCCTGCAAGCTGAGCTTCTCGACAGACTGCGCTTCCTTGCGAGCCGCGGCATCCTTTCTGCTCTTTGTACTGCTGCCCGGTTCCGACTTGAGGGAGAATTCCATTCTATGCGTCTCGGGGTCGATACTGTTCATTCCAAGGCAAAGGGGGAAAAGAGGGAAAGGGCAGTCAGACCAATCGACCTGTTGCAGTTCCCCCGCTGAACGCTCACCTAGTCACCGTGCCAGATACCAGTTGGCCTACTTTGAATCTAGCCTTCCACTCCTGCACGTATTCATCGAAGAGTTCCGAGATCAACACTCTCGCCGTAACATTTCTGGCCAGCTCGACGAACAGGCCAGAATTAGCGATAGCCTTGACGTATGCTTTTCGTTGATCTCCCTCCTTGATGGACGCCAAGCTTTCCGAGGCAAGATCACGTGCAGAGCTGGCATCTGCGGTATTTGACGCACGAGCTTTGGCCAGCTCTGACGGTCGCATGGACACGATGGCACGCTTCTTGTCCTTGCCTCTCAGTCCCAGCACCACCACATCCACTTTTGTTTTGTGTTTCGGGAGCGGATCCTCTTGAAAGTCGTCTTGGCAGTCGGTAGCGTGCAGACTGCCCATCACATCGCTCGGTAGAAGTATTGAAGCGACGTTAGGCTCCCTTCCCCTGGTGACGACCATCCCGCTGACGATTGAGCCTTCCCGGACACCGGAAGAGGACGACTTGGGTCTGGCGGAAGAGTTGCCGAGGATAACGAGACCTTTGTCCTTGTTCTTGTCCACCACGACCAGATCAGAAATAATTTCACCTTCTTGCAGTTCTGATCTGACTTGTTCCACGTCCTTGGAGCGCTCTTGCGCAAGAGCTTGCAAGCTCAAGAGCGCTCTCGTGCGCGAAGGTAGCAATTCGAGTACGACGACGTCCGTATGAACAGCTGCCGTGCGCGCTTGGACCTTGTCGCCAAGCGACACGGCGTCCACATCGAGTCTAGCCAAGTAGCTGGGAGACGCCTGTCGGATAGAAGCAGTGATTCGTCCGGTAGAGTAGTCAACCTGCGTCAATCTGAGTCTGACCACTTTGCCTTCAAAGTAGGTAGATCTGAGCGACGTGCCCGAGCTGTTCAAGCTCGTTCCGTCATTGGCTTCAGCACCAGGCACCAGCGCTCTAAGCCCGCCCAGGAGGTCGACTAGCAGAGCGGTTGGATTGCCAGCAGCACTGCTCGTACTGGCCCTTGGTTCCAAGAACCTCGAGACCGTTCCTACAGTGACGACACCTACCCTAGCATCTTGCAGCGCGGCGATCATAGGCAGGTCCGACGAGACCAAGCTCTTCTTGAGCGTGCAGCTGATGCGGTTGCGAGTAGGATCCACGCCAATGATCCTAGTCTTTACGACCGCGCCCGCCTTGTACTTTTTCTCCGGTTTGCGAAGAGGCACATCAGCGAAATGCAGAGGGAAGACAACTCCGTGCGTGGTGCCTCCCAGATCCAAGAAGATGGCATTGCCTCCTGGTCCTATGCTAGCCACCGCAGCCTTGTGCACTGAGCCAACAGCGAGCTCGGATACGCGCATAAAGGTATATTTGAGCACGCTCGCTTGCAAAGAGAGCAACAATCTGCCGTCTGTGGGCGCGTGGCCGATCACTCTAGCTTCGTGCAGGCTCCCCTCCTTCCAGCGTCCAGAAGATGCAGACAAACCAACGACATGGTCGTCGGAAACTCGACTGATGTGCACAAAGGTCTTGGGTGCGTTCTTGCCACCATCGACAATCTCGCACGACAATCCCCACTCCTTGTCCACATGCGCGACCTTTACCGAAAGTTTCGTACCGATCGGATATCCTTCCAAGCCGGGTGGGGAATTGAGCTCAAGCACGTGCGGCGCGCGACTGAGCGCCAACTTTCTTCCGCCCTGCTTTTCGGCAGAGTCTTGATCGTCTGCCGGATCTTGTCCCACAGCGTTGGGTCCCAGATCCCAAAGTACCCTAGCCCTGATTTTGGAGCCGATCTTATATGCCTGCTCCATCGTCTTGTTGGGTGGAAGCGGTAGATGAGCAGCATCTATAGAAGCGTTGAACAATCCCCACAGCTTGGCGGACAGACCATCATCATCCACATGGGTAACGAGAGCCGAGACGAGCATGCCGGGGCTGAGCATGGAGAGCGAAGGGGCCGTTTCGGCGCCTAGCATTGCCTTTCCGACTTCTTTCAGATGGCAACTAGCGGTGAAGACTCTTGAGCCCTTCTGAAACTCTTTGACGCTAGCGGTGAAGACCTGGCCCACCTCGGCACTAGCGGGCACATCCGAAATCGCAGCAAAGCCGGTTAGATTCGCAATACCAGAGTCCAGAGTCCATCCGTGGTCTTCCTTGGTCTTGAGAGCGATGGAGAGCACTGCGCTCGGCAGCACCTCTTGCGGTGTGATGCCATCATTGAGGAGAGCGGGATCTAGACTGAGCTCTACACGCCCCGCATCGCGTTGGTACTCTTGTCCTTCTCTTCCTAATGACTTTGCACCTGCGTTCTTGATAGCTACCACGTACACCCTGAGCCAGTCACCAACCTTGTAGAGATCACGAAGCTCGGGCAACCCGTTACTTGCACTCGTCGCGCCTTCAGCGCTACCATCGTCTGATGTGTCCTCGCTATCCGAATGCAAGCGCTGAAGTGGCGCGTCTTCGTCTTCGCTATCTTTTTCCTCGTCGCTCTCCTCATCATCGCTCTCCTCAGCTCCCGCCTTGAGACGCTCGTTAAGGATGGAAGAGATGTTGGTGAGAGGAATGTGCCCAAGAAGCTGGTTGGGCAGCGAGACGACTAGAGCAAGAGGGTGAACAGCAAGCACAGTGCAGAGCATTCTAGAGCCCGGTGAGAGTCGCTACAAGGGCGGGGAACAGGATGAGGCAGAAGTTTGGTTGGACATGTCCTCGTCTCCTCAGGCGCACTGGTCTGCGCTCTCAGCTCACCTTGTAATTGAGATGCTCCACCCTGGTGCGGTCCTCCTCATCAGCGTCTGCAGCAACGCCTGGCCTCGTGTGATCCAACACCAAACTCTTTTTCTTTTTCGCATTTCGCATTTCTCTCCACTCCTTCCGCCTTCTCGCCTTTGCAGCCTCATCCGACTCTCCCTGCTTCTTTCCTCGAGTCACTCCATTAGCGTTGGCAGCGCTCGAGGCGCTGCTGCTGCTGCTGCTGCTCTTCTTCTTCTTGCTGTTCTCGGTGAACAGATCCGCGGCTGCTGCTCTTTCAGCTCGACCTTCTCGCAGTGCCTGAGCATGTTCCAAAGGAGTCAAGCCGCTACCTCCTCCGCGAGGAAAGTCGGCCTCTGGTGCTCGAGCGGGGGCGGGTGTAACCGCTGGTCGTTGGTAGGAGGTCTGACCCTTGTCCCTGCTCGCGAGTCCATGCGCGCTTGAGCGCGACTTCTTCTTGCTCGACTCTGCGCTATCGTGAGGGCGTTTGAGACTCATGATGGGCTCGAACGAATGTATTAGGCGAGAGGGCGACTGATAGAAGCGATGTAGAAGAGAGAGGAAGCGAGAGGCGACATCGAAGCTTGGAAGTGATCGCTGCACGCTGCGTGTGAGTTCAATTCAGGAGAGTCGTTCAGCCGCGCGGTCAAATAATTTCTTCCTTCGTGCTGCTGCTGCTGCTGGGTTGCTCCTTCCAAAATTTTGGGAAGCGGTATGCACGTGACTGAGGTTTCACGCCTTAGCGTACTTGATAGAAAATCTAGATGAATTCGTGATTCTAAAAAGAGATCACATCCAAATTCCACGATTATGGAGAGATCACCTCGAGCCAGCGCTTTTGTATCTCACCCTCAGCACTCAGGACTCTCATACTCAAGAACAGTCTCAAGTACAGGAAGCATACATCCGCTGCGCCCAATCGCACACGCTCGCACCCCTGCAGCAGCCAGCTATCGATCCGCCCGTCAGGCACTCCATCCTCCAAAAGCATATCCCGCAGGAATGGCGCCCAACGTACCGCTGGAAGCGTCCAGCACGGCTACTTCTTTCCTCTTCAGCGCCTTGCGTTCCAATCTGCGTCCAGACGGTCGGCGATCGTTTCATTCCACTCTACCCCTCTCCCTCTCTCTCGGCTCCTCACCAGGCACATGCAGCGTCTCTATCGGCACATCCAAAGTCATAACGCACATCGTAGCAGAGCTGACCGAACCTAGATCAGAAAGACCTTATGAAGGGACATTGGATTGCAAGATAGAAGTGGGGTCTATCGCCGGTGTTCAGTTCGAGCGGAATAGAACGGGAGATGAAGAGTTGAAGTTTGAGAGAGCTGTGGAGAGAGCTGTGAGGAGGTGTCAGGTGGTGGATCGAGAAGCTCTGTGCGTCGTAGCTGGTCAAAAGGTGAGCATTCGAGAGTCCCTTCAAGACCTGCACTCGAAGCCGTTGTCCGCTCCCAATAGCGCATACACTTACCGATCCCCACTGCCTGCATCGGCGTACCAGGTCTGGTCCATCACGCTCTTTGTGCACCTTCTCTCCTGGGCAGGGCTGTCCGCTTCTGTAGACGCAGCGGTGCTGAGCAGTCTTCTGTCCTTGCGCTCATTTCGTCGACCAGATGTTAGCGTCGAAGGAGGAGCATCCATCCTTCGTCGCAGAGGCCCACTCTCCTCCTCCACATCCGCCAGCATCCGTCGAAACAGGGCGAAGATAACATTGCACGATCCCGCTTCGCATGCCCCTATCCCGCTCGCCTTGCATCATGCACCTCTAAGCGTGACATTGGTCTACTTTGATATCTCTTCTCACCAAGCGCTCCACAAGATCGGTCCGACTGGAAAGAATGAAGAAAGAAGAAATGCGCAGCTTGAAGATGACGGACAAATTCTGCTTGTGGATCCGGATCCTTTGGAGGCAGAATTAGCAGATGCTGTGATACAGATCGTCGCTACGCCTCAAGGAGATATCTGCTCCATAGATCATGCAGGTGGAAAAGCGATCTCGCCAAGGCTGCTTAGGCGAGCCATCAATCTGGCAAGGGAGAGGGTCAAGGATCTGTCCAAGCGGTGCGACGCGGTCTTGAAGGCGAACGAGACCAGCGAGGCTCTGGAGGTCAGGTAGACTGTGGCACCCCAACGCTCGCCCTCCCGCACCGGACAGAGGTGAAATTGAGTCTCGTCATATCGCCCACCATGTACAATCACCCTTACCATTTGCATTCCTGCATTGCAAAACAGCACCACCATCACACGCCGCAGCAAGTCAAATACATTCACAGCGATCAAATCACGAAGGCGAGGCGCATGGCAAATTGAGCTGCTGCTGCTGCTTCGTGCGTTAGCTGTACCGGTGCCGCAGAAGTCTCGAATCGTCATTCTCAACGCGCTGCACCAGATGCAGATGAACATTCCACGATGATGGCCAATGTCTCGCTAAATGCAAATCTCGAGCCGGATGTTTGACGATCGAGAGCTTGCTTGACAGGGTCTGAGGCTGAGGGAAAAGGCAGGGAAGGGGTTACGTGAAGGAGAATCACGAATCTGAATGGTAAGCGCGACGAAACGCCCAACCAAGCATTCAAGATTTGATTCAAGATTCAAATCACGGATTCTTAATTCAAGACTCATCAGATTCTTGATTCAAGAATTTCTCGATTTTGGTGTGACACGTGACCACACACACGCCTCCACTCTTGACTCAAGTCGAACTCACGAGAAAATCGACTCGCGGCGGCCCGCCGTTACGTTGTTCACGAATCACCAGCAGCAGGTTCACGATTTGAGTTCGTGATTGAGTCAAGAATCACGATTGAATCGAAGCACGAATGTGGATCGTGAGGGACAAATATCTATTCAAATTCCTCATGACAGCTACGTTCAAGATTCATCTCACTCTCACTATCCAGATTCGTGATTGAGCTCCACGTCACTCGTGACTCGTGACTCGTGACTGGGCACACCAGTAGTACCAACACGCGCCAGACACTCACAACCGAAGGGCCAAACAATCTTGAATTGACTCGACGCTCGTGACTCCACGAAGGACGGAGTTGACGCAATACGAAGCACGGCGTTCCCTCGTGGTCTTTGCGAGAGCAGCAACGAGTCGTAATCCGCCCCTTTTGGGCGTCACCTTCAACGTCGTCCATTCGCATTCACCTTTGCAACTCTTCATCGCTTGCTGCGTACCAGGCTTGCAATCCCTCGCATCTTTGCGCTATCCGATCGAATCTGCCATCGCTTCGCTTGCAGCTTCGAGCGCATCCAATATCTCAGCCTCAGTCTGCATCTCTTGGACAAGGATGGAAGCCAAGCAGCGCTACACCAAGCTGTCCAAAGTAGGCGAAGGGACCTACGCCTCCGTCTTTCTAGCTCGCGATACCATCACCGGAGAAAGATTGGCCATCAAAAAGATCAAAATCGTCAATTCCAGCGACGGGTTGGACATGACTGCCTTGCGAGAGGTTCAATTCCTGCGCGAACTGCATCATCCGAACGTGATCCGATTGGTGGATGTGTTCAGTTCTGGTAGCGCAACCATCACTCCAAGTCTGAATTTGGTGCTCGAATTTCTCGAAACGGATTTGGAATGCATCGTCAAGCATCAAGGCATTGTGTTTAGACCAGCGGATATAAAGAGCTGGATGGGCATGATGTGCAGAGGTTTGGACTACTGTCATCGCATGGGCTGTCTGCATCGCGTGAGTCTCCAGCAGCACCGTGGCTTCAGACGATCATGCCATGCCGCGCAGTGTGCTTGTTTTGACTTCTACGCACTTCGCTTGCGCCTCTTGATCGCTCTTCGCAAACGCAATGCAGGATCTCAAGCCCAACAATCTGCTCATCGCCCCCAGCGGCGAGCTCAAAATCGCAGATTTCGGTCTGGCTCGAGGATTCGGCGAGCCGGGTCAAAAGATGAGCAATCAAGTGGTGACTCGGTGAGCGCTTGCCCTCGATCCTTCTGGTAATTCTTCGCTACACGCATCCATTCGTCTCTCTAACCATGCGCCTGTGTCTTGTTCACCCTGGCAGATGGTACAGATGTCCGGAATTGTTGTTGGGCGCTAGACATTACTCTACCGCTGTGGACATGTGGTCCGTGGGGTGCATCTTTGCAGAGCTGCATTTGCGCGTACCTTATATGGCAGGCGAGAGCGATCTGGAGCAGCTCAGCATCATCCTTCGAGCGCTCGGCACGCCCACTGAGAAAGAATGGTCGGTGAGTCATCAGGCATCTGCTACAAGAAAAGCAGCTTAGCTTGAGCTGAGATCCTTTTTTTGGCATATGCGCGCTGTAAACCCTGCTCCTAAATCCCCTCTCTCTCTTGCGACTTCGATAGCGAGCAAAGCACTTGCCAAACTTTATGCCTTTTGAACAACATCCAAAACAGGATCTCGCCATGCTGTTCAGCGCAGCTTCTCCAGAAACGCTGGACCTGCTCTCCCGCTTGCTCCAATTCGATCCCACCGAGAGGTTGAGCGCATCCGATGTGAGTATGCGTAGGCTTCGTCCCTCCTTTCATTGCAGGTCCACTGCCCATTTGTGATGAATCCGAGATCACATGCCAGTTGGATTGCTCAGCTTACGCGAGAAGATATGCTCGCTCCTCCTCCTTCGTTCTCCACTTCTCATCGACCCACGCTATCAGTGCATGCAACACGCCTACTTCAAAGCTTCTCCTCCACCCACTCCCATTTCGGATCTTCCTCGTATACCCAAAGATTCCTCTGCCGACAAGTCATCCAGCACCGCGCACGCCCTCCTCTCCGATAGCAAAGTCAAAGATGGCAGGCGAAAGGCTGGCGCCGTGCAAGACGATGGCGCACTGGCATTGCTGCCTTCCGATGATGAGGAGGAGGAAGGGAGAGATCAAAAGAAGAGCAAAAAGAGAAGGATGACGGAAAAGGAAAAGGAAGAGGCGAGGAGGAGGATAGCTAGGAGGTTGGCTTTTGGCCGATGAACAATTTGCTCGTCATCTCGAGTCAGAATATCCACGGGTCGTGATCACTACTGCTCCTATTCTAGCTGACTGGTCTCTTGCCTAGATCCCTTGGCCTCATTCACCCCTCCTACCGTCACGTCTTTGGCCCAAGACTTGTTTGGCGCGAATGTATTAGTACCTGTCCTGCACTCGAACCTACATTGTCACTTTGATTTTGCGGGATCGAGAAGGTGAGCGCACCCTTTTGTGTCTTGTCGTCACGACAAGTTCTCCTCCTCCATCCTTCATTTGCGAATATGTTCAAGTGCTGCAAGGGTACGTAGTCTGAACGTGGCGTGTATGCGATGACAAAAGTAACACTCTCGTAGAGGAGAACAAAGGGTAGGAGGGCAGCAGATGGAAGGGGAACCAGACGAACAGAATCTTGACGCGGCCAAAGATGTGAATGGAATTGAAGTGCGAGTTCATGGATGAGGCCTCACTTCCAATCGAAGCGAATCTCGCCACCAGCCAGCAGATCATCATCAATGACCTCTTCATCCCTGCCACCTCTTGCTCGATCGCGTCTTCTGGCACCACCGCGACCGCTGATCGGCTCGTCGTCGTTGCTATCCGCATCCTCCTCTGCTTCTTCCTCATCATCCTCCCCTTCATCTTCCTCGTCCCGTCTCTGCTTGCTCGATGACAAGTCTTGTCCATCGCCAAAGACGCTGACATCATCATCATCGCTCGCCACATTCTCCTCGTCCGAATCCGGTTCGGCAGTGATGACGGGTCCTACGAGCGGCGAAGTGGCGCTCGCTCCTCCAGTTGTTTCGCCGGGCGACGCTGCTCTGCGTCTCCTCCACGGGGCTATCCAAGAAGAATTGGCGCCTGATCCGTACGAGCTTCCTGTGGGGCTCGTGCCATAAGCAGCGGCTGCTGCCGCATCAGGGTCCGATTCTGATCGTTGTGGAATTCGTGCACCGTCCGCAGCCGCCGCTGTAAGGTCCGGCGCAGAAGGGCTCGTCAAAGCAGCTTGCGATTTGGCGGAGCTAGTGCTGGTCTGGTCGGGCACATCAATAGTCTGAGCGCTACCTTTTCTGCTGAGTCCCAGACTGCCCAGACCGAATCGACTCCTGCGTCGAGGCTCTTCGTCAGGCTTCGCAGTCACTGTATCTGTGGTCGCGCTCCTCAAGCTAGCATTGCTGCGTACACTTCGTCCGCTTCTTGCCGAAAGCGCGGGAGAGACTGGTGGCGTGGGCATGAGCTCATCGTCTGGAGGCAGCTCAAATGTGCTCAGAGATGGGCGCCAAAAGTTGAAGTCATTGTACTCTGGCTTGGTCGCAGCTGCCTCCGACTTGACTGTAATGGGCGGGAACATTTGGTCCACTAGATCAGTCATGTGAATGTAGCTAGGCGCGTGGGGTCGAAGAGGGGTCAGCGGGCGCTCCGTCACTTTATAAATTCGGTTCTCATCACTCACGAAGACTTGTATCCTGCAAGCTCGAGCAGCTCCATCTTTACCTCTCCATTGGAGTCGATGGTGAAGATGCGAGAGCTGGGAATGTTGACACTCCGATAGCTCAACGCATCGGTGATCCTGTTGCCAAAGCCCGCGTAGAAAGGCGACATCGAGACAGGCGAGTTGGGCCCCTGGTCTGTTACCGAGGTTTGCTGTAACGTTCCGGTCGCGGTTGTATCGCTGGCTGTTGCTGCACCTTCAGAAGGACTACTCGCAGCCGCATTCGCTTCTCCAGTCGCGAGGTCGATAGACGCTTGCGAGACACCCGGAAAACTCTTCTCGACCGCCCCGGGTTTGAGGTCCTTTGCGGCCGTCGAAGTCGCGCGCGGATCGTGTCCAAAAAGGCGAGCTATATCTCTCAAGCAAGCCATTTTGAAAACTTCTGGTTTGCGCAGGATCACTTCGCGGTGTAGAGAAGCAATGAGCCGATCAGGGCTCATGATTACTGGTCCGTCTGGTAGCTGATAATTGGTTTGTCGAATGCCACGGAGGTAGTCGCGAGTCGCGTCAGCTTGCCCAATAGCGCGACTCGTGAGGTACATGATGCGGTAGCCATTGCGGGCAATATCCGTGTAAAGCTTTGCCACGCCCACATGTGTCCAATCGCGCCCAATCATCGTGAAGACGTGCCCGAGTGCGTCAGATTTCGTGATGGTTCCGTCGATGTCAGAGACGACGATGCGATGGCTAGCCTCCCATAGGAAAATGCGTGCTGTGCAGGTCGCGACACCAGAATAGCTCGAGGTGACGGAGAAGGTGATCTTGTTTGCGCCTTTCCGCAGGTTCAGGGATTTGAGCTGATCCGAGGTCAGTCTCAGAGTCTTGGCGTAGGTTTTGTGCATCACTTTTGGCGCACGGGATGGCATTGGTATGGCAGGACCAGCTGTACCGTTACCCACGACCGAGGGCTTGGCGGCGGCAGGGCCACTCGCAAGTTCGGAGTCTGTGTGTGATCGGTCGAGGGGAGCAGGTGGGAATCGTAACGATCCACCTTGAAGAGAGGCCTGGTCTTCCCTTGCAGCACTCGCATTTTGGACTGCTTCCAGATCTGCTGCACTGGCCGTAGTGCGCTTGCGATTCCAGAGCCGGCTCCAAACACTAGCTCGTTCACCAGCTTGAGGCGGCGCCTGCGCGTCTGTGCTGGTGCCAGTCGTTCTGGCCGCTTGATCAGCAAGAAGGGCTGCAGACATTGTCTTGCGGCAAAGGGAAAGGGTCGCCAGCACAGCAGAAGCATTCTCCCAGGTCATAAACCTTTCATTGTACCTGACGACCAAGCGCTCGTCGTTGACAATGTCTGGATCGTCCATGAATCGCTGGAAGCTGACCCTATTCTCGTCGAAAAGCTCGGCGTCTACGTCGACATGGGGCTGATCGCGAGTGGTGGCAGCCATATGGGTCGGTCGCTCGATATCGAAGCCTTCGTGGTAGCATAGTGACAGCTCAAATCGATGTGAGGCATCGTTGAGCACCAAGCAAAAGTCGTACGGTGCTTCATCGGTCGCTGTCAGCCTGCCCACCGTGGGAGCAAAACCGTCGTCTGCCAGGTCCCCTCTTTCGAGATCGATTCCGCGGGCACGCGAGGTGGACGACACATCCTCGGCATCCAGACTTGTCACGCGCGCCCGAGGTCTGTCGTGCACCTTTGGTATCTGACCCCACTCCCAGTCGTACTCCGAGGACTGGAAGCGATCTTGATCATTGGGCGCACTGCGCTCAGGCTTCGAACCAAATTCTGTGTCCGCGCTTGTAGCACGTTGGTGCGCTCGGTAGTCTGGATTCGAAGACCAATGTGGCGGGTCGGCTTCCGTGTCACTCAACGATGTATCCTGGAAGTGCCGACGCACAGTCTTGCTCGGGCCTTTGTTTCTGGCAGGCCTTGGCGTCCGGGCGTCCGACCTTGGGACAGGATCGTCAAAGTGGGCCTCGTCCGCAGGATCATCTTTGGATCTCATCATCCTGGTTAGCCGCACCAAGTCTCGGCTCAGACTCAGTTGGTCGCTGTTGAGCGATTCCTCAAAGTCACCTCCAAGAGATGGGCTCTCGTTCCGAAAGCCTAAAATGGTTTGGGCGTCTCCCGGTACTTTCGACTCTGAAGCGCCAGAGTGTGAACCGCGTCGAAACAACTTGGAAGGATTGCTGGTGCTGTCACCATCGCTGTTCGTGACCGAATCTGGTATCGAAGAACGGCTGGCACTGCGAGGTCTTGAGCCCTCTGCGACTGCCTTGCGCAACAGCTCTGTACTCTGTGATCTATCGTGATGGAAAAGATCCGCGCTGTGTCGGCCGGCGCCACCGTGTCTCTTGCTCAGAGGAACCTCTTTCGCGAGTCGTTGAGCCTCAGAGTACGCGAGGCTCTCGCCGTCAGAGGTCATGTGGTAGCCATCCATGTCCAGCATGTACTGCAAGTCCTCTTTGCGCCTTGGACTTCCTGGTGGCTTGTTAGCGATGTCTTCTTCTCTGACTTCGCCCGCCTCTGCTTCAGCTTCTTCTTTGACGATATCCTCGTGCTGATCACCTTGCTTTTGCTTCTCAAGCTGGGTTCTAAGAGTAGAAGGGTCTACGCCGCTCGCACTCAGGTCGACGTCTTCGGTGCCTGTCTTAATGCGGGGCATCCTTTCCCCGCCAAGGTAGTCAGCATGATCAAGTTGCGCCGTGGGCCGGGTCCTCAGTCCTTTGCCCTCAGACGCATCGTCATCCCCTCCAGTAATTGCACCAAATGGTGCTGGATACGCCTCTTCCCTTTCGTCTGCTGCAGTTGGCGTCTCTGACGGTGCTCGAAAGCTCTCCTCGTCAGCTGCAGCTTTGACCTGATGCACAAGGCCCTCGGCTCTCTTCTTGAGCCCTTGCTCGAGCTTCTCTGTCTCGGTGTCGTTAGTGCTCGGAGGATCAGGTGGCGCATCGTCGTCTTGTTGCTGCAACTTCTCCTTGCCATCGCTTCGTTCGCCCGTCGTATGCCACGGGCTTGCAGAGCTACCGCTCTCCTCTTGGCTTAATGGAGCGCTATCGTGGGGCTCCTGGCGCTCCTGACGTTTGCGCACAGATTCCAACTTGGCATTACTGCCACTGAGTGGCGCGACAACAGCTTTGCCTGCTGCGCCCAACGCTCCTCCCGCCTTGGCCGCCGCATTCGTTACCTGGCCTAGCGTGCTGTGCGCTCCAGCTCTGCCGCTTCCACCCTTTCCAGAGTCCAACGACTCGTCGCTGGTCCCCTTTGCATCTGCCGCTTCAGGGTTGACGCCGTGACCGCCAGAGGCGTCAGCCCTCGCAGGACTTTGACCACGGTTCTCCGCGCTAGCGGTAGATGTTCCCGACGAGTTTGGGATGGTGATACCCGTATCTGCGGTTTCGTTGCTCTGAATTGTAGTTGTTTGAGACTGAGCATCGTCCTCGGCAGCACTCAAGGTGACCGGCTCAGCCTCCATCGTGACACTAGCACCTAGATCCAACGCCTCTATGGGACTTTGCGCCACGGCTCCGCTCTCAGCCCCGTCATCAAGTTCGTTTCCGCCCAGATCGGGACTCGAAGCTGCGCTGAGAATGGGCGATGTGACAAGATCGTCTGGTATGACGCCTTGAGCTTCCTCATCGTTCAGCTCCAAAACGAAGAAAGCCTCGCCGGCTTCGCCTACCTTCATTGCGAATGGGAGGGGATCGGCAGAGTTGTTGAGGTGCAATGTGACTTTGCGCTCCGCAGGCCGCAACACCGACATCTTTCCGAATCTCACGTGGAAAGGAGTGCTGCGTAGCGTACAAGGGTACGTGTTGCGGGTGAAACTCAACTCGATGCGCACAAAAGCCCAAGCCCACACAGGTCAGACTCACCTGCTCAATTCCGTGGTCATCACTTTCCTCCTCTTCTTCTGCGCCGGTCTCGAGGGACCCGCAGCAGCAATGCCAGATCCAAGAGGTCCATCACTGCTCCCATCATCGTCCACTTCCTCTTCTGCCTCGATTTGCCTCTCCACTACGATAATGTCGATAGCCCCACTGAGAGTTGCGGGATTGATGGAGGGCACAGAGTTGTACACACTCGAAACGAGACGTCCAACGTACTGCATCGTGGCCGAGCGTGGGTAGGAAGAAGCACCTCGCCAGGATATGGTCGCGTTGGTAGACCTTCACAACGTGTGGCGGGAGGGTGTGCAGAGTCCTCGCGAGTATGTGCTTTCTATAGATGCTGTATGCACCGCCGTGGTTGAGCGGTGCACGCCGGTATCAGGTGAATCGCTTCGTGTTCGCACCAGCTGTGGAGCGGAGTGTAGGCGCAGCCCAGGATTGAGCAAGGTGGCGGTCAGGATGGTAGGTATGGTGTTGTATGAAAGCACAGTCAGCAGCTACCGACTCTATCGTTGTTCTTCAGTCACAGTCACAGCATCGTCCCACCGGTCGTGCGTGTGAGTCGTGAAATCGACGCAGATCAGCACATAAATGTAAATGTGTATAATAAGCCTGCCCCCTGCTGCAGCATGAGTGGCCGTGGCAACGTGATTCTGACCCGACTTTGGTTTTGCTCCACACGGGCGCACGCGCACAACTGGCGTGCATGATGCGCGCGGCCAAAGAAAGCCGGGCCGGAACAGCAGCTGGGTCTGCACGCTCGCTCGCAGGCACGCGTAAGTACCCACAGCACAGCATACTGATTCAGAAGAGAGAGTACAGTAGTAGCGAGCTCGTGATCTTGAGCATTCTTTTTCGAAAGAGTGTGAGTACCTTGGCTTCTCTACACACATGCGAGATGGCGGTCGGAGTGCTGTCAATGATCAGGCATGCTCATAGCTGCGCTCAGCAAGGGGCGGGGCTGCCTCGTGCGGGTCAGCTGCTGCTCGATCGTGAAAGATGTTCCGAGGCTGAAAGCTAGCTCCGACGACTCGGCTGCCTTCGCAGCGGCGACAGGTAAGTCGAGCACAGGTCAACAGTCACGAGTGTCAAGGATTGACTTTACAATTGATTCGTCATCAATCGTGAATCTTGAATCAAGAATTAAAGTAAAGTTGCTTGACCTTTCAAAATCTTCTTGGAGCTGTCAAGAATCTCTCTCTCACCGAGCGTGGAAAAGAAGTCACGTGATCTTTCATATCCACGTCAATTCCGAACGGAACTTTCGCCGCGGGGGTCGCAGGGCGGTCGAGCCATCCTGGATCGCGCGCGTGCTGCATGCATGCCGACTCGTGACTTTGACTGTTATATACCGTACCGTGATGTGTAGCAGCTCGCACACCCGGCCGCCGCTGCTGCTGCTGATGAGGGGACGAGGTTCTCGAGGGCGGGCAAGATGACATGCTCTCTGGCTGCATGTATGCATCATCAGCGGCAGCGCTCGCGTGACGAAGGCAACAAGCGATAACGGGCATCAATCAAGCCGCTGCTCATCGTCCAGCTTCAAGCGGCCTCTTCTCGCTGCTCCTTCCATCCTCATATCTCCTCCCCGTCGTCAGCAGAGCGCCTTGTCGAGACGTCCACGAGCTCATTCATGCATCCTGTTCTACGTGCGTTCAAGCAAGACGTCGCGTGCTTCACATCAATCCGTTCAGCAGCGTTCCGCTGCCCATTTCCCTCCTTCACCATTCAACGACATCGTCAACAGTCCGCGATTGGAGCAGGATCAGATCGATACTACGGTCTGTCACACATCGCGAGACGTTCTCAGGCCCACGAATTCGACACGAATCCGGCTGCGGATCCATCCTTTCATCCTGCCAGAGTCGCAGACCTTCCAAGGTTGCCTCGAAGAGAATACACCACACGCGCTCAAACACCCAACTCTGACAGAATGGGCGCCGTAGCTACACCTCGCGTTGATACCAGCAAGAGGGTTCAGGCTCTGAGGGAATTGATGAAGCAAAAAGGCGTGTCTGCTTAGTAGGTCATCGTGCATCGATAAGCATCCGAGAGCGATGCTGACACGGTCTGAGCTGCATTCTAGCGTCATCCCCTCAGAAGACTCGCACGCCTCGGAATATCCTGCAGAGTGAGTGGAGTATTTGAGTGGAGGATACAACTTGCTGCCAAAGATGATACGTACAAAGTCGATTGCTGAAGATTCCCTCGTCTCTCAGATCTGATCTCCGCCGAGGCTATATCACTGGCTTTACTGGATCTGCCGGAACAGCAGTCGTTTCAGAGAAAGAGGCGTGCCTGTTCACAGATGGTCGCTACTTTCTTCAAGCTGGCCAGCAGCTTCACGAGCCAACATGGACGCTGATGAAGCAGGGCGAGACAGGAGTTCCTACTTGGCAGGAGTATTTGTCAAAGAATCTGCCCAGCGGCAGCCAGGTCGGCATAGACCCTGCGCTCGTATCTGCCGAAGACTGCGCCAGTATCGATGGAGAATTGGCCAAATTCAAGTCAAAGATTGTCGCATTGCCCGAGAACCTCGTGGATACCATTTGGCCTGCGCAAGAGAGGCCCAATCGCCCATCCGAGCCGATCTTTTCTCTGGACGTCAAATACGCGGGAGCGACGCCTGCCGAGAAGATCAAGGCAGTGAGAGAAGAATTGCAGCGCAAGGGGGACTGGGCCAAAGGTTTCGTAGCGAGCATGCTCGACGAAGTGGCCTGGCTCTTCAACCTCCGAGGCTCAGACGTGCCTTACAATCCCGTCTTCTTTGCCTTTGCGCTCATCACCCGAGACGCTGTCAACATCTACGTCAACGATGCTGCCCTGGAGAAGCCTGCACGACAAGAACTAGAGAAGGTGGCGGCCATCAGACCTTACGATGCCTTTTACAGCGACTTGGCTCAGGTGGGCAAAAAGCTGCAAGCTGAGGAAAAAGTGAGACGCTCGTATTTTAAGGAGGATCTCCAAACAAGGCATGCGATGCTCACATGCTGAAACCTGCCAAATTAGATCGTCATTGGCAAAAGAGCATCGCAAGCTGTGCAAGTAGCTCTCGGAGGAGCTGAGAGAGTCAAGGTAGACCGCAGCATTATTGTCGATCTGAAATCCGTTAAGAACGCTGTTGAGCTGGATGGCTTCAGAGCCTGTCATGTACGGGATGGAGCTGCACTGGCCAGCTATTTCGCATGGTTGGAGCAAGCTGTGACCTCGGGAGAAAAGGTCTCGGAAGCTAGAGGTGCCGACGAGTTGGAGAATGCAAGGCGCAGACTTGACATGTTCAGAGGTCTCAGCTTCACAACCATCTCTAGCACTGGTCCGAATGGTGCGATTATCCATTACTCGCCAGACCCTGCGAACTGTCCGGACATCGATCCCTCAAAGCTATATCTTTGGTACGTGCCAGCCTGCGTCACCGCGTACATTGCTCAGACTCACCATGCGTACCGTTTCGCTGCTTTGCAGCGATTCAGGAGCTCAGTTTACGGACGGCACGACGGACGTGACTAGGACGTGGCACTTTGGCAAGCCGAGCAAGGAGGAAGTGCGAGCTTTCACTCGAGTACTTCAAGGCCATATCGCCATCGATCGAGCAACATTTCCAAAGGGAACCACGGGCTACCTGCTGGACCCTCTTGCTCGCAGACCACTCTGGGAAGATGGGTGAGTGAAAAGGACCTTTTCGCACTCTTTATACCAGCAATGTTAAGTGCTGGCGGCCGCAACGCTTACGATTGGCCAACGTCCGAAATGATGCAGACTCGATTTCCGTCACGGAGTTGGACATGGCGTAGGTCACTTTTTGAATGTACACGAAGGTCCACATGGCATTGGCACAAGAGCGGTCTTCAACGAGACGGCGCTCAAGGAAGGCATGGTCGTTTCCAACGAGCCCGGATACTACCAGGACGGCGAGTGGGGCATTCGCATCGAGAATTTGGTCTTGTGAGTGACCAGATCGTGATCGAGCTCACGTGGGTTCTCCACGTGGTATGTCTGGGGGACTCGCTGGCTTTCTGACTTGCGCAGCACTTCCCGTTCTTGACGTCTGAACAGGGTGCGAAAGGCGGAGACGCCGAACAATTTCGGCGGCAAGGTGGGTTTGGAACTCATCAGAAGCTCGTGTTGGGACTGCCACTGATCATTTCAGTCCTTGTACCGACTCTCAACTCGCTCGTTGCCAGGGCTTCCTGCAATTCGAGCACCTCACCTTGTGTCCTATCCAGACCAGTCTCCTAGACCCTGCTCTGCTCACCCAGGCTGAGAGGGATTGGATCAATGCTTACCACGACGAGACGCTACAGAAAGTATTGCCCCTACTCGAAAAGTCCGGCAATGACCTTGCCGTCAAGTGGCTCAAGAAGCATTGCGAGGCGCGTGTCTAGCACGGGGCAAGATCAATCCTTTATATCATGCTTCGCTTCGGGCAGGCCTCGTACAAGGATGCAGTTTGCCTGTTGTATAGCATCGCATACAATGCCGAAGCGCAATCGAGTGGTTCAATCACAGTATCCTGCTGGTTCATGACACCCCTCGATGGAACGCGTGTGCTTGCGACGCGGAGTAAGATCAGTGACCAAAATTGAAGATGCTCAAGAGAGCGAAAACGGAGTAGAGCAATCCGACGGGATATGCGATGAGGAAGCGTTGCTCGCTCAGCCTGAGAATGCTGACAAAAATGCCAGAGGCGGAGATGCTGCTCCAGAGGATGAAGAGCGGCGCTGTAATGTAGCCCAAGATGGAGCTTTTGGCGTGGCGTGTGTGAATTGATTGGAGAGTCAGAAGGCCGCGAGGGGAAAAGGAAGGCTGTCAAATGAAGAACGTCGTGGCTGCACACTCACTCGAGACGAATGACGATGCTGATGGCGCTCAATATGCACAATGGCAAGAGACAGTAGCCCAGCACGGATGCTACCCTATAAGCATCAATGCCTTCCTCAGACATCATGTTGAGCAGCATGTAGATGGAGATGTCACCCAACAGAGCGACACCATAGATGTAGCCAAATTGCGACTTGCCAGACTATGAAAACGATCCAAGATGGGCAGCAGGGAAGCGCGGACTTGCAGCGTGAGTGCCTATGCCTGTGCTGATCGACCTAGGGGACATCCAAGGTATGACTTACTAGCAAGAGCAGCATAGCGAAGGCAAACGCAAAGAGCAGGGGGCCTGCCAGATCCGCGTCGTCCATCATGTGCGCATCCTTTTGATGTGATGCGCTGTAAGAGTGGAGCGGGTTCAAGACCGTCAAGCTCCTATCGATGATGTGGGAGAAGTTGATGCCGAGCTCTGGGGTGCACAGATTCGTCGCGAGCGGCAGCGACGGTAACAATGGACAAATCAGCTTTGAATCAGTCCTCTTTCTCCGAACGATGTCCGCCTACGCCAAGTAGATCTAATGAGCCCGCACTCACCCTCCATCAATCCCGGCTCGTCAGGGTATCCACCCGTACCAAATGCGCTCCAAAAACCCATCTGAGCGCTCATCATGGCTCTATCAGCGCTGCCAAATCCAGAGCTCATCATGTTGCCCTCCAGACTACTCCTGCCGGGCCCTCCCTGCGCGTAGCTTCCGGCCCCTGCAGAAGGATCGCCTCCTCCTGCTCCGAATCCCTGCGACGACGCTCCAGTTGAAGAGTAGAACTGAAGAGAGGGAGGTCCTCCTGGACCGCTGGAGGGATTTCCGTAGCTTGGTCCTGCGGACTGATTACTTCCCCCGTAGGGAGAGGAGGAGTCAAAGATTGCTGACATTGCTGTCCACTACTTGTCCGTACGGATGCGAATCGAGGGCGCAACTTGGAACGATAAGAGTACGGATATGGGAGTCGCACCAGATGCACTTGGTCGTGGGTGGCCTGACGATTGTGGAATGATCGTGAGTGTCTGGGTGAAGCGCATCATCATACCAGTCAAGAGTCAAGCCTCTCGGTTGGAAGCAACAGCCGTCAAATGCTACAGCTGATGTGAAGAGCAGCATGAGCCACCAAAGCCTCCGAACAGCGTGCGCACGGCCATCTATTGGTGAGATCACGTGATAATACTTGCTCGACGTGTGCAGCGTGCACCGCGCACACACCAGAAAGCCGCCCCCGTCTTCGTCGCCCCGCGGAGCTTCATATGCCCCGACATTCTCACTTGAGATCAGAGATCATAGTGACAAATTCATATAGCCGTGGGAAACAGGACATTTCACTCGCACCTCTCTGGATTGCGGTGTATCAAGATCCGAAAAGAAGCTCGATTGCGGGTCATTGAACGATGCTTTGCTCTTCTTGCTCCTCCTGCGACCCGAGCGACCAACACTACTCGCATCTTGTGATTGTTGCTATGTTTCCTTTCAGTCTCGCCTTTCGACAAAGTGTCCGCCGGAGTACGACACTACAAAATTTTCAGCACGCTCTTTCCAACGGTCAGCAGTCATTCTCCCAGTCCATCCTTGCCGCTCGAACGCGGGACACTTGCACACGATGCAACCATACGTGGCTCTCAATTGATCATCATAATGTTGCCACTATTGGACTGCAGCGGTAAAATAAATCGATTGGCGACATGCAAACCCTGTTGGCTTGACATCTTCCTTGACGCCGCCAGACATTCGACATTCGACGTTCTCTTTTCGCCGACTGTGCCTTGCCGCGCATGTTGCGCAAAACGAATTCGGTAGGTCAGGTTCAGGACTTCCCTACCCATCGATGCTGGTCTAAGTGATGCACGCAGAACCAAAGGAAGCGAGATGTCGTTGCGCACCGGCAGTACACGTGGGTACACGCGCCCGCAAGCTCATCAGCAAGTCAACAATGTCTGCAACCTTGAATCATCACAAGTCGTGAGTCATGAGTAGATATTCATCTGTGAATTGTGAACAATGGTGAATGAAGAAGCACACAAGGTCACGATCAGGGAGCACGATGAGAGCGGATTCGAGATGCAGGTACACATTCATTTGCATAGGTGTGCACGAATTCAGCATCGATGCAGACGCGGACATGGGCAAGCAAATTCGTTCAATCTCCGCTCCGCTCGGCCGGCTTCGATGTCTTGGCTGATCACGCACTGCATACAACAGTCAGAGTAGGCTTCTTGTTCCTCTGGTCGCTCGCTTCACCCGTCGTGAATGGTCATAAGCTCTCCCGGCCTCTTGGCTCCTGGGATCGTCGCAATGCTCCAGACTGCAGACAAGCCCTTCGGCGTTTTGAGCGGAGTCAAGAGTGCCATTCCTGATTCACGCTTAATCCCACTTTGTGTAAGTCGTGAATATTGCTACTATTCAGGATTTGAATTTGGTTCTGCCACACGCTCTGCGTGCGTGCTGGCGTGCTTCGTCTCGAGCTAAGCACAGCGCGTGTCCTCAAGCTGAGCCTTGTGGACCGTCAACAAATTTTCTATATATACATCAGTCGTCCGTACGTGGGTCTTGCTGGCAAAGAGGCGTACGACTGTGCGCTCGCTCATGACTCTGACCGTGTATAGTCACGAGTTTGGCTCCGTTCACGTTACACAGCTATACATTTAAGGACCTCAAGCAATCGATCGATCGCAGCGTGCCGTTCTCGATCCTGTTTCTCGGGCTGATGAGCCACAGAAATCAAGATCGAGCGCATGAGCACGCGTGCAAGCCGCGTGCTGCACTGAGACGCCGGCCAAAAGGTGTTGGTCCTGCATGAGGTTGGAAATGCAGGCACATCAGCACAGGCTTTGGCTCTGAGCTTTCATGCAGGCGCGGCGCAAGTGGTATGCACCCTGGTTTCAGGACCCCCGCGGGCCAAGCGCATTCTTTGCACCTCGCGCGCCTTGCTCTGGTCTCTGCAGTGAGGCTTCGCATCATGCAACGTGCAGCGCCTTTGTATTCACTCGATGATGCTGTCCTGTCAAGGGCGTTACTGCTGAAAGTGTGTGGTGACTGCATGAAGTTTCAGAGAGAACGTCGGGCGCCGCGGCGCATTACCTTTGCCTGCCGCGGAGCTCCTTCCCTCCGCGCGAGTCTGCGCAGATTTTGAGAGTTCGAGCTGCGTGCTCGTTCTCCCGCGTGCTTTTCGTGTGTCCCTCAATTTGGCGGCGGTGGCATGATGAGCGTGCTGCGTGATGGAGTAGTGAACGGCAGCGGTGGCATAGCGTGCCGCGTGATGGAGTGAACAGCACCCGATCGGGCTACACCGTCCTTTGATTGCTGCGACAGCACGCACACGGATGAGTCTCATCTCAACCTCACCACCCTTCCCCGGAGGCCTTCTGTCCATCATTTTCCGCAAATTGGCTCGACTCGACCTCAATTGAATCATCGCTTTGGATCCGGTCATCCAACGACTCATTCGTCCGCCTGAAAGGTCAGCCAGTCATCCACATTCAGGATTGCTCTTCCAGAAAGTGCTCTCTTGTCTCAATTTGCACGCCCAACACATCTGAACCTATAGCAAACACAGCACAGCGCTTTTGCCCTCGCGCCTATTCCACCAGCTCCTTGTTTCGGCCCGGGCAGAGACGAATCACTACAGCCACCGCCTTGCTTTGATTGCCCTGATCACTCGTCTGTTTTGCACCCCCCCAAGTCATTCGTCGCCTTCAAACAACTTGTGCAGCCGTGCACGGAATCAAGTTGGGCGAAGTCAGACGCTCGAGGAAACGACCCTTCCAACGTACTCGCGACTCGACTCATTTCATTGGCGAGCAGTCAGACAAAGCGCTGCTCTGCCCACCTTAGACCACACACCCAATCTGCCCTCATAACGCGGACGCTAGACGCCTTCGCTTCCTTCTCGAAAGTTGCGCGGTGCGTGCACATTGACCTTGTGCCCAACTGCTGCACGCAAGCCTGCCGGCCTCATACCTCGCTCTCAACTTTTGCAAGCCAAAAGTCACATTCGACCCATCAACGCCATCAAATTCGATCTGCAATCACTGTGACTGGTCAGCCGCTTCCCTCGACTTCGCTGTTCCTCAACAGCCAGAGTCCGAATCACGCTCGAGCATCTCAGCCCCCTCGCGCGAACCTCATCCAGCCTGCAGCCTCATATACTTCGACGGCCAGCTTGACGCCGCCGCCGTTGCACAATAGGCGCGACCGTCGCACACGTCATTTCGGGATCTCGGCTCTCACAAGGCCTTACTTGCTCTTGACTCGATCAGCATCACGGCTGATCTTCCTCCGTTTTCGTGCCTCCATCATCTCGCTCTAGGCTGGCGCCTTCGAATCCTTCTGCTTGGCAACTCTTGGCAGCGCTGTTGCTCCTCGACACGCTACGCCTTCGTCGACAGCTCCACGCCACCATCACCTTTCCGATCATCTGTCTCTTCTGTTCGCACCAGTCTTCGCTCTCCGATACCATCCTGATCTCCCTTTTCAGCTCATCTTCACTTCTGCTTGGTCCGAGTTTCTCTCTCCCTCCGAGCTGTTCAACATGTCGCAAACCTCTGACACTTACGACTTGCCGTTCAGCTCTGCATCCGATGACGGGACCGACTCGCAGCAGAGCTCAGATGCCACCGCAGGCGTCTATGATGGCGTCTTGCATCTCATCGCCAGCGGTGCGACGACGTGCGAACAGTCGACCGTGTTCTGGACCTGGTCAGGAAGGGAAGACTCGACGGCCAGCGTTGCTTTAGCAATTCAACGGCTAGACAACGACTCTGTCGGCACCGACTCGAGACGATCGATGAATATCAGACGGTCGACCAGACGGCACTCGAATCTCGTAGCCCGTGCTGGAGCTCCGATCAATGTGGCTGGTAGCGTGGCCCTGTCCTCTAATCGTTGGAGTTGGGACACCAGCGTGGATGCGGGGAGGTATCGCTGGGTTGCCACGGTGGTGGGCTCTGACATCATAGCGACATCGAGCCCTTTCACCGTCACTCGTGGGACAGACACCTCCTGCATACCAGGAGGCGGCAGCGACGACAGCGTTACAACAACAGGAGATCCGGCGGGTACGTCTGCTAGTGCGCCTCCGAGCACCGATCCGGCACCGGCAACCACTGCTGCAGCTGTCCAACCCTCGTCAGCACCTGCGTCTGGTCCCTCCGCCACTCCTTCCACGCTGTCTGGCAATGACCACTCGCCAAAGAACTCAAGCGGGGGTGGAGGTGTCTCCACCGGAGGCATCGCAGCTGCTGTCGTCTTATCGCTCCTCACCTTGGCCGCGCTAGTGATTCTATTCCTCCGCCGTCGCGCCGCAGCTGCCGCTGGGCGTCAAGGAGGCCAGAATACCTGGAACGAAAAATTCTTCGGCGGCATGGGACGCAGTGGATCAGGGAATTCTCAACACAAGCGCACGATCAGCGAGCCCATGGATCCAGTACACTCGGCTGGTCTGGCCATGCACGAAGCCGACATCCGCGCGACCATGCGCAACCCTACATTCGGCGACGCCTCGATGCTCAACAGGGACCATGCCATTGACTTTTCACAGCCAGGTTCTCCTGATGCTCAGCCAATCAGCCCCAGCCACTTCGCTCATCTTGCGCAGAGAGGTAACAGCGAAGTGCACTCCGAAGCGGACCAGGAATCGTCATTCGGGCATGCCGGCGTTGGAGCAGGTGCCGGTCTGTACATGCAGGAGAACCGCAATCTTGGACGCGATTCTACTCTGATCACGCCGGCACAACAATCGCACTTCAGCCAGTCTACGGCTGCAACCGATCCGTGGCTCAGTGGTCGGCCAGCAAGCGCCGACGTGGACCCTTTCACCAACGAGAATGCTGTCATTGTCACTGCTCATCGCCAACCTACAGCAGTCGCACCCGCTGTCACCGTCACACGTGCCGACAGCACAGTGCGTCGCAAACCTGTACCTTCCTTTCATTCGGATTCGGACGTCTCCAGGAACATTGAGATTGCCGATGCGAGAGAGGAGATGAATGACGATTCAGGACCCACTCACGGATACTTGACTGCGGAAGGTGGCACTGAGTCGCCCTTCTCCGACGCGAACGAGGTCCGCGCGCTGAGTCCGGCTCAACAAAGCAGCATGAACGAGCATAGCATTACCAATGAGCACGAGGCTCTCACCCCGCCTATGCTGCCGTTTGCGGAGCGAGTGACACACGATCGTTCCAGCAGAAGCAGCGGGTTTCCCGAGAGTGCCAAGGGATCCGATTCGCCAAGCCTTGACATCGAGGTGGACCGATTAGCAGCGCACGACTACAACCGACCGCCCTTTGCACCACCAGGTATGCGCACCTTGCTAGAGGCACCTCAAGAAGCCGCGACTCGCAGTGGCTCCTCCCCAGCTGCCTTCAACGAACAGGACCAATTCAAGCTCTCCGTGCACCTTGGCGAGGGCGATTTCCGCTTCTCATTCCCAGGCCAGTGAAGTCGACTGATCCTCGAGGCGGGACATCACGAATACCACGACGGGACCACCGTCGACCTTGATGGCCGTCGCATGCTCTCACGTCGAAACTTCGCCTCCGACCTTTATGCCTCGTCACCTCTTCTTCTTCTTCGTCATCGTCTCCTCTCCTGTATCGGTTCTCTGCCATGCGATCACGACTGGGCTCGTGGTCGCACGTCTCGCGCGCTCCTTTCACCGCTCCGCTCTTTCTCTCTTTCACACTCGGCAGCGCCGAGTTCCCTCTCACGACTCTGGTTGTCGCTTCATTCCATCCAGGCAATTTTGTCCGTGAGCCTTTTGAACGAACCGCGACTACATCTTACACAACCCGCTCACCGTTTGCCAAAGCACCGGCTGCCACACAAACTTTCCAATCGAGTCCTCATCGTCCTTTGCGCACCCGTCGTTCCTGCCATGGATCTTTTCTTTGCTCGCGATCCGTTCCCGTGCCCCACGCACTCACACACCCATACACACACTCTCTTTCTCGCGCGCTATGATGGTTGCCAATCGCCCACAATCAGTATCCCAGCTGTCCATCCCGATCTTTCTGAACTCAAGAAGCCCCCTCTTCCTTGCACGCCATCTGCCAACCCTCAAACATGTCACCGTACATAGCTCGATGGCTTCCATTCCATTTTCCGAAATGCGATCTTGTGACCTCGACGAGAGCAGAATCCTCACTGTTCACTCGGAGCGATTGTTATGCGCGCTGCCTTGGCCATGCTAGAGGGTGTGCGAGAGCAACCTAGCTGTTGTTCAGGGCGAGGCGAGCAAAGCAAGACTTTGTATACTCGCTGACGATACGAGTCACGCATTGGACTGGCGCGTCTTGCTTTTCGAGTGCTGGCATGTATCGAGAGGTGCACACTCCCGATTGTCAGATCATCCATCACGCTCCAGGACGCTCGTTCTGCCTAAATCTGACACAGCAACCGCCGACAGTAGACACACCTACCGTCTGGAGAACCCACGCATGGCCATCAAGTTGGCCCTCGATAGCGTCCAGTCAATGGCAGGCTCACTAGAACAACTAGTAAGAATGCAATTGGGATTGCTCTAGCGCTGCACAGGTTACGCGCTCATGTCTCGTCGTGATGTACATGCTCCTGCGAGGTCCTCATATCTGTGATGTAGACGTTTTTATTTGGTGCAGGCGCACCTCGTTGTCGTTGCATTTGAACCAACCAGCGCGAGGCAAGAAAGAAGCGATGAAGTTGGATGAGGAGCGCCGCGCATCACGTCTTCACTGTTTGAAAGCGAGTTCAAACACGCGGCGAATCCTGCTCTTGGGCCTCTCGGGCTCAGCCACAACGCTCGGAGCTTCGCCTGGTGCGGTGGTAGGATCATTACCTGGACCCTCGCCGGCGACACGTCTTCCGCCCACATCGGTGTTCTCGATCTTGTTGTGCGATTTGCCGAGGTAGTAGTTTGGCATGAACAGACCTGCGAGCAGCGGCACGACCGACACGATGGTAGCGGCGAGGAAGAGAGGATACACCGTGCGGTTGTACGCGCGGATGACGGATTGTCGAATCGGATCTTCCAGTGGGTAATTTTTGCGCGCGTTCTTGACGCTTCCGTACAGAGAGTTGATAAGATTCGGTGGTACGCCTTCCTCGCGCATGTAGTCTCTCATGGTGCCGGCCCAGACAGCTCCTGCAATGGCGCTGCCAACACTGCTACCGAGTTTGCTCCAGAGGCTCAGCAGCGCGATGACTGAAGCAAGGTCCTGATGAGGGACGGACGCTTGAGAGGCCACTCGTGTACCGACGACGGAGCAAGACCCGCCGAGGGCGATGAGGATCTGTACCCAGATGAGGGCGGCATTGTTGGCGTTGGCTCCCCGTGCCCACAACGCAACGCCGTTGCCAACCAGTCGAATGGTCAGACCGAATACCTGGAGGTATTTGTACCGATGAGTAATGCGCAGCAGAACTCCTGCACAAAGGCCGAACAGGGTTAGACCAAACGTGCCGATGTTGATATAGTATCCCCAATTGATCTCCGTCCACTGCTTGACGACGTATACGTATGAGCTGTAGTAAGTCGAGCGCAGTGTTCCGGTCAAGAAGTAGAAGATGTCAATGGTGACTGCCAATTGGAATGTGCGATTCTTGAGGATGCGCCTGTTCATGATGGGCTGGCTTGCGCCCCAAATCTCCCACGCTGCAAACATGCCCAGAATTACAAAGCCGCAAACCAGCATGGCGATGATGGAGGGATTGGCCCACTTTCCCTTTGCCCTCGAAGCGAGACTGAAAGGCAAGAAGATGAGACACCATGAAAGTGTCAAGAGGAAGAGACCAATCAGGTCCATCTCGACGGCGAACCGACGTAGCACGGATAGTTTGCTCTCCTTGTTGACCAGACTTCCATCTGCTGCGATCAAGCGGCGCTCGTATAGACTGGCACCAAAAGCCAGCTGGCCATTCTTCTTGGCCTTTCGCTCTGCGATGTACATGATGATGACGGCAGGCATGACGCATACAGGCGCACTAAGGGGGAAGAAGAGAGCAGCAAAGTCGGCAAGGTGTGCCACTAAGGGTATCGCAATCCAACTCACATGATGCAGAACATGCCGAATCCCCATCGCCAAAGAGGTGGGTCGTGAGCGATCAAGGGGCCAGAGACGTTGGGCCCGATCCAGGAGAGGAACAGGTAGGGGGAAGAAGTAGCAGCAGTGACAAGAGCACGCCATTGCAGTGGGCTGATGTCGGCTACGATGATGTCTGTAACGAGATCCAAGCCTGCTTGACCGGTTGCGCTGATGATTCTTCCGGCTGCGAAAGCGCCTACACTTGGCGAAGCTGCGACGATGGCGTATCCAACGACGTAGAAGACCAAAATCATCATATATGCCGTTTGTCGCGAAGACACGTCGCAGACCTTGGCGATGAAAGGCTTGGAGACGGCAACTGAGAGGCGGCACGATACGCGTGAGATTCTTCGTCATGGTCCTGCCTGCCGCTGTTTCGTTCGTGCGCAGCGAAGACTCACTAATGATTGACTCTGCGGTATCGATGAAACTCAACAGGAAGGCATGCTCGCCAAAAGAAGAAGCGCCGTAGATCTGGTACTGGCTGGTGGTGCTGCCGTCGAAGCAGAAGCACATGACAATGGCTGCGAGTTGAGAATGATGCTCTGGTGAGTTGCGGTACGCGATGCTAAGATCCACTGCTGACAAGATGCTCACCAGCGACGGCCACGTACAAGCTCCATACGAGCGTCCTGTTTCCGCCAAATACTCTGTAGAGCGCTTCCATTTTTGACACGCCTGCTTGCTGGTGTCTCTGATGCCGATTCCAATTGTTCTGCTCGGAATCGCTCATCGAAGCTGCGTGCGAGTCGTCTAGAGTGGGGCTCTTGAGCGATGGCGATCCAGATTCCACATCGCGATCCGCCTTGATTGGTTCGAATCGATCTCCATCCCTGCTGCTACGTCCGCCTGCGTTTGCCGCTGAGAATTCCTCCACGAGCACAGCCGCAGGTAAAGCTTCTGCGTGTTCTCTCTGTGAGAGCTCGTCTCTGCTGATGGCGACAGGACCATCTTGAGACCTCCCGCGTCCAGAAGACTGGCCCTCGCGGGAACTCGGAGCCATCGTGATGCCGAATCAAGGTGAGAAGCGATGTGTATGGGTGAAGTGGTGCTTCCCACTTAAAGGGCGTTGGGAGATGAAAGGAGTCTTGCTGAAGGCCGAAAGCGCTTTTGCTACAAAAGCTGGGCCAAGGATGAATCCTACACCAGCACGCAGGGTGCACACAGCAGACTCGCCGCTATGGACGGGTGTCTCGGGCGGACTGTGGCGGGCGTAAATTGAGACCGGAATGTGAGTGTGCGAGATGGCTGTGCTAGTGGTGTGTTGTCTTTGACGTGTTGAGCGGCTGGCAATGCTAACGATCTTTACGTGAATATAGTCGGCGACCGAGCGGCCGGGCGGTGTTTGCTGATCGATCTGACGCGGAAATATAAACCGCGAGACTTGTGACCTTGGATCTATCGACCTGCGCCGAAATTTGCATGAAGATATGTGGACGTGTGGGTGGAGGGAAAGATGAGGATGACGGTCATGCACTGAAGACCAATTAAGCTCGTCAGCCCATTTGGCAGCTCGTCTCACTGCAGGCTGAAGTGAAGCTAACGATCGTCAGAAGCAAGGCAAGAAAGATGCTTGCGCGCAGTCGCACCAGCAGTCGTGAGTCACGAGTCATCATGTGCCGGATCGATCAGATCATATGTTGTGAGTCTTCTGAGTGGAGTATCCCGCGTAATGCTCGCGTGCGCTTGCGCGACGCGCCGATGCCATGGGCGTGGCCAAATCACAGAGGCTGCTGCTGCTGCTTGCTGCAGCATGTGCTCACCCGCAACCATGCCTCACAGAGAGAGGTGCGGCTGTGATCAGCCTATAGCCACGCTGCAGTCAAAGCTGCTGGAAATGCTGGGCTATGCGAGGGGCAGCTGCCCGCGGGCAGGCACAGAAAGCAGGGGGTAACGCAGACGCATGTACGTACGATCGAGCGGTGTGCCGTGCAAAAGTGGAGCAAGGCGCACCATGCTGCATGCTGCTGTAGGCCTCTTAGCAGGGTAAAAAAAATATTTGTCGTCCCATATCCGATCTCCGATTCACTTTGCTATCCGATCTGACAGCAGGAGCCCTCATGCGCGAGGAGAACGTGCATATCTGCAGCGACGACTCACGACTACCAGCACGAGCGACCAGCAGCAGCTAGCTGGCCAGCAGGATATGCAGCTCCATTGAAATTTGAATTTTGACGCTAATGCAAGGCATCTAGCTACAATTCGCCGCTTCAATTTCAACCAGCGACACGGGTGACGCAAGCAATGTATACCGTACCAATTCCGATTCGTCACGACTTCGCGATCATTCAAATCTAGTCGCGCGAGAAGTCCGTGTGAGCGTCGCGAGCTTTCGGAAGTGATTAGTGAGGGATCAAGAAGGGTTGCATGCTGCTGTTTGAGCTGGACATTCAGGCGCACATAGCGAAATTCTTTTTCGCTCTCGATTTAGATTGCTACTTGTGACTCTTGACTCTTGCTTACAAGATTGCAGATATAGCTTGGTTATGTAAGAATACACCTCGGCGCCTGTAGTACGTTTATGCTTGCGCTAGCAGGCAGGAACACTTGGGCACCGCAGTGGTACAGCACTTCTCACCACACTCAAGACCGAAGGCATGCCGACGCGACCTGCCGCCGACGTAGAGCAGGATTCGTATGCAATTAAAGCACCACAAACGTTAGGCAGCCTTTCGAAGGGACAACAACGTCCCCATGCCAATTCGCGATCGTCCATGCGAATACGTCTAATCAATGTTGAGGTCGCGATTTCCATGTCTCTATAGGTGTGACGATACATGATGCACTTTGATAAATATGTCGAGGTCAACTAGTATTAGCACAGCAAGCTCATTCTTCGTGCTCCTTGCCGAGTTGTGTCAGGCTATGTAGCAAGCTTGACCATTCTGACAGCAGCTTGCCAACCCTTTCCTCCTCTAAACGCTGGTGTGCTACCTCTGCGTACAAAACTAGACGGCCATCCTCTCTTGAGACAGCGACCACGATGCGAAGATCAAGCTGTGTGAAGGCCCGCCGTAATGTGAGAAAACAGATTCGCGGGTGTTCAAGGTGGGCTTGCACGGCACATGCTCACCTGAATCTCTGGGAAGAGCAGAGCACCATGCTCTCCTTGAAGATACAATTCGGGAATGTGAGCCTTTGCCTGCTCTTCAACGGTGAATTGATGTGGAATCTGCAAATAGAAGAACTCGGTAATCAGTACGCGGCCCGGCGCCGAGAATGAACTCCAAAAGCCATTTTGCACGCACCGAAATAGGCTTCCAGCGCGAGGAGGTGGAGTCGGCCACTGCTTCAGGATCCCGCGTTTGCGTGGCAAACAAAAGGTTGACGCTGACGTTCATCAGGGGGTTTGCCGGGCAGCCGACCCAGCTAGCGACGTCAATCAGGCGGGCTTGTTCCATTTCGATTGGTCTCGAAAGCAGGTCCTGTTGAATCCTTCGAGCCGCACCGACCACTCGCAATGCGATGTCTCCCTTGCTCGCAAGATCGGAAACATGCAGAGGGGCCAGGTTCAGGCATGGCGCTGCAAGCTGCGCAAGCGCATCAGAATCGCCACCGCTGCGGCCGGTCTGAACGATGCCGAATGTAGCACTGGAGGATGTGACAGCTCGCGCTTGTACGATGGCCCACGCAGCGAGCACCAGCGAGGACGCGGACACGCCTTCCTTCATCGCGACGCGTCGCAGCTCATCTGGATGTGGAGCGGAACGGTCTTCCAGTGACACGTGCGACACCACAGATCCTGCCTCTGGGTTTCCTTCAGCCTGCAAAGACAGTAATGAAGGCGCAAAGCAGGAACCCAAAAGCTCACGCCACGAGCGAGCTCGGAGGTCCTCAGGATGAGCGCTAGCGTAGAAGCTCTCCAGCAGCGGCCTGAGATCGGCGGGCGAGCTGGGCTCTTCTCCATCGTAGAGACGTATCAGATCCCTGAGGAGCAGTGGCAAAGACCAACCATCTAGTCGATTGCGCGATTCAAATGTCAGCTGCGATCTTTCGGAAATGGCACGAGGCGCTCTAGGGAGAAAAACGCACCGTAATGGATGTGGGGCAAGACGAGCACAATGTAATCGTCGTGCGCGCCTTGTAGGAGTGACAGCCGGCTCGCCGGTTCGCGCACGCTTCGAGGAGCCAAAAGCGCAGCACGTGCATGTGCAACGACTTCAGCAACTTCTTCATCCTCACCTTGGTGAAGATTGACAATTTCGAGCGGCGGCGAGAAAGCCTCGGCTAAGACGAGGAGCGCAATGCGATGCTCAGTATCGTTCGTTGGCGCGACTGTGCTTCGCAGGATGCTGTGATGTTGCAGCAGATTCGTCCAAGCTCTCATCAGTGCATCTCGATCAAGGCGACCTTGGAACCTGCGCGCAATGGCAGTCTGGAACGACCGCCCTCCCGAGCGCTGCCAGCCCGCGAAGACGTACTCGATCCCAGCCGGAGCAGGCAGAGCCTGTGCTCCTTCTCGATGCTCTCTGCTCAAGTGGGCGACGGCAGCACTGGCGATCCTATCAGGTAGCTTGGGCAGCTCGAAGGATTTTGGTGGCGGCCTCGGTTCTTCCGTGTCTTGCACCAAGTCTAGCAATGCCCTGACCGTCTCTGCGCGCACAATCTGAGCCGCAGCAAGCTTGATGTTGACCCGCTTGGCTCTCGAGGAGATTTGTATAGCGGCGATCGAGTCGAGCCCGAGGTGTGCAAGCTTTGCCATAGGCTTCAGCTGAGTAGACTCGGTACGCAACGCCTGTGCAGCAATCTCCACAAGCCTTTGCTGTGACGCAGACAGAGCAGAAGCAGGCGCTGACGCCGACGCCGACGCCGCGTTACCAGGCCCATTGGTGAGATCATGCATCCCGTCTTTGTGTGATACTGTGCGAGCATGCTCTTCCCTCTCCCGAGTGCAGCTTGGAGCACCAGGATTAGCGAGAATCGTTGTGATGGCAGTGCGAAGATCAAGGAGCAGATCTTCAAGGTCCGCCTTTGAAAAGACATCCGCAGCGCAGCTCGAAAAAATAGCAAAGCCCGCACCCTTTTGCTCGTGCATTTCGATGTTGAGACTGAATTGCGTGCTGCTCTCATCAGTGTCGGACGACCGTTTCACAACCGTCCACGGGTCCCGAATTTCCCTGTGCTCCTTTCCCGTGTCAATGTGAGGTTGAAAGACGAATAAGACGTCGGACACCGCTCTGACTCGGACGGCTCTCTGAATGTCGCGGAGAGACGCATGCTGCGCGCGCAGCGCGTCGACGTTTGCAGCGTTGATTTCTTTGAGTGCATTGCGTTGCTTCTTGGAATGCGAGAGCGCGATTCGACAGGGGATAGTATTGAAGACTGGACCAATGACATCGGCAGCTTCGCGCATCGTCCGTCCCGAAACAACCTGGCAAAGCGAGATATCAACATGTCCGCTGCGCTTGCTCAATACTTGCGCAAGAGCCAGCTGTCCTATGCTCTGAGGTGTCACCTGGTAACGCCGAGCGATTCGCTGAAGCTCAAGTCCTTGCTCTGCGTCGAGGCCGATGGAAGCGCGCCAGGCAGCGGTGCTATCTGGGCCAGATACCGTGTTTCGCGAAGGCAAAAATTGAGTGTTGCAGCCTTGCATGCGCTCAGTCCAGTACTGGAGTGAGCGCACTTGAGAGACTGAAATCCGTCTTGCGGCGTCCAAAAATGATGGGTGGCGCGGAAGCTCCTCGTTCGCATACAGCCGCGCGACATGCTCTAGCAGGTTGTTGAAGCTGACGCCGTCGTACAGCGAATGGTGAAGCGCAATGACTAGATGATGTGGTCCTGATTCGCAGCTCGCAAGCAAAAGACGCACTGGTGGTGTCTCGAATGCATGTTCTGATCCCATGTTCAGAGCCACAATGGCTCGCTTGGACAGCTCTGTAGAAGGTTCCGAGGTGCTTATGCGCAGCCATGGAGACTGCACTGCATCAGCGCTGTGCAGCACCTGACACCATCGACCGTGTGTGGCCGCAAAGTGAAAGGTCAGGCGTAAGACCTCAAAAGTCCTGGTAGCGACGTTCCAAGCGCTTTCCAGGCGCTCAAGGTCGATCGCGTCGTTCAGACGAAGCGGAAAAGCGTGGACGTAGAGCTCGCCACCTGATGAAACAGTTTGCGATAGCATGCCCGACTGCAGAGGAGTGCACTCAGCTAGCTGAGGCGCGTCAGCTGGCGAAAGCTTCAGCCTCTCCGTGCCTCCTAGTTCCTCTATCAGTGCGGCTTCGGTCTCGTTCACGTCAGAGCGATTCTGAGATTCATCCGAAGCATTGAAGCCAGTCGACTGCGCCTTGACAGCAATACCACGAGGCGAGCCTGCTTGAATGATGTCGAGGGGCTCCACGAACAAGCCGGCGGCCGACAACTTCTGTGCCAGTGCAACTGCACGCAGAGATGTAAGACCTAGGGACACGAGTGATGTCCTCGGAGCCACGCCATCAATATTTTGGTGCAGGAACTGCGCAGTGACTTGTCTCACTGTCTGGAGCACATCGTGCGGTGGATCAGGATCTTCGGCGTCCTCCGTTCTTCGCTTGGACGAGCCAGATGATCCATGGGCGTGCGCACTTGTGCGTGTGTCCTGAGCTGGCAAAGCAGCTTCATCTGCGTTATAGAAAGCCGAGAGGTAGTCCTCGAGACTCTTGAGAATGGTTTCCACCTCATTTTCTGCAACATCATCCGTGAAAGCAGCGCGCACTTGGACAGCATCCGAAGGGTCGTCGAAGACGGTCTCGATTGCCAAGATGAACTCTGGAGTTGGCGGGCTGCCCTCCAAATGTTTGAAATGCTTGTAGGAGTGCGGTTGAGCGACGTGTCGGCACGAGAAGAGCACGTCAAATAGGCTTCTCGCTCCAAGCCATCCTTGAATTGATCCCAGAGGTACATGCTCGTGTGGCAAGCTCGCAAGAAGTCCCTCCTGAGCGGTCTCCACAAAGTTGGCTATGCCGCCGTGGCGTAGCGAAATACGTGTTGGAACAAGGGTCACCAGAGGGCAGACTGCGCTCTCGATGCCGTCAAGAGGTAGATTGCGTCCGCTCCGAACAGTCTGCGGGGCTCGGAGAGGGCATGGAGCGTCAACAATAAGCAAGGAAATGATCAGCAATATCACGCGACTCACGCCGAACACAGCTTCATCTGACCAGTCGCAGAACGATTTCGCTGCAAATGCGAAAGCGCCATAGAGTAGGGCTTGCAGCGTCACGCCCAATCGAGCGCAAGTGCTTTGCACATCGCTGAGGGGAATGTCGAGGACGCGTTGGGTGCGCGTCGACTTTGCGCCGCGTCGGGGCCGCTTTGCGGTCGACTGAAGCTGGGTCGTGTGTTGCAGCTCGCCGATCCAAAACGACCGGTGCACGTCAGACGAGCTGTCACCGATCTGGGCCAGTATCTGTTCCATTGCCAGCGGAGTTGCGCATAATGCTGGCGCTTGTGAGAGCAGATTGTCGACGTCTTTCATCAGGGCTTGCACAGCGAATGCGTCGTACAGTGCATGATTCAGCGACAAGCTAAAGTACCTCGCAGCCTCGGGTGCTTTGGCATCGCAGAAGATGTGCACGCTCCAAGATGGCGTAGCGATGTCTTCGTTGATGTCGCGCGCAACACCTGCAGCGAGCATCGACCGAAAAATTTCTGAAAAGGATGTCGCAGACTCTATTTGGCGGTGTGCGAGAGGTGAGCAGATTACGGGAGCTTGTGCGGAATCTGCCGACGCCTTTAACACCACCTGCAGTAATGCGCTTTCGGATTGAACGAAGCATGTGCGCAATATCGCATGTCGCGAGGCTGCAGCGGACCAAGCCTTTGAGATCTGCTCTACATTGCACAGAGCTGATTGACTTGGGATCTCATAGAGGAAGTGTTGAACATACGCTGACCGATCTTGCGTGATCTGGAAGAGCACGCCTGGTTGCACTGGAAACGGCGGCAGCACAGACTCAATGTCCTTGGGATTGAAGTGCTCTTCGGCCGTTTGGCGATGTTGGCGGTCAAAGGCTTTCAAGTCGAGATCTGAAGGTTCCTGCGCTCCGTCGACTTTCGACTTGTTCTCTATAGCCTGCGCACATCCGGCAATGGTCCGGGACGACAAGACTTCAGCGACTGACAGAGTGCTACCTGCGTGCTTCCTCAAGAGACCGGTGAGTGCTGCCAATTGCAAGGAATTCAGGCCACACTCCAAGAGACGCTTCGAAGGGCGGATGCCATCTGGCTTGGCCCCGTTGATACTCGTGATGGTATCGGCCACCTGCTGCTCAAGGTTCGTGAGCGGGCGATCGGCATCGACATCTGCGTCTTCTTCTGTGTCTGCTTCCTGCAAGGCGATCAATTCCTTCATATCGGTCTGTTTGAACAAGGCGATGAGTCCTTTGGTATCTACCTTGCCATTGTGGGACAAAGGCAGAAATTTGCAAGGAATGATGTGAGAAGGTCGCATATAAGAAGCAAGACCTTGCGTCGCAGCTTGCCTCAATGTAGCCATGATACCGAGGTCGATGCTCGCTAAGGCCGGAGCCGAGCGCCTTTCGTTTGCAGAGACCGTTCCGTCATTGATGGCAACGAAGGTCACTAGCAGCTCGGATCCCTCGCCCACTGCCTCGTGGCTCGTGACGACTGTGACGGCATCGATGGATGGATCGGTAGAGGCGTCTCTGATGACTGCGCTGACGCCCTCGCTTTCTATCCGCACGCCGCGAAGCTTGACCTGCGAGTCTATTCTACCAGCAATCAGAATAGTGCCATCGTGGTTCATGCGCACCAAGTCGCCGGTGCGATAAGCTCGGCACCCTGCTCGAGGCCACTCCACGAACGCCTTCTTTGTGACTTCTGGTAAGTTGAGATATCCCCGACCAACTAGAGGGCCTTCAATGATTAGCTCGCCTGGTGTTCCGCGCGGCAGGAGGCGAAGGTTTGAATCCACTACGTAGGCGCCGGACCCTTCAAAAGGAAGACCAATGTTGTCTCTCCGGTCCTGCACACCACGCACGCGCCTCGCAGTGCAGCCGATGGTTGCTTCAGTAGGTCCGTAGAAGTTGGCGCACACGATGCCTGGGTGAGCGGCCCATTTAGACAGTACCTAATGTGCGGAAGCACTCGCGATCAGCGCAATGCGAAAAAAGTGCACGTCGGCATTCGCTACCCAGGCGCCGCACTCACAGCATCCGTCATCTTTTCTCCGCCAGACACGATATACTTGATTGGCAGCTCCTCGGGCGTCTTGGTTAGAGTCGCCTCAATCATGCTCGGCACCATGCCTATGTGCGTAATCCCAAAGCGTTCAATGTTGTCCTGCAGATCGGCAAGCAGCGACAATCTGGAAGCCACGCTGACGAGACAAAGGCCAAGCGCCCAAGACTGGACGATCTCGGAAATGTGCACGTCAAAGGCCACTGCTGCCATGGCCAGTCTTCGGTCCGTGTCCGCGTTGGTCAATGGGCGAGGCATGATGCACATCGCTTCGATGGCCCAGTAGAGACCTCGATGCAGCTGCAAGCAACCCTTTGGGTTGCCCGTCGTGCCGGATGTATACAAAATGTAAGCCAGGCCATCAAGAGCTACATCCACTTCTGTGAGCTCGGTAGAGGAATGCGAGGCGACTTGTCTCTCAAAGCTTGTATCTAGCGACATGTCGATGCCTTTCGAGCCAAAGACTTTCTCATCTGCTTTCGCGTGGTCTCGATCTGTCAAGACGATCACTGCTTCAGAGTCTTTGGCAATGAAAGCCTTGCGCTCGGTTGGCAAGTCACGATCAATCTGGAAGCCATTACCAGGCTTTTGTGTCAGCTCGCTAGGAATCCGGTAAACTTCGACGCTGACTTACTGGCACGTAGCAGCAGCCGGCCTTCATGATGGCTGCCATGGCGACGTAAAAGTGTGCATCTCGAGGCCGACAAACACCAATGCGGCTCTCGATTTCCGTGTCCCCTCTCGTTAATAGCCAATTTGCGAGCTGAGTGCTTCGCTGGTCAAGTTCCCTGAAAGTGAGCTCTTGGCGCTCGCTATCCGGCTCTTCGCACAGTATGTGAGCCAGGCTGTCAGGTCGTTCACGAGCATTCTTCTGCAACCACGCGATGGGCAAATGCGCTCTGGACGCATCATACGGTGCCTCGTACGCTGATAGGAGATCAAGCTTCTCCTCCGCAGAGGCGCGGGACCCGGAAAATGCACCAGCAAGGGAAAAGTTCCCTTGACCCTCCTCAAAGAATGCGCTGTCGAGTGCTGGAGCGTAGCGGCACGCCAGGTGACAAAGTTGCTTGTCGAACAGCTCAGCAGCGCGCTCTGAGAGTATCACCGCATCAGCGACAACATCGACTGAGCAGCCTTGTGTGGAATGCCTGACTCCTACAGCCAGCCCATTCACTGGATACCAACGTTCTCGGAGAGTTGCAAGATCGAATGCAGCGAAGCTGAAGAGCGCCGGAGACTCTCGTACGTCGAGGCGAAGTTGCGCCTCACGCAGACCTCGTTCCATCTCTCTTTCTGACAGCACCTTCTTGGTCTTGATCTCCTCAGCCAGCTTCAGCGCTGCATCCCTCCATGTGAGATGCCCTCCCTCTTCAATCGAAGATTGTTCATGCCAGATCGGACGAGCAAGCTTTGTTCCGCCATCCCTCTCTAGCTCGCCCATGAGCACTTCGTCCGAGTCCGCATAGGCCGTGACAAGTCGATACGCGCCTGCTCGAAGCAGCGCAACTGCATCCACATTTTCATTTTGCAAGGAGCTGAAGATGGAAGCGTCGAGGTTGCAGCTGAAAGAGACGCGTGAATGTTTGAGTCCGGTCTGGTCTGCAACACTCGGGAAGCGCTGATGTGAGATCTCCTTCAAGAGCGCAATCGTCGCTTCAAGCGAGTCAGCAACTGGTGCTTTCGCTGCTGCTGTTCCTGCTGCTGCTGGCGGTGTTGCGCGCAGACTTGTGGAAGAGCCGCCCGCCTTGCTGGTCTCTGCGATGGGCGTCGACGCCGTCATTCCACGTAGACACGCTGATTCTTCCGTTGCGCTGGGCGGCTCGGACGACCAAACGCGGGCAGCGTGTAAGGTGACCTGCCCTATTTCGACGGTATGCCTTTTCGAGCGCGGGGAGCAAGAAGCTGCGTAGCAGATGACCCGAATACTCTAGATTCGGGCACGGACAGCTTCAGCTTAGCTTTATAGAGGCACCTAGCGCAGAAGCAACGACGAGAAGCGGCTTGTAGATGGCGTCGATTTTGAGAGAGCAAAGAGCGCGCGTGCGGCTCAAATCAGGAATGAAGCCGGCGCGGGTGTTCGCAATTAAACGACTCCGCCTTTTGGATGGGCGTCTGTCAGGCAGGTCTGCCCAGCCCAACTGAGTGAGACAGAACAACACCAATCGTGAGTGCGAATTGAGTGGGCGTAGGTGTGGAGAAGGATGTACATCTAATCCGTCCAGGTTATCGGTCGATGTGCGGCAGGCGCTGTTCAGTGTTCCTTACGGTGTGGACTAAACACAATTATTCACGTCATTCGATTGAGCCGGCGGCTCGGCCCCAATTTCACTTCAGCCGAGGCTGACAAACCAGACAGCCGACATCGAATTAAGATGACCGAAAATGCAGTCTGAGTGGCTCCGGAAGCTTTACGGTTATCACTTATTTGACTTCACTCCTCAGTCGCATTGCGACTAAGTAATTTGAATAGATCACCCAGCCGATATATTTAAGATTGTATTCAAGATTGTACACATATGGGCTAGACCCTATCGCACGAGAAAATGCGCGTCATGCAATGCCTTTATTTTTTATTTTTTTATTTTTCCGCGGAGATCAGATATGGCCAGCTGCGTCAGCAGGTGTTCATGCATGTCATGAGCATGCAACTACATGCAGTCAAGTGCGGGTCGCAAAGCCTGAGGGCTTCACCTGCCAATTTGAATTTCTCGCGGCGTTGGAGCGCTGCCGGCTGGTCGACCTCCTCGGTCAAAATCGTCTCTCTCTCTCTCTCTCTCTTGTTTCGCATCATGTGGAGCAGTCAATGGCGTGAGTTTGGATCACGAGTCGGACCTTTCGAGAATCGTAAATGTGAATATGTCTGTGATGACGCACCAGAAACAGACGCCATTTGCGTGCTCAGTTGATCCTTGAAGCTTGAGACGCCCAAGTGAATCAAGAATTTGCTTGCTGGGATCGAGCTTCGACTTTCGACGCGCGCGACTGGTCATCATCGCAGCATATGCTTTACGATCTCAAAGTCACGAGCCACGTACAAATGACGAGCGTGATGACGGATTTGGATTCTTGATTGAAAGCTGCATGGGCAGAACAGCAAGATTTCACGCCTTGCTCATGCAGTCAAAAAGTGAGACTTTTGACAAGGCTCCAGCAGTTCATGTAGATTACATGCACCTCGTCGAGTTCCCTCGCCTGTTCTCTCGATCTCGATCTTGGCGCATACACGTTCCTCGCATTATTGATTGCTCGTCAACATTTTGATCCACGATTCATCCGATAAAGAGATCAAGTCACAAATCTCGAATTTTAGCAGGTCTCTTCCTCTGTCCTAGGAACGGCTGTCCAAATGTCCACATCCGCAGTCTGCATGCAACCAACAAGCCTTTTGCACTAGCAGGGAACGGCAAAGCCGAGACCATAAAGGCATTCAGAATTGTGGAGTTTCTGTGAAGCCCAGGCCCTCCTCAAGTCCTCTTTCATCCAGTCAAGATTCAAAACCACAAGCAATCGCGCCAGACCTTAACATGACCAAGCCTATTCTGGTACGGCATGAGGAGCCTCTTGCAGGAGGTATCCACCGCATAGTACTAGACCGACCCGAAGCTCGCAATGCCATTTCGCGCGAGGTTCTGGCACAATTAGATGATCGTTTGGATGAAATCTTGGCGCTGGCGAGCGTCATGCCTTCAGGTTGGGCCACACCTCCTCGCAGAGCTTCCTTGACCCCTTCCGAAGCTCACCAGGATGCCAACGGGTCCAGCAAAGTTTCCCCACCGACATCGTCAAGCGCTTCTCGCTCCACGTCCCCTTCCTCGCACCACACCTCCATCGGCTCTTTGAAGGACCCTGCATCCACGATCCGATCATCGCAGGCCAAAGAACCGCTCAGATGCGTCATCATCGAGAGCAGCAGCACCAATGCTTTCTGCGCAGGAGCAGATCTGATCGAGAGGAAATCCATGTCTGAACAAGAAGTGGTGGGCTTCTTGTCCGACTTGAGAAGAATCTTCGACAAGTTGGCCGCTTTTCCCGTACCGACAATCGCTGCCATCGACGGACCTGCTCTCGGAGGAGGTTTGGAGCTCAGCTTGGCTTGCGATTTCAGAATCGCTAGTCCTAGCGTCGACAAGCTTGGGTTTCCAGAGGTGAGCAAAAGCGCGTACAGCACTGCGTGATGCGTGCTAGCCGTGTACGCGTTCTGACGTACGATTGCCTCTCCTGCGCACGCCAATGTGACAGGTTCAGCTAGGCATCATTCCAGGCGCTGGAGGGACGCAAAGAGCACCTCGTCTGATCGGTCTTGCGCGCGCAAAAGAGCTCATCTACACCGGAAGGTTGATCGATGCCGAGACGGCCAAATCATGGGGTTTGATCGACTACCTAGCAGACGAGGGTCAAACCGCAGCACAGCGAGCACTCGCACTAGCCCAGCGTATGGCCAAGAGTGGTGAGTGCTTTCGCTCGCCTGCACCCAGGCACCCTGCCTTCTATGCGACACGGGGCTCACACCAGGACCCGTCCGACCTAAAATGGCACACCTCCCGACAGCCCCTTTGGCCCTCGCTTCTGCAAAAATGGCGATCTCGCACGGACTCGACTTCGAGTTGGAAGATGCGCTCCAGTGGGAACGCATGTGCTACGAGAAACTCTTGCCCACTCAGGATCGCCGAGAAGCTCTGCTCGCTTTTGCCGCAAAACGCAAGCCCAACTTTGTGGGCAAGTAAAATGGTGCGATCGTAGTCGTGTGCCTGCTTTGTGTAAATTAGACTGTGGCTCTCGTAATCTCAGAAAGGAACGATTTCATGCTCGTAAGTACGAGCTGGTCAGACGCTTTTCGTCACGCTTGCACCCTCCTTGTCTGCCAAGCAGCTCGTCTCGTGCGGCCTCGGACAGGGTGCAGGCAACGCATGCCTCATGACATTTCGCGATATTTTGGAGCATCAGGAGCTCGCTCAGTAGAAGATGCCACCAGAAGGTCCGGCATCAAAGAAGCGGTCGCGGTGTAGCAGGAACAATACAGCCCTTTTATGCGGCAACTCCACCTCTCTGCGCCACGATTGCGGCAAATGCTGAGCCAGCAAAGGAATGATCGGCAGATCGAATCGCGGTTCTCCAATCACGATGTGCGTCCTGGATTCTCGCAGGAAACAAAAATGCTTCATGCTGACCATGGAAGAGGCGAATCGATGACGTCCTCGGAATTTGGACTCGCCGATCAGTAGGTGGGTACCTTGATCGTAATCGCCCATGCCGCCTACAAATGCTGCCATGCCCTGCGTGAAGCATATTGCAGACGAGACAACGTTAGCAAGCCTGCTTCCTTGGGAGATTTAGACGCTACGGATCGTTACTCACATCTTCCTTGTTGAATGAGGCTTCGCCATATCCGGCAGGCTCGCCGTCCCAAGACAGAATGTAGCCCATGATATGAGGATCAGCAAGACGTCCTTTATGATACTGTCTATGATAATCCTCCGAACCTCTTTCCCTCCAGCCCTTGTTGACATGATCCGAATTCTGCCACCTGCAATAAGCTTCGAAGTGCTTGGGATCGTCAGGGTTGATGTGGGTCAAGGTGAGGTGCTGCTTGACGCTGTGAATGTAGCGAGAGTAGACGATGCTTCCCGGTGCTGGTTTGGGTGGACGCAGAGGATGGGCAGTCAGAACTGGCGGGTTGTCCGACTTTGTAAAGGAGAGCGTGTGCGGAAATGAAGTGCTGGTGAGTGGCCCGAATGCATCTGCTGCTGGAAGGGGCGCTTGAAGCCACGATCGCCCGAGAGGTGCACCGGCACCTGCAGCATCAAGAATCTTGATCGTCAGTGGCGAACGACGCTTGACCATCTGGTACAGGCTCAAGCCTCACCTTGCCAGAAGGCGCTGCGATCCCATAGTAGCTCATACCGCCCAACTGCATCGGGGGCTCGAAATCCCAAACCAGTGTGCGTGAGATACGCCAGAATGTGGTCTCGGTTGGACAACTTCGTGCCGAGCTCAACAGGCAAACGCTCGTTGAAGTCGTTGCGGATCCAGACTACGGGCAAAGGGGCATGCGTGGATCAATGTCCGAATCCCAACGACATCGAGGCGGGCGATAGGATCGTGCCGATACTCACAGGCATACAGGGCAGCCCAAGTGTCCGCAGGCGAGAGCTCAAAGGAGCTCTGATCTTGCGGAGCGTCGAGTTGCCAAACCTGCTCGTGCTTGGCTCGATCGTCATTCACAGCACCATGCAAGCTGACCCTCGCCTTCCTTGCATCCTCTCCGCCTGCTCTTCGAAACAGTGCGAGCGGCTTGAGCTCCGCATCCTTCTGTTTTGGCATCACGCCGATCGATACTTGAATTTCGTCGGCATTGCTGGCGTCGAAACTGATGGCGGTCAGATCTGGCAGGGTGAACCTCTCGCTCAGAGGGCGCTCAGAGGGGATGATGACAGCCGAGGGAGGCTGGGTTTGACCAGGTAGTGCGGTAGCCATTGTTGCTTGCTGCTTGCTTGCTTGCTTGCTTGCTCGCGAGGATCGGAGGTGTAGGAAGGTGTGAGTGAGCGAGTCGAAATCGCGAAAGCGACTCGCAAAGAAGTCTTCCAAGTCCCGCTTCAACGAACAGCGATGAGCGGGTCAGCAGGACGATGAGCCGAGCGCGACAGACCAGCGTAGGATGGTCAATCTTATAAGCGAGCTAGGAACTGGTGAGCGAGTGCACAACAACCACGGTGAAGGATGGACGCGCCAGAAGATCTGACCAGCACGCATGCATTGCATGCAAATCACGAATGCAGCTAGCTCATCATCGATCGCGCGCTTCTCCACCTTGCCCGTCCGTCCGTGCGCGCACGGCACGGCACGGCAACCCACGCGCGCGGTTCCGAGAAATCATGACGATCTTTTCGCATTATTTCCCGCCGCAGACGTGCGAACGATTTTCACGATTCAAATTAAATTCTTGACTTCAAAAGGGGCGGCACATTCAGATTCAAATTCGCCCTTGCAGGTGATTGTGCTTGGCGGCAGCCTTATCCGATCATGAAGCACGACTTGAGCCCTCGGTGGGTATGGGATGACGCAAATTTTTGGCTATTGACACTCACGACTCCAGACTCAAAAATTGACAGAAGATCATTGGAGATTCTACATCAGCTTCAAGCCCACATTTGAGGACTGTTCTTGTATGGATGGGCACTCTCAGTAGTCGCCGTGAGCGCAGCAGAGAACACTCGCGACTTGGCACTGTACGTGACTTCAGACTAGACTCGCGACTGTTCTGAGTCTGCTGTCTGGGTGCGCGCGGCGAGGACATCATCCCAGCGGCGGGTGTGCTAGGAGCGGCTGGCACCACCACACATTTCCACCACAACCTGCACCCAAGAAACCCAGGGAAATGCATGCGCGAAGTCTTTCTAGAATGTTGGTTGAATGAATTCGCATCTATCGTGTGTGTATGCTCGCGTGACTTGTCGCTCCGCAATGATCAATCTGGCCGCTTCGATTTCTCGTCCCTTGCAGCGTGCCTGCTACTGCTCCATCTGCTCAACCAAGAAGGTCAACATGTCCGTGATCCCCAGTTCCTCCTCGGCCTCTTGAGGCGCAAGCATATCGAAGAAGTGCGGTTTCTCGGGTACGAGACGAAGCACGTGTTCGACCTTGGATTTCTTAAGAGATTCGGCCATGTCCTGGCTATTTGTAGGTGGGATAGTAGTGTCGCCGGCGCCTGAGCACGTCATTCAGCCAGCGAGGCGAAGAAAGGTGAGTCTGGGATCGTGTAGACGAGCAGAGCGATGGAGACTGCGACTGCGACTACGGAACCAGACTCACCGTGCAGCAAAAAGGTCGGCGGCCAACGATTGTGCACCAGTCGTCTGGCATCGTATGCTTCAAGCGTAGCCGCAGAGTGATCCTCGCCAAGCAGCCAATTGCGCCAGAGCCCTTGGCTGGCCATGTAGTAAGCAGCTCGATGCCTTCCCTTTAGAGCTCCCGTCTCGTAATCCAAATCGGGCTCGGCTCCAGCAACAATGGGTCCGTCAATATACTCGGCTACAGTCTCGCGATCGTAAGCTGGTACATCCATAGGCTGTGCATTGGGAAAGTCTCAGTCAGTCTATTGCTGCTCCACCAACAATGCTCGAATTGCAAAGAGTGCTTTGATCACCACGCACATTCTCAAAGTGAGGATCGCTGAGATTGGTCATGGCTGTGGACAGCACATGTCGCACTTGATCAGCGACGTCGCTACCTTTCATGAGAAGTGGGAAGGACTACCACTCACGATAAATTGCAGCCGCAGCTTTTATCGACGGCACGCCGGCGGCAGCGACGAGCAAGGTGAGCCAGCCACCGGCAGATCCGCCCATAATGGCCAGCTTTCCGCTCCATTGCGGTCTGTATGCGCTGCTCGTCGACGTTGAAGCATGCTCATCCATGGCTTTTTGCAGATCGCTCTCGCACCACTTGGCAGCATCGATACAGTCGCTAGCCGCCTCTTGCACTTTGCCTTGCGGTGCTAATCTGTAATTGGTAGATATGAGTACTAGATGGTTGGATTTGGCGTATCGAGGCAAGAAGATGGGTATGTCGGTCTTGTCCTGATCGAGCGATGTGTACGTGAGCGAATTTCCGCAATTTCATGCTTTCAAAATGTGGATGGAAGGGTTCCTTTGGACTTACCATGGCGACCATGGCTCCACCATGAATGTACAGTACAGCATTGCTCAGGCTTGCGCTATCTCCTGTTGACGCTGGCAGGTAGACATCGACCTCGATGTCCAATGTCGCGCCGCCTTCGATGGTCACGCTCTTGAAAGGAACGGTAAAGTCGGGCTCAGGATTACCGTACATATCGGCTTTGGAGGGCACGATGAAAATTTTCAGCGCGAGAATGAGGGGCGGTGTCGACGAGAGTCGTGGTTGCAGATCAAAAGACAAATACGTCTGCACTCGACAAGATTTGCTTCTGAGTCACTCGTGGCTTTCGGAAATACGAATCTGGATCAGGGCTTCCTTTGTCCACCCCTATATGCCTTTTCCACCTACCTGAGAGATTGCGCTCGCGCGGCCCGACCTTTTCCCTCTTGCGAATAGCTGCAAGAGCAGTACTGCACTAACACGATATGCGCCATGGTAGCGCATGCCTTGCCACTTGTCAGTCATCACCACGAGGTCGTCGGGGACGTTGGACGACGTGTGTGGCTTGGTGCTCATCGATGACCAAGGCCACCGTGCTTCGGCGACATGTGTCCGGAGTGAGGTGGACATCTACAACTCATGACTTTATACTTCGCACGATCCAAGCCGCCCGCGGCATCGGACTCGGACTCGGACTCGGACTCACAACAAGTGGTTTCGCCGCGGTGCTAGTCAAGGGTTGCGCACAGCATAAATACGCTCGCTGCAGCATGCATGCTGGCCGGGCCAAACGCGCGCGCGTACGAAGGCACACGCCAGTCAAACATACACGTGACAGCGATCGTTGAGGGTCATCACGTAGAACGTTGGCTGGGTCCAGTCAGAGTACCAAAGACCTACAAGATAGCGATGAGCGGCACAAAGATTCCGTCCTTGGCACTTGAGCTAGGGCGAAATTGGACATGCACAATTGACGAATGGACCATTGAGCTCGAACGACACTTGAGCCCTGGACCGAGAGGAGAGCGAAAGCGCTCTGCGAGTCGCCTGCACGTCTGCAAACTTCGCCTTGCCAGCCCAGGAGGGCTCACTACCGATTTCAATCGCAACCGTAAACTCGGAGAATGTAGCCCCCCAATGCCATTGTACATAACAGGTGCAAATACGTTACTGAATGCTCTGCTACAATTTTGGGGATCGTCACTACCTCAAACAAAAGTGCTACTCAAGACCGCTATCGAATTAGACAACCGTGACGTTGACTGTTTTCGGGTGTGAGCGCGAATGTCCAAGAGCGTGCGATGCATCAGATGCGAGTTTGTTCTCGAAAGCTTTCTTGTTGTAGGCCACCGACCGACGGATCTGATTACAGTGGCCAGATCCAATGCGTATGCACAAGACTGACGTCTTGCAGGAGCAGCAGCCCTGCCTCGAGGGCGGAAGCACCGGCGGTGTTCGAATCAAATTAGGAATGGAAAAGTTTGAAATTCGACTTATGCAGCTGCAGCAGCTTTTGCTATTTGAAACTGCGACTTTCAGATCGCTTGATGACGATGATGATGCCGCGCGCCTTGCGAGGAGCTCGGCGACTTGAGCGATCTCCGCCCGCTCTAACTAACCCTTGCCGTTGGGCATTCCGCACAGGTGCATGGAGCAGTCATGACTCAAATGAGTGTGAGTGTGCAGATGATGTACACGCGAACAAAATCGCCTGATGCTTTGAGCGAAGATCTCAGTCGTGAATCATGCGTCATCTAGCTCCTTCTACTGTACGTACGTGCTGCAAAGACGACTTTCCGGCTCCGCGGCTGTGAGCGTGTGGTTTGACCACCAACAAGCTTTCAGCTCCGCTGCTCCACATGCTCAACGAAAAGGCCATCACCGCAAGATTTTGGGACGGCGTGAAGCTGCGCGCAGATTTGGATGTATCGTTTTGAAATTTAGCGAGGTCCCTCCCTTTAGTCTTGCATGAGCTAAGTCGGTCCTGTGTGCAGGCCTGCAGGCGGGGACCCGGCACTGTTCGCAGACAGGCATGCCAGTCTGCCGATGAGGATGACATGCAATGCTCGAAGGGACCTCCATCGAGAGATTCTGATGGGGGAGCGCGGCTAGGTAGGCAAGGGTTGAAGTCTTCAGAGGCCTGATACACTTGGTCACAACCATGACCTCTCAGCACAGACGACTCCGTGATTTCTCTCTCTTTCCCATCGGCATCCTGCCCACGCTGCCCTGCTCATCTGGACCATGTCGAACACGGTGCTGATGAAGGCGGGCGACGTGCCGCGCTATCCACCGCGACCACGGTATCGTCGGGTGCCATTCCTATCGACGGAGCCCCGGCCAGTGCTCTCGTCTCTCGACGATCCAGTCATGACACCGGAGCTGCACGCGAGTTGGTGGAATATTGTCACCTTCTCTTGGCTCAACAAACTGCTCACTGTGGGCTATACCCGGCCGCTGACCCCTGAGGATCTGTATCGGTTGCAGGATAGCACGCAAGCGTCCGAGTATGCAGATCGTCTGGAACGAGCTTGGCAACGACAGTGCTTGAAAGCTCAAGCTGCGAATGCTGCGAAGGGGCTACCTGAGGTTGGTTCGGAGGCAGACAAGTCGGAAAAAGTGATGGACGTCGGAGGTGGGACATCGTCCGGAAACCGCTCCCCACGCTTGCTCTTCTGGAGGCGAAACAAGGCGCCAGAGCCTCAGAAGCCATCGCTGGCAATGGCAATGAACGAGACTGTCCTCGTCTTCTTCTGGACCGGCGGCTTCCTGAAACTGCTGTCTGATATAGGCACCATCACCTCGCCGCTGCTACTTCGTTCCATCACAGACTTTGTGACTGCTTCGTACAATAGCAAGCGGCCAGGTGCTCCACCAGCTCCTCACATCGGCCAAGGCATCGGTCTTGGCATCGGACTCTTCCTTGTCCAGCTCATTATCGTCTTCTTAAACGTCCATTCCTTCTATCGCGGATTTGGCACGGGAATCCTTCTGCGGACAGCGCTCATTCATGCGATTTACCGTCGAGCCATGCGCCTATCAAATAGGTCTCGGGTATCTGGAGGCCTCAGCAATTCGAAGCTCGTTACACTTATATCCGCCGACGTCAGCCGCATCGACTATTGCTGTCAATTCTTCCACATGGCGTGGACTTCCATTGTTCAGATCGCCATCTGTCTAGCTCTGCAAATCTACACCTTAGGATATTCAGCTTTGCCCGGGTTTGCCTTCGTGCTGCTCCTTTCACCAAGCCAAAGCTTGATCACAAAGCACTTGTTCTCACTCAGGAAACGCTCCATGAAGTGGACCGATGCACGCGTTCGTGCAATCACCGAGCTCATGTCTGGTATCCGCATCATCAAATGCTTTGCTTGGGAGTCACCATACTTGGAGCGCATCAAGCAATTGCGGGCGAACGAACTGTCCTACCTGCGTCGCCGTCTCGGCTGGCGTAGCGCCAACAACGCGCTCGCCTTTGCAGTACCCACTGTCGCTGCAGTGATCAGCTTCATCACGTATACAGCAGTAGGCAATGAGCTTGAGCCAGGCAAGATTTTCTCTGCGCTCACCTTCTTCCAGCTGCTCCGTACGCCTCTGCAATTCTTACCGGTCGCTTGGAACGCCATCGCGGACGCTACAAATGCCTGCAGACGCATCTCTGCTGTCTTCGAGGGCGAGCTTGCGGCTGGAAGCCATCCGGTAGACGAAAATCTGCATCATGGATTGGAAATGTACGAGGCGAGTTTCGAGTGGGATTCCGCTCCGCCTTCCAGCACGGCTAATGATATTGCGGACAAGGCAAAGGGTCGCGCTGCTGAACCCGAGAAGGCGAGCGCGACGCCGTCAAGGTTGCAGAACATCACTATGTACGTGCCACGGGGCAGTCTTGTTGCGATTGTGGGGCCTATAGGGTCCGGCAAGAGTAGTTTGATGAGCGCTTTGGCGGGAGAGATGAGGCAAACGGGCGGTAGCGTAGTCTTTGGAGGCAGCTTGGGTCTTTGTGCCCAAGTGCCATGGATTCTTTCGTCGACCATTCGGGACAACATAACTTTTGGTCGTCCCTACGACGAAGTTCGATACAGACAAGTGGTCCACGACGCCTGTCTACTGCCCGACTTTGCGATGCTGCCTCAAGGAGATCAGACCGTTGTGGGAGAGAAAGGCGTGTCTTTATCTGGCGGCCAAAAGCAGCGTATCAACATCGCGCGCGCAGTCTACCACGACGACGACGTTATCCTCTTCGATGATTGCTTCTCGGCGCTAGATGCGCATGTCGGTAAAGCCGTCTTCACACAGGTGATGCAAGGCAGCCTGAGCGGCAAGACTCGCATCTTGGCGACGCACGCCCTTCATCTGCTCCCTCACGCCGATTACATCATCACCTTGGAAGGCGGACGAATCGCAGAGCAGGGCACCTATGGTCAATTACTGGGCCACAACGGTCCTTTCTCTCGCTATGTCGAAAAGTACGGAGGTGCTTTGACTGAAGAAAAGGCACCCGAGCCACACGACCAGGATGATGCCATTGAGGGCAAATGCGAGATCGAACCAGAGTCCAACCACGTTGCAGGCCAGGAGGGTCTGGCATCAGGCAAGCCAGAATCCTCCGCTCGGGGCAGAGAGGCACCAAAGGCCGTCATGCAGCTGGAAGAACGCTTCACGGGCTCTGTGAGCAAGAATAGTGAGTACCACTTTCTCTGCGCGGACAAGGTCGACTACGCTGACTTTGAGTTATTAACATTCCCATTCCAGCATACGGCATCTATTTGAAGGCCGGCAACATGCCTCTGTTATTTCCTTTGTTCTTGTTAGCAATCCTTGTCTTTGAAGGTTCGACCGTTTTGAGCCCGCTGTGGTTGCTTTGGTGGCAAGAAAAGCAGTACAATTTGCCACTTGGCGTCTACATGGGCGTCTACGGTGTCCTCGGCGTTGGCCAAGCGCTCGGGCTTCTGGCAATGGGTCAAGTCTTTGCGTTCTTCACCTTCTACAGCTCAGCGACGCTCCACCGGCGTGCTTTGCAACGCGTCTGCCACGCGACTTGCTCATTCTTCGACACGACTCCGCTGGGTCGCATAACTCATCGTTTCAGCAAAGACGTCGACGTCATCGACAATGTCATTGGTGACGCCATCCGAACATTGCTGGGCGTCGTCGTTCAGGTTGTTGGCTCGATCGTCCTTATCGCCTACCTCACGCCTTACTTCCTCATCGCCGTTGGAGTCATGGTCCTCCTATACTTTTGGACCGGCATCTATTACCGCACGAGCGCACGCGAACTTCGAAGGTTGGATGCTGTGCTGCGCAGCAAGATGTACGAGCATTTCGCCGAGTCGCTGTCTGGCATCACTACCATCCGGGCGTACAACGAGTCTCAGAGCTTCCTTCGCGAAAACGCAAAGCGCATCGACGTGGAGAACCGCGCGTACTGGCTCTCGATGGCTTGTCAGAGGTGGCTCTCTGTTCGACTCGATGGTTTTGGCTCCCTTTTGGTGCTCGCCGTCGCCATGCTCGCCGTTGGCGCTCGTTTCACTCTAAGCCCTGGTCAAACAGGTGTTGCACTCTCGTTCATCCTCACTGCTCAGAGTGTCTGGTCCTGGGTCATTCGACAAAGCGCTGAAGTTGAAAACAACATGTCCGCCATAGAGCGCTTAGTCTACTACGCCAACAATGTCGAGATGGAGCCTGCTCACAAAGTGCCGGAGCATGACAGCAAGCTCGCTCCAACATGGCCAAGTCAAGGCCAAATTGAATTCAAGGAGGTCGTCGCGTCCTACCGAGAGGGCTTGCCAGCCGTGCTCAAAGGCGTCTCCTTGCACATTGCGCCGGGTGAACACATCGCTGTTTGCGGTCGAACGGGTGCGGGGAAGACTACACTGATGACGACACTTCTGCGAATGATGGAGCTGTCGAGCGGATCCATCTTTATCGACGGAGTCGACATTTCCAGCTTAGGTCTGGCAGCTTTGAGAAGTCGGATATCCATCATTCCCCAAGAGCCCTTGATGTTTGGCGGTTCCTTGAGGCACAATCTTGATCCTCTCGGAGAACGTGATGACGCGACTCTGAACGACGCCTTGCAGCGAGCGTGCTTGCTCAAGCCGATCGGTCGGACCGAGTCCGCCAGCTCTTCGACGTCCACCATCAATGTCGTACATCAAGGTTCCGGCACAGATGCGAACGCCCAGAGTCCCACACATCTCACGCTGGACACTGCCATCGAAGACGAAGGAGGCAATCTCAGCCAAGGGCAAAGAGCGCTCATCTCCATGGCCCGCGCGCTTGTCCGTCACTCACAGATCGTAGTGCTAGACGAGGCGACGGCTTCGGTGGACTACTCGACAGACGCCGCCATCCAACGAACCATATCCGTGGACATGGTTGCCAAGACGGTGCTCACTGTGGCGCATCGTCTCAACACTGTCATCTCCTACGACCGCGTCTGTATCATGGATGCCGGTCAAATAGTCGAGATCGGCCCGCCACTTGATTTGTGGGAACGAGGAGCGGAGGATGGCCACTTCAGGCGAATGTGCGATAGTTCCAACATTGCTAAGAGCGACATCGAGTCGGCCCAGCGCGAACGTCAAAATCTTCTCAGTAGTAGCCGCGGCAAGACATCGTGATCATTTCAGGGGCAGTCAGGATTCGCTACACACTGCATTTGTATCATTACGTCAAGATTATTGCTCTTATCTAAAAGAATGCATGAGCGCGAGTCACTTGTAATATTCTAAGTACCAGGGCTATGTCGTGCCGTAGCACATTCAGGGACCGCTGCGCGTTTTCTGCTCCGCCCAGCTGGGCAGATCACAGATCGCTACACCTCGCTCATCCCAGGTACTCGTGATGATGACTTTCGCCAGGTCCTGATCCACTGCCACACCTGTAGGCGGCGTGGGCGACCAAGCACGCTGGTGCTCCGAATTGTCAGAAGCGAACAGCGGAAGAGAGAAGTACTTTTTCGGAAGGAAGATGCCCTTCTTACGCGCATCGCTGAGACGCCCTGTGTCCCACGGATGAGCTGTCAATGAGCTCCAGCGGTGTATGAAAGTGACCTGACTGACTTGTCCCCGTGGTCGAGGTGGTGCTGAGGCTAATGCATCCCGCTGAGAGGAGCGCAGCCAAGAGGTCCATCGGCGAAGCACGACGGGCGGGTCCAAGCTCTCACCCAGGTAGAGTCTGCCTAGTCTATCCGCCGAGAGCGCGGTAGGTGGAAGGGTAGGACGATGCTCGAACAGGGTGACGTAGCTTGGAACGTATCTGTTCACCTTCTTCTCCTTGTCTGCAGCAGGAACATAAGGGTCTGCCGATTCGCGGATCCCAGCTTCGATTCCCCGCACCTGTGTGGCCTCTAAAGCGTCAGCTCGAGAGTCTGTCGGAGCTGAGTTCGCCGAACTCCTGAACATGGCCTCAGATAGTTTAACGGCTTATAGCTGTCCACAGACGGCCCAAGCTAGACTCCCGACTCAGTCGAAAAGCCGCCGGTCCATAAGGTATTGGCTTAGATACTTCTACGTCGTCCTCGTGCCATTTTCACTCCGCCAACAATCGCAACTCGATATGCTACTCACCCAGTGCTCCTCCCACTCCGTGACTCCAGAAGTTCCGCTTCCAGCACTGGCCACATATATGTGAGGATTTGTAGAGTTCCGCGCCATAGACTCGCCCCCTCCATCCCACCCGGCCAAGAGGGGCGCTGCGCTTCCTTGGTGCCAGGCAGAAGGCTGGGAAGTGACCTGATCCACCGTCCGAGTGCGTGCCGCGAAAAAATGAATGTCCGCGCTGTGACCGCGGTTCAAGGGCCCGTCCATGAAGAACGACTGGGCAAATTTGAAGAAACTAGGCTTGCTTGACAGATCGCTTGACTGCAGGCTTGATACACCCGCAGGCTTACCAGGCAGGAAGAAGAAGCTTGGAAGTCGAAGAGCCCCCGCGGCTGGATCAGCGCCTTGTGAGACATTAGGCTCGAGAGCGGGAGACCATTGAGTTGCAGCTGTGAGGAGCCTATTTGGCGTGGCCGAGTAGGCTGCGCCTTGGCTCCGACTGGCAAGGTGTTGAGCATCGATGCGGGAATGTAGACGAAGTGAAGCAGAAGCTCGTTCGTGAACGTAGATGCCGACACCACTGTTTTCCAACTTCTCGTCTCGATTTGACACCAACAGCACAGTCGTTTCGGGATCGTGAAGATTCGCAAGATCGGCAGGATGTGGATCGGCAAGGGCAATGGCTACCGGGTGGAAGCCCGTGTCTTTTCGCGAATCATCGTGAAGGTGTAAGCGAGTTGGTTTTGCTCCAGACTAAAGGAATGCCGAAACGAAAGATGCCAATGAGCACCTATCATGCGACGCATGATGCTGTCTCGCCGATGAGCGCACCTTTGTGTAGTCCCAGTACCAGACGCTTCCACCCTCTTGGTGCTCCCAGCGACTTTCTGCAGGCGACCATCTACCTGTGCCCTGATCCGCATCGCATATTAGATAGGCAAGCCGAGATGATTGGTGGACAACGACGTCTATACAATGTCTTGGCTCGGGTTGCAGGTCGCATTTGGGCTTGTTCGTAGGGAAGGAAGGTGCCACGTGATGTGTGTGATGCAGGGCCAAGTGCTGTGTGTCTAGCAGATACTTGACGTTAGCGCCCGGCTAGGTCAAGCAAGATGTGCAGACGCCGAGCTCGTTGTCGCTCACATGGATGATAGAGCGCCACAGAGAGCAACGCGAAGCACACTGCTGAGGTGATTGTCGGCAAAAGCATGTTTCGCGACAACGCTATTGCCAGAGAGCGCAGCAAACGGTGCTGCTACTGCCTTTGACTCCTGGGCTGGCCAACACCATGCTCGTGAAGTGGAAGACGAGCGACAAGCAGTGGAATCTCAAGTGCTGACGATTACGGCCGGCGAGTCGCTCATGCTAGACGGTGCGTTGGCCGCGGACAATAAAAAGCCGCAAAGAGGGATATTGACCTCTGTTGAGCACCGTATAGTCAAGAGGCTGCATCGATACCTGATGTCCGCCGCAGAGAGACTCTTGGAAAGACTCACACTGACTCGTGATCCGTGACTACAACACGTAGAAGAGTCTGTGCGTCGTAAATCGTGAATGCTGCGAAGCTGAGCTTGCTGACGCGCGCGTAAAAAGAAAGAAGCCCGAAGAGCAAACGCACGCGTCCGCCGCGGCGGTCTGCTGCTGCGAACAAGAAATTGAATCACAATGTGAATCAACAATGCATACGCGGTACATCATAACTAAGGACGACAGCTCCTATAGCATTCCCGACCTTCCCATTCACGATTCTCAAACCAGAGCTCCTGTCCCGGGACATTCGTGGCCATCTCGCTGTTCGATGATCGTGAATCATGGAAGTGGGAGCACTATTTGGCGCATAGCATGAGCTGATCTAATGCTCACGACTTGTCTCATTGCGCACATTGCACTGCCTCAGCCGCAAGCACTTCGGAAGGGAATGCAGTCCAATACCTTTGACCTGCAAAGCTGAGCGATCTCAGCGAAGCAGCATGGTGTGGCTCATTGAGGGATGCTTCGACGGAGATGGCAGTGCGTAGCTTGCTTGGGTTTTGGCTTCTCTTACTATAGCATATTGACCGATTTGCAAACCTTGAACCTTGATCCTCCATAGCGAAGCCGTTCTCGAAGCTCATCAAGCCGAACGCTAAGTACATCTTCGGTCGCAAGGAACCGGCTGACATAGTCATCAAGTCGAAGCTCATCTCCCAGGAAGGAGGCTATCTCAAGACAGGGGCCTTCAACATTAACGATGTAGCCGACGTGCACAGCAGACCGTCAGTAGAGATCACTGCTGGCAAAAAAGGTGTCAAGATAGTGCCTGCGAAGGAAGTGCATAAATGGGAAGCGAATTTGGATGGTTACGTCGGCATTCTCATCAACGCAGGAGGAAGGAGAAGCCTGGAAGATGGAGACCTGATCATATTTGCCAGCAAGCTTCCTTTGAGGTGAGTGGGAGTGTTCTGTGGGGATAGCGCAAGCTCCGTGCAAAAGCGGAGGGTTGCCCAAGGCGAGGATTGTGCCCGTGCATGCTCAAATTCACTTCAACTCGCTCCTGATGTTGTATTGAACACTTTTGCAGTCTCAGGTGGGCGCCATTCGCGTTCAGCATCCCTCGCGATGGAAAGATCGAGCCCGAATGGGTCCCGATGTGTGCAGCGACTGGTGAGCTGCATCGCGTGACCTTGCCTCAAATGCTCTTGACCCCAACAGCCCCTCTATCAGTGCTAACATTACCTGACCGCTGCTAGGCATACATCTCGCGGCCGGCAAGAACATTCTGCCAGGCTGCAATTTCTACATGATAGAGAAAGCGGGCTTGACTCTCAATGTACTCACGGCGCTCGCGACAGCGATGTCCATCGTGACTTCTTCGTTCCTTCAAAAATTCTTGGGTACAGCATCGCTGCCTAGATTAGACGAAGAGTCGCTCGAGCGAGAATTCAATGAGCTCGATCCATACGACTTTCAGCCACCCTTAGGAGATGACCTCATTCAACCTGACGCCTTGGGAGATGACGCAGATCACAGCACAGTTCTGGTGGCGGACCATCGCAGGCCACACTTACTGCAAGGTGTCAGTCTTTTGTTCGTCCGCACGGGTACAGGAGAAACCCCTCATCAAAGCTTGCTCGCCGAGCGCGTGGGTGCGAAGACAAGCGTGATCGAGCCGGACACTCCAGATTTCACTTCAGACAGGGCTTTGACACGATTGATTTCGGATTACGCGCAAACGGCTCAAACCCATCTTGAGGCGGTCAAGAGCCAGAGCACTTGGATCACGCACGAATCCGGGCTCGTCATTCTAGTCGAGGGAACGGCCGCAGTCGGCGGCACTGAGTGGTTCCTTCGCCTAAGGCGTGTCGCGCTAAGGCAAGTGGGCTTGCACTGACGCCTGCTTCCTCTTTGCTGATAGGCCTCTCCACCTTCACACAGCTTGCGCATAGCAATGCCCCTGGATGGTGCTACGTGTGTGACTCGGACCATCTTGCGAAGTAGCGTCAAGCAGATCCTTTTTCGACCACCTCTCGATCCGCTAGAAAGTGCATCACAGCTCGAGTCCGTCCCTCGAACTGATGAGCCCGCTACTCAAGCCCCTGCGCCAGAACCCCAATTGGAGACTGAGGCCGAATCAGAGAGTGAGTTGCGTCTACAGATGCGATGGAAGTTTCAGTCTTCGCTCACTTCTATTCCGTCGGGACGACAGGTGTAGAAGTCGCCAAGGCTTCTCAAACTTTAGCGAAGAATCCTCCGCTAGAGCCGCTGCAATCAGAAGCTCTTGCCCCCGCTAACACAACGAAACGAGTGCGTATCGCAGTCCCAGAGCCTGCCTCAGAGTCCTTCTCGCTCACTCACGGTCTACGTTCCTGTGGAATCAACAGCCTCTAAAACGGCGGGCAGGTCAAGGCTTGAGCGCCTCAAGTGCTCTCGACGATCTTTTGAACTCCAGTACCGGGGCAAGGCGGGTCAACGCCACTCAAAGCAAGGCAGCGGTCTCGCATGCGGGCGCTGAAGCTACCGCTCCGGCTCAGTCCACGGAGCCTCTAGCGATCGCTGGACCCTCCTCGCGTCTGAAGCGGCGTGCGGCCACGGCACGAACTTCGGACGTGTGGGATATGGCGTTCGGTGGATCCAAGGGCGCTCCGATGGGCGCTTCAGTAGGCGCTGCGGATAATGGTGGATCTTTTGCTAGTGGATCGCTCGCTGCGAACACACAAGGAGAGCTCAAGAGTAAACGCTTCCGGATGCATTTGAACGAGACTGATGCAAGAGAGACAGAACAGCAGGATCTGCGGCTTCGGGAGGCCGATACGCAACAGGCAGATCAATCGGCATTCTCTCAGTCTCCACAGACGCAAGACGCTGAGCCGGCACGGAGAAGAAGATCGCGCCCGCCTGACTCCTCTTTCCAATGCGCAGTGGAGTCACTGCAGGATGCGGTAGTAGTGTCAAGTGACTCACAAGATTGGGGTGCATCCAACGATGCGCAGAGGCGCAAGCGGCCAACGAACGACGTAGAGCGTGCAAGGGTCGGTGCTTCGAGCGAGGCCCGTGGCACGTCAGCTTCGGATGCCCAGTCCTTCTTCATTCGCGAGAAAGGTGGCAAAGCGGGCATCGCTCCCGGCCAAAAACCTGACCGCGACGAGGTCTTCTTGCAAGCCCTTTCAACTGGCAGTCGCACGAAGTTCGACAAATTTGATCAAGAATTCAACAAGCTTCGCATTGCTAGACCTCAGTATGCCGGTGGATCGCTTGCCACCACACACTTTGTCAATCAAGAGGAAGCCGACGACCAGATGTTCGAAGCTTTCAAGCTTGCTCGAGCGGAAGAGCTTGACGACTTGTTCTCCGTTTCTCATGGCAACTTCGTAGCGGTTGACTTTGTACCTCTCATCAAAAGGAGGGAACAGAGACCTGCTTCCACTACAATTGATGGCAGACCGAACTTCAAAAAGTTCAAGCAGGTAAGAGGCTGTGCTTCTTTTTGGCCAATGTGATCTTGGAACTGACGCGCCTTCGTCTGACTCCAGACGGAACGGCCCAAACGCGTGCCGATCGCCCTAGAAACCGCCAGTGGTCCCGGAGAGATGTTTGGTGATCCTGGTGAGTAGGTTGGCAGACTATATCTGGTCAATCTGACGCCCTGACAAGGGTTGCTATCCTTTTAATTCACCAGATGTGCGCAACGCGAGTGCGACACGTCGTCATGACACGGCACAAGATCTCGCGGTTACTGCCACTCCAGAGGCTGGCATGTTCGCAGCTACCACGGGAGCTTCAGCGCGGCCAAGAACAAAAAAGAAAAGCCTGTTTGCGGACCCTTCTGAATCCGAGGAAGAAGAGGAAGCGAGGCCTATCGGATCGCGGCGCCACGCAGCAGCGTCGAGCAGACCTAAACAAGTCTCAGACATGCCATCTCGAGGCCGCCGCAATAAAGCTCTAGCGGCGCTCTACGAGGATAAAGAGGACTTAGAAGACATCGGCGAATCGCCAGGAGCGGATGAAGATGCTGCTAGCCCAGAACCCGACTTGCGACTGGACGATGACTGGGAGCTTGACGGCGCAGACGGCTCGAACGCTTCTATGCGTCCGCAAGGTGGATTAGCTTCGTCTCGTTCGGCTGCTCCTTCAAAATCCCATCAAAGACGAGGCGGTGATGACTCGGATGGGGACTCGGTGACGTTTGGCGGCTTCAAGCGAACTCGCCGAGCACCCTCCTCCACAGCACCCAGCAAACGCGCTCGTCGATAGTTCGGCCCTTCTATCCCAAGAGTGCAACTCCGCTCCCTGTCGTCACTCCGCTTAGTGGTCTGCGCTGCGCTGAAGCTCAAGAATGTCCTCATTGCTTCTTCGTGTATGGACCTGTGAATACACCAATGACAATGGTGCTTTCATGCCTGGTCTACTCATCGGTGTCAGAAAGTCACATACGCAGCCCCGGACAGTCCAAATTTGGTCAAGAGCCGTGTTGCTGGAGCGAGTGAGCCTGAAATGGAGCCGTGGGCACTGATGAGTCTTGCATATTGAGTCTTGAGTGCTTGAGCGTGGAGTGGGAAAGCGCAAGCTCAACCGGTGCGAGCTGTCGATCTGAATGAATTTGGCTTCTTGAGTTACAACAGTCATGAGTGCCAAATTTTGGAACCAATCAAGGCGTGTGTCGGTCGTGGAACTTCCTAATCAAGAATAGTAGTATTCGTCGCGACATGGCTTGTACAATTTCGCCATGTTCAAGTTGACCTGAATTTTACAATCAAGAATTCAAGATTTTCATTACCAGGTCGCCGATCCGTGTGATCACGTGACATCCACCACGAGCGAAGACCAACTGTTCTGAGAGTCGTGAGTCTGGAGTAGTGTGAGTGTTCAAAGTCAGCGAGCAGTCGCTCCAACTCGGTAGGGCAGACTCATTGGCTCAAGGCTCGTGAAGGCAGCGAGTACGTTAGAGAGTGAGTGTGGAGATGCTGCTGCTCATTCACTCAGCCGGCAAGAGATTCTTGATTCACTCTTGACTCATTCGTGATTGGTGATTGATGTACGTCGCACATGAGGCGGCGCGCGCAACTCGCAGCAGCACGGCGTGCTGCAGCAGACGCGCGCCATGTCATTTCACGAGGCACGCGCTGCGCATTCCTCGCCAGCAGCTGCGTCGTTGAGTCGCGCTACCACCAACAGTCACAGGCCAAGCGAGCTTCACCCCACCACATGCTCCAGATCTTGGGCGCTCAGGATGCAGAGACCTGCTAGGACTTGATTGCCGTTCGAGCGGATCGGGCGTCCTGCACGTATCGCTCCTAGCCTGTTCTTTTATTCCTATTTTCCTTGCGCCTGCCCGACAGTTGCAACGTCTCAACATCATGGCACCCTTCTAGTCTGACAAGGTTCAATATAGTGTCATTTGGGACCTCATTTGTGATAGGGACGCGCAATGTAGCCCGCACTCATGCAGCATGGCTTTCGCTATGGACGTCAACGGTCCATCTGTGCGCACGGCCGTCTGTCGCACGCTCGGACTGCCCAAAGGGCTGCGAGCTCCTTCGTTGTCTAGGCACAACAGGGTCTCCGGCGCGCACCTGCTCCCCTGATACGCCGAGGGGCACACCAAAGCCATTGCTGAGCAGCTGCACCCTTAGGGCTTACAGCAGGATGGGTGCCCAAACAGACAGACAGATTTCTGTGTGTGGTCCGCTTGTTGACCATGCCAGCTTAACCGACGGTCAGACCCAGCGGGATGAGCCCCTGGTCCGGCTTAGCGGGCTCCTCTACCCTACCCTACCTGCTGTAACGTCCTCACACATGGCCGCTGGAGAGATCTGTACGCCCCTTTCTCCTTTGCCGTCACCGCTTTCGCCCCGACCGTCATACGTCTCTCCGCTCGGTTTCACCTTTCCCTCTCCTTTCGTCTCTATGGAGTGTGATTCGGCCCTCGTCTACTCCATTCACCTTCATCCTTACGTCCGTCTCTTTTCTCTCCCTCATTCTAACATTTCTGCAAGCGTCTTGGCCCTTCCTTCGTCCCCACAGTCATTTCTCGAAGATCAAGCACCCTCCATGCGCCGTTGATACCTAGTCCGATCATCACGATTTTGACGACCTCGCCCCCCCCCCCCCCCGCCCGCAACTTCATTCTCCTCCTCGCCTCTGATCGACACGAGCCTCACAACCTCCAATCGTGCCGTAGACATCTGCTTTAGCTTACAGTCGACCTGGAACCAGTCACTTTAGAGCAAAGCCCTCTCAAGAGGCGCGAGTGGACGGCGCAATGGCGTCCGCGAGCCCAGCTCCCGCGCGTCCCTTGAGACACAAGACGAGCACTTTGAGACCTGGAGCAGGACATGGCATGGGGACAGGCAGTGGTAGCGGAGCAGGGCTTTGGCTTTCAGGTAGTGCAGAAGCGGCCGACGACGCCAAGATGGAGGCTACTGCACAACAGCAAGCCACTGAGGAGCCGCGAGAGGTTCCCACTTCAGCAACACCATCTCAGCGCTCAAGCGCACAGCGCACGTACCACATTGCGGCGGAGGAACTCATTGCCCGAAGCCCCACTGCTTCAGTTGATGCTGGTTTGCAGCGTTGGAATGCTCTCGAGGCGCAAAGGAGCGCTCAAGTGTCCACTGACGAAGAAGTAGATCTCAATCTGAGCTTCGACTTCACTAGCCAGCTCGAGGGCCAGACACGCTCGCCCGTCGAGAGGCTGAAGAAGAGAGTCGCTGCTACAGTGGAGCGCATGTCGGCAACTCTGGATGACCAACAAGATGGAATATCGGTGCAAGTCGCGCCACCTTCCCCAAATGCACCCTCTCCAGCGCGTGGCATGTCCGAGGCCGCCAAGTGGGAGACGAGGCAGCGTAAGCGGCCTCCCGCACCGTTGTTCTTCTTGCGCAGCGGTAAGAGCGATAAGCGAGCGCATACAACTGGCGACCGGGCAGACGGGGTGGAGGTCAGTCACTTCAGCCCCATATCTCCAGCTGCTAACGAAGTCGAGGCGTTGCCAATCACACCTCTGAGCTCTACAAAACGATCCGCCGACGCCCAGACATCGATCGACTCCCAACAGCGCTCGGCACCTTCGACGCCGCGCTCGGGCAGATTTTCGTCCTCCTCGTCTCCTCGTCCGGATCCCCCCGCCACGTTGCCCCCCACAGAGCCTCTTCCCGCTCTACCGACTGGTGCGGACATCAGCGCTCTGGTCAAACAGCAACGTCTTCGCGCTCAACAGAATCAATGGCGCAAAGTTAGTGGAGGATCAATGCCAGGCACACCCACCACCGAGGAACCGCCTGCATTGCCTGACCTGATGACTCTTCCTCAGCCTTCACTCACGAAGGGCCAACAGAACACCTCGCTCGATCTTGCGCTCCCTCGAACGAGCCACGAGTCTGTGGAAGTGCTTGCCAATGCAGCGTCTGATCCTGCTTACGACTATAGAAAACATTTGAGCAGACATCATCAGCACGCCGCTTCAAAGAGCTTGACGAGCAGCACCGCAGAGCGCACCTCAAAAAGTGTGCGTCGACGCCATCGAGCCCGCAACAGCGAAAGCAGTGTTGAGAGTTTTGCAACGGCAGCCACTGGCGTTTTCCCGGCTGTCACTACGGAGGAGGCGGCGAACACTAACACCAACGACACGCTCATGCCCATACCGCGCGGAAATGCGCTCGGCCTAGACACAGGCAGCGCTAATATGGCATTGCAAAATGGTCCTTCTCTCGAGGTGCAGACAAGAACTCTAGCCTATCCCCCATCCGAGGCCAAGACAAGTCCCGGAACGCCGTTCTCCGCTTTGTTCTCGGAGCCCGGCACGGCACGCACAGTTGGTGGAGGTAGCGAATACACGCGCTCTACCGCGAGCGAAGTGGGAACACCATCAGGCACGTTCTCCAAGCTCACGGCGGCCGTCAGCGGCAAGCGCAGAGGCTCCTTGGCCGATGCGCTGCTCTCCTCTCCGCCTCCTCTCTCCGCCGTTGATATGCTCCGTGGGCACAGTGCTCCGACTGGAAGCCTGTTCCGGGATGTCATCGAAGAAGAGCATCTGGCACCGAAGGCCGAACGTGAGCGCACCACAAGTATGCCTCGGAGCGAAACCCTCGAGTGGATTAATGCGCAGAAAGCGATGAGCGTGGTGAGTAGTCCCGCTCCTTTGCAGACTCGCGCGATACTTAGCGCTGACGCTCGCACCCGAACCGCAATGTGATGTCGTCAGGACGATGCAGAAGACGGCGCTCTGGCCAAAGCCGCGCCGACCAGCGTTACCACTCATGAGCTGCGATCAACTGTGAAGCGACGCGTGAGCGAGGTCAAAGGCCCTTGGCCTCAGTCCCCCCTTCTCCTGGACGCCTCTAGCTCTGAAAAGCCTTCCCATCCCGCGAGCGTGTCCGGACAGACGGCACACAAGCGGCTGAGTCTTGGAGCGAAGTTCGGCGCTGGCATAGGGCTTGGTCTTAGTCAAGCTCCATCCTCGGACGCCATCGTGCCGCACGGGCTTGACGGCTCGGTCTCTGTACAAAGGGCTGCCATCTCGCCCGCACACGGCCTTCAAATTCCCGGCGATGCTGGGGCGAAGCTTTTGGCAGCCCCAGCGGCCTCAGTGCTAGAACAGAATGACCAGAGTCTGCGTCCCTCGCCAAGCATGTCATCTAGCGTAGAAGGATTCGCTTGCAACGTCACGCCTCCTGCTCCCACTCACGCTTTGCCAGATACAAAGCACACAGTGTCTTCACCTCCTGTCTTGGATGCTGATCGTACACCTCGAGCGCCTGCACGTGCACGCACAGCGACTATCGCTGGAGATATCGAACGCAACTCCGCATTGTCGATCGTCCCAGGTGCAGCCGACACGCAACCTTCGCGTCCAAGAAGCAAGGCACACACCTCTGCTGCATCCGGATGGGGCGCGTTGGCCAACCTTCGGTGGGGCAACAAGTTCTTCAGCATCGCTAGCAGCTCTGGTCTGACCTCGCACGGTACGGACACCCAAGCAACGAGCGAAAAGCGCTCTCCACCTATGCGCTCCCTCACCTTGCTTGAGAAGCGTGACACTCGCGACAGAGACGGGGCCGCCGTCGCGGCCCAGCGTCGTGCCAGCTATGGCCACAGGAGGTCGCATTCGCGCGAGGACCTTGCAGGCATCTTTCCCCATCTCGAACGCTCTCAGCCTTCTGCTAGTGGCCGAGAAGCAGGTATCGCGTCTGCTCCTGCTACGGCTATTCTTCCTTCTACACCTAGATTTTCGTCTCTGCTCGAAGATGTTGAAGGTGTCGCTGCAAAGCCGGAAGCGGCTCATGTTCAGAGCCGCGACAACAATCGCGTCAAGCGCAGATCTCGTATTCGCTACCTGTCCAATGGGCACGAGATACATCTCGACATGGGCGAACCTAATGAGCCGGCGCCCAGCCGAGAACAACCTCAACGACCTGGCTCCCTTCCTCTCGACGCCATCAAATCGCCTCGCGTGGCTGCAAGCCCTTCTGGATGGACTCCTCGCCTGCATTTCGGCCCGCTTTGGGGCAGCACAGCTCCTGCAAGTCGCGCTGATCAGCGCGTCGGCCGCACTGAGGCTGAGAACTCGAGCAGGCCCGTAACTCCTGGATCACCTTGGCTCGACTTTGCGGAAGGCGACGGCGGCCTGCAAGCCAGTCAAGATCGCGCTGAATATCTCGCAGCTCACGCAGATCAAGAGCAGCGGTCGGCGCAGCCGTTGCCCGAGGAAGAAGGCATCCGCCGCCGAGGTGCTGGGCACCAGTCGACACCCTCGCTGCCTCCCACGGCTACAATCATCCCATTCGGTTGGGCCACTGGAGCCAGCAAGCGCTCGAGCGGCAGTGCGCGCGTGCTGTTGCATGACAGCAGTGCTGCTGCTGGAACGGTCATCAACGTCGAAGATAGCCAGCGAAGGCCAGTGCAGACGGCGGGCGGGCCTCCAGGTCATGGCCGCCCTATGAGCATCTTTGTGCCTAGCGCGGTAATTCAAGAACACCTCATGCGCAACGCTGCATTGCAAGTCAGTCGAATGCGCCGCAGACGCTCGCAGTTCCCCCTGCCTTTGGGGGGCCCACATGCGAAGCTGGACCTGACTAGCGTGCCATCCAAGACGCTCTTCTTTGCCGGCTTCTTGGGCATGCCGTGGCTCTGGCTGATCGGTGGCTGGTGGCTCTCTTCTGAAGGGCGCATTGCGACTAGAGCGCCAGCTAAAGTGGAGTTCTGGCAGCACGAAGCCAGCATGCGCGAAGCCGCGGAGCGCGACGCCGCTTCCAGGCTTGGTGGTGCGATATTCCCTTCTCAGGGCTTGGCTGAGCGTAGCGAAGGCACCCCTGCCTCAGACGCGACCGGGGAGCAGGCTGGCGTCGCAACCTCGGGCAGTGGAGCGACAGTGATCGAGCACCCAGCAGATGTTTCGAATGGTACTACGCACACCCTCCGAACGATGCGCAGCCATGCCACGGTGCGAAGCAACGCATCGTCTGCGTGGGCGGATACTTCGTCGCGCGAGTCGCCCCAGTCGGACAGCATCCCTCGAAGCAGCAGACGGTCGGTGTCCAGCATCCTAGGCTCCAACCCAGAGATCGCGCTGATGCGGTCTCCTGTGCGAAGCGGAGAGGCGACGGCTGTTCCCCAACCTGAGACGGTGTTGGCGCTCGCGCCAGTAAGAGAGTCGCGCGAGAGGGCCTCCTCTCGGCCACCCAGCGTGGAAGCCCTTCGAGCTGTGTTGGGGGATCGGGACACGCGTGTGCAGGTACACGAAGCTGCTCAACAGGCAGCCTCCTCAGGTACTCCGCCAAACTCGACCATGCCCTACAGCTCTATCCCAAATGGCCAGCCCAGAACTCACAAACGAAGCCGCAGCATTGGAGAGCGCGTCAATGCTGCTATCGATCACTGGGCTGGTCTTGAGCGCTTCGTGCTCCTCAACCGTATCGCAGCCATTGTCGCGACCCTCGTCGTCATCTACGGCTCTGCAGCAGCAGTCACTGTAATCGTAGGAAGTTTTTGAGGTGTTGTCGTCGCGCTGCAAAACGCCTGCGGCGTCCTGGCGCACGACGACCATCTCTCCTACTCGGATTCTTTGCGCACCTTGTCTCGCTCCTTCGTGCGCGAGCTCTGCCACTCTTCCGAGTATTGCGCAACGCATAACAAACGCCTTTTCCTTTCTCTTTTGCATCTTTGTCCACTTTCTGTCTCGATTTCTGCCCCTTGTCTACTCTTGCATCTTTTCGTTGACAGCGCTACCGCGCAGGTGCGCAAGGCACACACTTTCTTTTGCTCCAAAACACGCTCATTCAAGCCACCGCGCTCGTAACCAGCTCTGCCATACCATTTCAGATACTATCCAAATGCTGGACCGAAATGCATCATCATCTTTATCACTCGGTGCTTTTTCGCTTGTGCTGCCATCGTGTCTTTGGCTTTGAGCCACAGGAGATCGTCATTCTTTGCATTGCCTGGCTTCCTGCATGAACGAAGCTCAGAAGTCTATGCCCAGTCCTGCGGTTTCCTTAGCACCTTCATGGTCTCCCTTTCGCGCCTGCTCTGCTCCTTCTGTTCCGTAGAGAGAGTAGCGCTTTCCTCTTCCTGCTCACTACCAGTCTGTCCTACACCACTGTGCCTCTCCACGTACTCCCACCTAGCTTCGAGCGGCAGACTCATGAGAATGCTCTCGATCCTAGCACCTGGAGTCTGCAATCCAAATTTGGTGCCACGGTCGTACAGGAGGTTGAACTCCACGTATCTTCCTCGTCTAAGACGTTGCCATCTCTCCGCCTCTGGCGAGGTAGCCATCCTTGTCCTCCTTTGCAAGATGGGCAAGTAAGCCGGCAAGAAAGCGTCGCCCAGCTCGCGCACCAACGCGAAGAGGGATTCTCGATCGTGCAGCTTTTGTGTAGGTCGAAGTTGGACTTCTGAAGGATTCGCTGCGTTTGGTTTTCCTTCTTGAAGCAAGATCCGAGCGCTTTGCGTTGCTCGAGGGAGTGTCAGATCGTCGAAAAAGATTCCTCCTACCCCTCGCGTTTCTCCCCGGTGAGGCAGGTAGAAGTATCGATCGCACCAACGCTTCCATGCGGGATAGCATGCAGTCTCGTGCTTGTCCGCAGCTGACTTGAGCACCTCGTGGAAGTGCTCCGCATCTTCCGAATAGAGCAGCATGGGCGTCAAATCGGTTCCGCCTCCAAACCACCAAGCACATGGCTTTGTGGGATCAGAAGGATCATAACGAGGATTGACGGAGCCATCCGCCAGGACCGGAGGATGCGTCAATTCGAAATAGCGGTAATTGAAGTGCACCGTGGGCGCATGTGGATTGCGAGGGTGCACTACGAGAGAAAGACCAGTAGCATAGAATGGAAGACCTTTGACTTCGGCCTGTACTGAAGAAGCAGAGCCAACTGGGCCAGTGCCGAGGCCCAGGTCGTAGCCCACGCTGTCTAGTAGTCCTGCATGATCAGCGCTCATCTGCTGTATCGCCCTGGGCGGCAACGAGCCATGAACGATGGAAATGTTGACCCCTGCTTTTTCAAACGTTTCGCCATCTTGCAAGATGCAAGAGATGCCTTCTCCGCCTTCTTTTCTCAACCAAGTATCCACGAAGAAGCCTTTGGAGCCCGTCTCCTCATCGGTCAGTGCGCTGACTATTTTGTATTGCAAGAGCTTGACGTATGTCTCCATGCGCGTCCTCATCGAGGCCGATGAGTCCGTCAACACTGTTGGTCGCAGTGCAGAAATGTCCGGCACAGAGGACTGTACGAGGATCGCAAGGCGCTCAGCTACGAGTCAGCTCCCATCGACGACTCGCACTAGCAGCCCGCGTGCGGACAGGACTCACCTTGCCCCCTCCCACACTGACATTGCCCACCTTTGCAGCAGGAATCGTTCCATCGCACTGCACTCCGCTTGCCGTGCTATTGGTTGACCAGTTGAGCGCCAAAGCAGCAGCAGCGCCGGCGCCCACAGCGAACGAAGCCGAGACGGTCCTACTCCCACGATTGTATGCGCCGCTTTTGGCACCCCTGCCAGGCGCCGATGAGTAGGCCCTGCGACTCCACTCTCCCGCTCTACTAGCCGTGCTCGAGTTCAATACCGCTTGAGATCGCAAGCTCGAGCAGCGTATGCGGCTATTTTGCAGCCGCAGGAGGGAGTGGCTCCTTGTAGAGCTCATGCCGCCGCCAGATGCAGCAGCGACTGCGCTTGACTTAAGGGCTCTGTGGGTGGGTCAAAGAGCGGTCTTTGGTGTCAAGATCGTGAGCGCAAACAATTTGTCGGGCTACCCCCAGCACGGCTCCGCGAAGTTCGGCTATTTGCTTTATGCTGATCGAAGGATTGAGCCAGGAGGCAGGCTGCTCGATTGATGAATCAGGCGCAGCCGCAGCTTCGTCACGATGAACAAAGGACCAAGAAAAGGCACGCCAAGGTGGCTCGGTCTTGCTGCTTGACCTGATGGAGCACACCAAGGCGAATGCACTTGCCGATCAGACACGATTCGTGAGTCGAAGTCGTGAGAATGAGTGCATGATGTCCGGCATAAAATTAGATATAGCGTGCTCGACATCCTTCGCGCAATTTGAGTCTTGAGTTCTGGATGCATGCCAGGGCGGGGTTGCCAAATCACGTGATTGATGTCTACGCGGTGGGACGCTTGCCCGTGCTTGTCCACGCGCGTGCAGGGCGGGAGGAATCACGATCAATGTGGAGCCATGCAGCTATGTACGGTCCGACGGCACATCACAGCAGACGTCTTTCACACGCGTACTTTCATGCGCATGCAACCCCACCCCTCTGCCGGACAGTATATATATGGCGCGTGATCAAAATAGGTGTGTATATACAGTCACGAGTGGACTCGCATCAAGCTTCCAGCAGAAGTGTGGGGTTTGCCTTGACCAAAAGGCAAGGAAGGAGTGAGGCGGCTCTTTTGGCCGTGCAACAACGCTGATGCACCCCTCATCGTCTGTGTCCGTGCTTATTCGGTTGCTGCGTTCAGTCTGAGTAGCATATATTATTGCTGCGCTGTGTCAGCTGCTGCTCAAATTGATTCGCCTGCTGTTCTCCGCGTCCAGAAACATACACCGCAAGGAAGCTGTGCGGTGCTGTGTTTGCTGCACTTGGCTTGTGCGGCTGACCGAGCTAGCCATATCGCAGCACTCGATCGTGACTGTTGCCCCCTCTCGCCTTGTCCTCACGCCTGGCTTTTTCACGCATCGTGCGCTGCACTCTGACTCGTGTGTCTGCGCCGCATCTTGTTTGATGCTTGAACATCGGGAACGTAAGGCGGCTTTCAGAAGCACGGGTCGTGACTCTACATCTCATGCATACGTATCCTGCGCTCCTTTCTAATCATCTTCCTCACCGCTACCACCAACAGAGTCCACAGGTCCCCTTTCAACTCCCACCGCTTCCCTTCCCAATCATGTCGCTCAACATTCCAGACAACCCCGCACCTTCGGGGTACGTTCCCCGTCCTGCCGACTACACTTCGGCCATCGAGAAGGCTACTCTGCTGCTATCAGAGCTCAGAGCTTCTTCGGAATGGGAAGATGCTGGAGAGAGGGAAGAGGTCAAGTTGACCAAGATTGTCGATCCTGCCGATCCCTATGCTGTGCCCACCACTAGAGGAGAGACGATCGTGGAGAACGCTACGCCCGCAAAGGTGCTCGCAGCTCTCATGTTGCCAGGTGAGTGTCCAGAATGACTGCGAAAGACTGTGGATACATGCAGACACTGGTAGACAAGCTCTGAGTGCTAGCCGAAGCACATACGCGCATCGACTCGCGTGTTCTTCCTCACAGATAGGCTTCCAAAACTGCGATTCTGCCCCGAGACTCGACTGCTCTGGCTGGCTTGTGCTCACAATTCGTCCCTCCTTTCCCACGCAGGTATCCGCAAGAAGTGGGACCCTCGTCTAGAGGAAGGCTACCCCATCGCTCGCTTTTCCCAGTCCTCTTACGAGCTGTACAGCGTGATGAAGTCGCCCTCTTACTTCATTTGGGCACGCGACATTGCGGCGGTCCAAGAGTCTCATTGGAAAGATGGAAATGTGGAGATGATCCAAGTCAGCGTGACGGACGAGGAAAATTTGCCGGACGCCGGAAGTTATGCAAAGAGCCGAACGCGCGCTACTGTGGACATCTCGGGATGGAACATCGAACAGGATGGCGACAATGTCAAATTGAGCTACATCGTAAAGGTCCACTTGAACGGTGAGACAGCATACACAGCATCGGCGACCTTGCAGTAGGCTGTGGGAAAAAGACGTGTGCGATCTGACCCATCTCCACATTCCCACTCCCCATGATTTTGCAGGGAACATTCCTACCTCGGTAGTGTCCATGCTGGCCCAAGAGACGCCAATGTGCGTCGGCAGAGTCCGAGATGTCTTCTACCAGCACGGTTTCGTACCCTACGAGGTCATGTCCGGACACAGCAAGGGAGAGTACCCAGATCACAAGGTGGTTTCAGTGACTCAAGTGTTCGAGGACGGCGATGGCACCGAGGCTACTGCAGGTGCTCGCAAGTGGACCGGTTCTTACCGCGGTGAGTAGAGCTTCATTGCGCAGGGGTGGTACCTTTCAAGCTCGCATCTAATGTCTTCACACCCTCTATTTCTCGTGTTGGCCCTGGAGCAGGCGCCGAGCCGGACACTATTCACATTGCGTACGATGGCGAACGTATGTACAAGGATGGAGTGAGCGTGACGATCGGTGGAGAAGGCGCTTCGGCCGTTAGCTCGTCCGTGGACGAGGCCAAGAGCATCATTACCGTCACTGTGGGCGCCGAAGCGAAGGACAAGGACTTTACTGTCACTGTCGAGCCCAAGTGATTGCCAAGCATGGATCAACTTATCGATCATCTCTTGCACGGGTCCAGGGGGTCTTCTTGAGACTAAGACTTGACCCGTCTCGGATCACTGGCACCTCTTATTTCGTCTGACGAATGAACAGCAATCAATGCCCTTGACGACCGCGGATTTGGTTTGGAGTGTACCCGAGCGAAAGAGAATCGTGAATGTTCGTGATTGAACTTTCGGAACGTTTTGAAGCTACTTGCAAACTCGCACAGCGATCCCTTCGGCCCAGACCACTTGCGTCTCGTGAGCGTGGAGGGCCGCGTCACGAGAGCCGTGAATGCTGCATGGTTCACTTAGCAGCCCGCGGCACGCAGGCTTCGCGCTTGTTCCTTCGCGGATACAATCTGCCGTGGGTTCCGAATGGCCTTCTCGGCGCACTCAAATGCTGAAAGCGAGTTCGAGTTCGAGTTCGAAAGTCATTCGAAAGTCACTGCTGCATGGCGATGAACAGGTGTGATTGCAAGCCACCTTGGCGTATGCGTGTAGCTTTGGACAAGCGTGAGGAAGTCCTCTGACGTCTCTCGTACGAGAATGACCGCGCGATGCCTCTTCCCATTTCGACGTGATCAGAATTCTAGCATTCGTAATTTCAAGATCTTCGAGAGGCTATTCAATCCTCACCATCCTCGCATACACCTTGTCCCTCTGATGGGCTCTCATTCTGACTCACACCCCATATTAGTCTCAAGAAGCATCATGTCGAGCTCTGGGATTGCTAGAGTGGAGCCGCGGGTAGTAGGTGTGCTAGGTGAGTCGTGCTGAGGCGAGTATGTAAAGATGGCACGCCTGACAGCTTGCTGACACCTTCTTCATCTGTTGCCCAGGCGCTGGCCAGTTAGGTAGAATGCTCGTAGAGGCTGCTGCACGACTCAATGTCTCTGTCAGACTGCTCGACGTCGGCGACTCAGCACCGGCGAAGCAGATCTGCGACGTCCCCGCTCAGGCAGGCTCGAGTGCTCGAAGTGAGCATATCGACGGCTCGTTTGCAGATGGAGAGAAGATCAAGGCATTAGCAAACAAGGTGGACATTATTACCGTAGAAATTGAGCATGTGGATGCTAGCAAGCTGCAAGAAGTTTTGGATCAGGGATTGGTCAAAGAGGTGCATCCTACGCCCGCCACGATCAAGCTCATTCAAGACAAGTTTGCACAAAAGGACTATTTGAGGAACAAGGGACTGCCTTGCGGAGAATTTCAACCACTGCCCGAGCCCGCTCAGAATGCCAGCGACACAATTCAAAGCCAGGCGAAAGCGATCGAAGAGGCGGGCGACAAGTATGGATATCCGGTCATGATCAAGTCCCGCACGCAGGCTTACGATGGAAGGGGAAATTATGTAGTCAAGACTGCGAGCGACGCATCCGACGCTGTCAACGCGCTGGGAGCAGGCACACGAGGACTGTATGCGGAGAAGTGGGCGCCATTCGAACGGGAAGTCGCAGTGATGGTCGTGCGAAGCTCCACTGGCGAGGTGCGATCATATCCAGCTGTCGAGACGGTGCACAAGAACAACATCTGTCACAGTGTGTTTGTGCCGCTTCGGTCCAGAGATGCGAGAATAGGAAGCAGAGCTCGAAAAATCGCGGAAAAGGCAGTATCGACATTCTCGGGAGCCGGAGTATTCGGCGTGGAATTATTCTTGATGGGCGATGGCGAGCTGCGGATCAATGAGATCGCGCCTCGACCTCACAACAGTGGACATTACACCATCGAGGCCAGCGAGACGAGTCAATACGAGAATCATCTGAGAGCTATTCTTGGCCTGCCGTTAGGAAGCACGGAACTCAAAGTTGGATCGGCAATGATGATCAACCTTCTAGGCCTAGCGGATCTGGACAAGGATAAGGATGCCATCGCAAAGACTTATGCGCCCGCAGTTGTCAGTCTCAACATTCCTGGGACGACGGTGCACCTGTACGGCAAGAGCGGGTGCAGGAAAGGAAGAAAGATGGGTCACATTACCATTGTCGGGCCTTCTGATGCAGCGGTGAGAGATCGCCTCGCACCAATCCAGGATGCATTGAATGCTGCGACAGAAGCAGGAGAAACCGGCAAATCTCTGCCCGGGGGCCTGACTCTCGAGGGAGCCTCTCAAGCGGCCGCTAAGGCTTTCAAAGAAGGGCCATTTGCTGCCACGTCTGCACCAGCCAAGTCGGCGCAGGACTTCAAGCATCCCCATCCTCTGGTCGGGATCATCATGGGCAGCGACTCCGATCTACCCGTCATGCTTCCAGCTGCGGAAATCCTGAAAAAGTTCGACATTCCCTTCGAACTGAGCATCGTCTCTGCCCATAGGACACCGGACAGGATGAGAGACTATGCTAGAGCCGCGCCTAGCAGAGGGCTGAGGTGCATCATTGCTGGAGCGGGCGGAGCAGCGCACTTGCCTGGCATGGTCGCTGCTCAAACGCCGCTGCCTGTCATCGGTGTGCCCGTCAAGGGTAGCACATTGGATGGAGTCGACTCGTTGCACAGTATCGTGCAGATGCCAGTGAGTGTTATCTCGAGCTTCATCGGAGCGTACGACGCCTCTAAATTGCACCTCCCGCTCGACTTACAGCGCGGCATACCAGTCGCTTCTGTGGCCATCAACAATTCAACCAATGCGGCTCTGTTGGCGATTCGAATACTTGGTGCTGCAGATCCGCACTATTTGGAAGCGATGCAAAGCTACATGGATGCGATGGAGCAGGAGGTCCTTGGCAAAGTCCAAAGGCTGCAGGAGCAAGGTTGGGACTATGCAGTGAAGAAATGAGATGAGAGTGCGATTTGCATCTTATATATAGCCTTTTTTGTTGGCTTGCAGCCCTGCGTTTTGGAGCAGTTCATACTGGAGCGCATACGTCTTGCGAACTGCAAGCGATACTGTCATCACGTTTCTCGCTCCAATTCAGTAGCCTTGAAGTCTACCAGATCTGGGGTAGGAGGCGATGGGTGCAGGCTGAACATGCGATGCGACGCGCAAGTACCAGATCGTCTCTTCAGCCAAAAGCAGCAAGCGTCCGTCTTGAACCATGACGACTTGCGTGCAGCCCGTAGGCAAGGAGAAACGGTACAGAGGCTGACCAGTCCTGGGTGCATAGACTCTGCAGCGGGCGGGGGCAGAGTGAAGGATTCTCGCTCAGCTTGCAACATCGACGACCTGAAGGGGGGTTTTGAAGTAGGGAAAAGCACTCACTCTAGACCGCCGCCTGTGCAGGTGTACACGTTTCCTTTGGAATCCGTCTTGATGCCGTCGGCGATGCCGGTCGGCACGTTGGTGAAGGTCCGCTTGTTGGAGACGATTGAGCCGGTGGTGTCGAGGTCGAAGGCGTAGCTGAGACCGCGCGGAGTCGTGGGTCGATTCAGCTGGCCTGGGCTACGGGCCGCGCAGCACGCTACTCATATCACCGCGGGGACTCACATGACGGCGGGGATCGAATAGTCGTCCGTACCTGCCCCAGTCTGGGCGAGACCGGTCTCAGTGCTGCGATCCGGCAGGGTCAATCGTTCGTAAGCTACCACAATGGTCATGCTCAGGGGAGAAGAGTGCTCGACGAATGTTTTTGACGTACACGTAGAGAGTTCTGGCATCGGGACTCAGCGCAATCCCATTCGGTGTGGTGATGGTTGCGTCTATCATGCGCAGCTCGCCTGTAGTTGGGACGAAGCGCCAGGTCGCTTTGGCCTGCGCAACGGGTGGCTTGAAGTTTTGAAGGACTCCATAGTCTTACGGGGGGGCCAGGGTGGAGTCAGCCTGCGCAATTCTCCCGGCGGGATGTCAGAGAGCATCACACCGTGACACACCTGCATCTGTGAAGCTGTTTTTTTTTTTTTTTTTGATTGAAGAAAAGACGACGAAAGATGAAGGCTGTTGTGCGCAGCAAGCTGGAGCGGAGGACTTTCACTTCGGACTCACAATATTGCGCCTTTGGGGTGGACTACAACGTCGTTGGGACTGACAAAGTCTCTGCCGTAAGCGTTGTTGAGCAAGACTTTGGGCTTCTGTTGGACGTCCGAACGGTTGACGAGGACTAAAGATCCAGGGAGATTACCTCTGCCGGTGTTGCAAAGCAACACAGCATCGCCATAAGAAGTCGCACCGTTTGTCATTTGGATATCCTCAAATTGCGCTTTACCCTCGACCAGAGGGCTGTAGATGGTCTCGACGGAATTCTCAAACGTCGCGGTGCCGTTCTTGGCGAGCGTTAGGGCGTGAGGCAGATTGATTCTGAAATTGGCATTGTTGGTCGTCAGATTGCTCTTGCCATTCTTGCCCCCGGCGTTGGAAGCGAACCAGACGTCTTGAGTATCTGCGAACCAGACTGGAGCTTCGTGCGCAAAGGCATAGCCTGGCCGGTGGACGAGGATTAGTGCCTCGGGATCGCGTCCCAGAAGCTTGTCGCCTGCCGAGCTATAGGTTTGAAATTGAGGCTCGGCATCCATGGATGAGATGCTATTGGTCACGCCTGACCATGGCTGAGATCCATTTCGAGCAACGAAAGGGACAGGAAGCGCTGCCAAAGAGCGCAAATTTAGACTGGTATGCGCCCGCTTTGTTTCTGGCGCAGAAGCGCTGCTCGAAGCCAGGCAGGCCGCGAGGAAGGGCAGCAACAGCAGGCTCTTGGACACGCTTTGGAGCTTCATTCTTCAAGTGTCAGACTGGAGGCTTTCTGCTTGCCGTGAAACCTGAAAGTCTGAATTGCTGTGCTCGGATCGACTTGTTGATGCGAGACTCGGACCGGCTCGGTCCCTAATTCAACAGATTGTTGTAGCTTTGACGTGCCGAAGAAACATGCAAGCTAGCCATGCACCTACCCATCCCCCCACATTCAGTAGTGATTCACATTCAGGTTCACGATTTGTGAGTCGTGCGGAAAATTTGCAGGTCGAGAGGCGTGCATGATTGAGCCAGCTAAATCTGACTGTAGGTAGCCTGCTCATATGCAGGGATTCATGTTGGGCTAGCAGGTGGAGGCGCGCAGCGGCATCGCTGCCAACACTTGGCTCTCTCGTCCACATCAATCACAACTTTGGTCATTACGAATCAGCGGCCCGTACTTTCACCTACACCAGCCATGTCAATAGCTGCTTGTTCGGAGTGGTCAGGCGACACTTCATCTCAAGAGACCTCCCTTTCCCCGTAATCATCCACACTTGGAGTGCGACGGTAGTGAACGCTGCAATGCGCTGCGCTTGGCTTGGAAGCGCCCACAACGTGGGCGGAGACTGGATTGCCCGCATCAACGGCCTTTCCCAGCCCATCTCCTATGGAGATGAGGATCGCAAGAATTTGTCCACACTCTTCGCCCAGCTCGATCAAGTAGGAGGGGGGCAAAACTACGAGAGCAAGTTGCACGTAGGGCATAGAGGGCGTGCATCGATGAATCCATTCGCCGTGCTCTTTACAAGCTAATGGATGTGGAGGGACGAAAGACCAGGGCAAAGTGAAGTCAGAGTGGTTCGTACGTGGTGGTAGGATACATCGTTGTCGGGAGAAGATGGGGCATCAGCCATGAGATTCTGCCATTCGTTGGCAGAATGACCGAGTTCAGAGATCTTGCTGCTTCTGATCATCAGAGAATCCGAGCCTAGCGCTCTCTTCGTCGATCTCTTTCCAGACGCCAGAAAGGTTCTCGCTTGCCCACTCCTGGCCTGGAGCGATAGACTTGCCATGCTCGTGCCCCTTGGGCATGATGAAGCTGTCGATAAGGTGGACAGCACCGTTCGCCGTTGGAATATCTTGGACGACGACGGGCACTCCTTGAACCTCGACACGCGTCTGCAGAGGTCCGCCACCCGGAACGAGGGGGTAGCAGTACACTTTAACGGTGACGATCTCGCGCGAAGGTTTTTTGGTGGCGTCAGCATCTCCGTCATGGTGATGTTTGTGCTTCAGCTTCGGCAGAGCAGACTGGAGCTCATACGTCGTCACATTGACTGGCAGCGGCTTGTGCTCGACGCTGTGCTTGCCGTGGATTGGGAAAGCTGCCTTGTCCTCATCGAAATCGTATTGATAAACCGCGTCGGCATAGACAATGTTGATGGGCAGAGCGTGAAGCATGAAGGCCTTGGCCAAAAGTCTGGTGCCGAATGGAGAGAGAAGGAAGAACTTGAAGCGGGCAGGCACTTTGGTCCACGCAAGGTTGGTCGGGGCGAACAAGGTGATGCCAGGCTCTCCAGGACCAGGAAGCGCAGGAGCTTTGTATCCGTCATCATCCTTCTCCTCGAGGATTCGAAGGAACTGCGCAGCATGTCCCGACTTATCATCATCGTGCTTGAGGTGCGGCAGCGTGAAGAAGCCAGCGCCCCCAGTACGGTACAGAGCCGTAGCGGTCGCGCCAAGATTGTATGCGCTGCCGAACAAGACAGTCTGGAAATCGGATGGAGGAATGAGCAGGGGCAGGGACACTGCGTGCAAGATCGATCCTCCGGAGGCCTTCACATCAGGCTGCACCAGGCGAGAGAAAAAGTTGAAGTAGACACCGGGGCGAGGGAGCAGGCTCTTTCCACTTCTGAGGCGGAAAGGTGCTCCACCGAGCAGCTTGCCAACATACTTTTCCGCGCTTGCCGGTATGACGAGCTCAGTGGCGACACTGCTCTTTGCCGCGATCTGCTTGGCGGTGACGGCGGCGCCCGAATCGGGTGCGATGAGGTGGTAGCGCACAGTCAGATCGATCAGGTATCGAATCGCTGCGCGACGCTTGCGCTTTTCTTCGTCATCGTCATCTCCAGATGAAGCGCTGAGCTCGTCCACGGACGACTCGAGATGAGCCCAGTGGGCAATGACGGAGCGGGGACCGTATATGCTAGCCGTGGTGGAGTCAATATCGGAGCCGGCATGGTCATCGTGATGCCAGTTGAGTGGTGCTGAGGAGAAGGGAAATGAAGACGGAGTGCGTCAGCGACGCGTCAAATGACAATGACCGGCTTGTCGGCACGTGCTCTAATGAGCTCACCTAGCAAGGTAAGCTTGTCTTTGCCCCCGTCCAGCAATTCCTTGGTGGAGTCGGAGCTGTAGTTGAGGATTTTGGCAAAGAATGACAAGTCGGGCGTGGACTTGATGATCTCGAGCAGACTCTTGTCTTCGCTGCCCTCTACAGGGCCACCGAGAGACTCGTAGGTGGCTTGCACCTGAGCCGCATTGCCGCCTAGCCAGGTAGTGAACCGCTGGATCAAGCTGGCCGGCGCGCTTGGGAGACCCAGGGCGGTAGAGAGAGTGAAGGCATCAGCTGCTGCATCTGCCGAGGAGGTCGAGATGGATGCGGCCGAGACGCAGCTGGCGCCGAGAGCAAGCAGGGGGGCTTGAAGAAGGAGTTTCATGTTGAGCCAAGGTAGCTGTTTGTGCGGGCTGCTGGGGCTCGAAGGAGAGAGCGGCATCAAGACATCATGAGCATGTATTTGTACCTTTAGCCCCCTCTCTCCTACAGCTGTCCTTTCCCACTCATGACCGCAGACTACCTGTCGGAGCTGCGATGCCGAAACCAAAAGTTGCGATCAGACCCTTACCATCCAACGTGCGCACCTGTATACGTCAGACCCATAAAGTAGGCGGCTGAGCTGTCCGATCACGAACGCAAAGAGCGCCCGCTGTGCATTCACCACAAACGTCGGCCGTCCGTCTGACGGAATACGGTATGGTGACAAATCAAAATTAGTTGGGCAGCTCAGAAGAGGCTGCCTGCCATCTCGTGATTGCTTGGTGTGCAGGAACAACGTGAAATTAGGCATGCGGGGTTTGTGCAGCGCAGCACGACTCGTCCATGAGCATCATCATCAGCATTTGGCTCACTTAATATGATCAGGGTGCCATTTCTCTCACCGACTAGCTGCCATGCACAAATCCAGATCACGCTCAAGCTGCTCATCGGAAGTGCGTCAGCGCTTACGGTATACTATCCACGGGCGCGATGCTGAGGAGAGAGGCAATAATAATAAATACTCGCGCTGCTCCCGGATCAGTGCGACTCACGACTACACTCAAACTGGTGACTGTAGGTATGTTGTGTGTGTGCTGTGTGGGTGCTGTGTGGAGGCTGTCCGTCTCCGCGGAAAGGGTCCGCGCGTAGACCGTCGGATCAAATCCGCCGCTGCTCCGCCCTGCTGCTGACCCATCAGGTCGAAAGTCGCAGAGTTGCTTTCAATTGTAAGACTCCAGAACAATCTTGCGCCTTGATCGGGTCAAATCACGGAGTGGATATACTATCACGTGACGAGCGATTGGAGACACTAGGCAAAGCTGAAACGCGCAGGCTGTGCTGCATACATATGCTCAGCAGCATGGAGGCGCGGATCAGGGGTTCTGCAAAGCGCGCGCGTCAAGGCGGGCCGGACATGCGCGGCGTATATTTCGACGAACGGGTCTCCAGTCCATGGCAACGCTTTCCTCCTTCACAGCACCGATCCTTAATGTCTATGGTTGCAGCATCCGCCCACCACTCGTATACCCTGGTCTGTGCAAGGGACTAATCTTTGCTGCGACTCGCCTGCTGCAACCTGACAAGCTGCCTAGTCATTCCCTTCCCCAGCCTGCTTTACGACTCTTCGACATACAGTTCCGAGCTGGAAATCTTGCTGCGATTTTTTCGACATCTGCTCTTTGCCTGGAACGCACACTTGGCACCGCACTCACGACTTAACGACACCCGACTAAGATTCGCACAATTGCTCGCATTTTACCAACAACAGGTGCCAGATTGAAGGGGACAAGTTGAGACATCAACGGAAGCTGACGCTGCATTCCTTTCAGCACATCGAGCATGGTGGTCTCGGATCTCCTGCACGTAGTGCTACCGGACAATGCCACTATCCTGTCAGCTTCTTTACCCATTTACGCTGGGTCAACTAGAGATGGCACGCAGCGCGAGTCTACCGTCTCGAACCTGCTCGCGACGTTACTTTCGGAGACAGTGAACGTCGGGCCATTGACTCGAGTGTTCGGCTCGCATTATGATCCTTTGGCAGCAGCAGATACTTCCAATGCCTCAAGCGCGCCGCCTCTGTGGTATATAGACGCTCGCGGTATGAGCTGGGCGCTGCAGACTGTTGAAAGCTCGCAGCCCAATCGAGAATGGGATGACGGAGAGTTGGAAGCGTTGGGAGATGGTGAGTAGTGGGTTGTCTTTTGTGAGTGGCCACGCAGTTTAGCTGATGCCCTTGCGCCATTCAGGCTTGATTCCTCTCGATACGCCGATATTCTCCTATTTGCATGCTCTGCTAATGCCTCAAGCCGACGGCTCGCTTGCACCTACGCATGCTCCGCTATCAAAGGCACTGGCGGGGACCTTGGACTCGAATGTCGCTGGCTCCGGCTTTTCTGACTTTGCGCTCTCGTCACATCTGCACGCTCCTAGACTTCGACTGGTGTGCGGGGCACCTGGACTGGCCGTCCGAATACGATTCGCGCATGTCCCAGAGATCTATGATGGGTGGGACGGCAGGGTGTGCTTCTTGCCTGCGCCAGCCGCACTCGAAACTGGCAGCGTGGGAGCGGGTTCAACAGCTGCGGACCTTCTCGAAGCGGTGTGCGACGAGCTAGGCATTAGAAGAGTCGTGCTGCAAGGCAGCAAGTCCGCGAGGGTGGAATATGGTCTTGCCAGCTTGCCTGAATCGCCATCCTCTGCCCCTGCCCCTGTGCCGCCTCCAGCTGCGCTGCCCGCGCACACCATTTTGCCGCCTCTGCTAGCGACGATGCCGGGGCCCCCCTTGGAATACCCCGGCCTCCTCTTTACCATTTCGGCGACTTGGCTCAGCCGCCTCGGAACTGTTGCGCAAGGATTTCAAAAACATGCTCGTAGAGCTCCAAGCTCCGAATCGCCGCCACGGCCTTTCCTGCCTGAGACTCGACCCCAGACTAAGCCCGGCATGCTGGGACTTTGGGCTGCGAGTCTTGGGCGAAACGCAGCGGCGCCTGCTCAGCAAAGTTCAGAGATATCAACCACAGGATTGGCGGCTGGGCCGAGCACTGGCGATCCAGGATTAGATGCACTCAGCGCGGATACGAGCATCATCGAGGAGGACGAGGAAGAAGCGAGCGGCACCTTGAAAGGTGTGAATCCGCATCATCTTCAGCAAAATACCGATGACGGCTCGCATACACTGACGTCAGCCGAACGAGAGGCTGCGGCCATGGCTGCCGCGGCCAATGCTGATCGTGAAGCTCGCCAAGGAGCTGCGAACGCGCAAGGCTCTTTGTCACAAGCTGCCGCGCATGCGCTGATGTCGCCGAAAGCTCGAGGAAAAGGCCAGCCTCATACTGCGACCGCACGCCTCTCACGAATGTTTGATAGCTGGGGAGTAGCGGCGCCAGACTCTCCAACGAGTCCAATAGCCACTCAAGAACATGCAACTGGCTTTCCGAGCACACCCACTCCGGCCATCGCGGGGAGATCTCGCTCAATTGGAGGTGGTGGGGGACCGGGTCGCGAAGTGAAGGTGATGAGTGTCAGTGGACCGCTGGAGCTGGAGAGATCCCCAAATTCACCGCGCGTTGGGGCTAGACATTCGCCACTTGCGCAAGCTCTTCCTGCTGCCGGCTCGCCGCTCGCGCACGGCAACGCTCAGCTGACGGGAGAAGAATTGGCGAAACGATTCGAAAGCTTGATGGCGGACCTTGGAATGAAGGGGTCCAGCAGAACCGCAATGCTCGCTTTGCCAGATGATCGCAAGCGCTTCTTGATCGGCCAGAACGAGGCTAGCAGGTCGGCCAACGGAGTGCCTTCGACGCCCTCGCGCTCAGCGAGCGGCTCTCATGCTAGACCTCTGTCCCCCCAATCTACTGGTGCAGAAACGGGTGGCTTTGCCGACACTCTGAGCAGAGCAAGTACAGCTCTCACTGGAGGCTGGGCTAATCGATTCAGTATTGCGAGCATTGCAGGCTGGGGCGGAGAGGAGAACGCCAGTCCGAGATCGAGTTTAGCGACTGCTCAGACTGGCGGACAAGAGAGCGCGGATAGTCGACCTTCGACTGTCATGACGGACGACGGCGCCGGGATACCAGAGCAAGGCTCGGGCGCATACCAAGCAGCCGGCAGTGCTGCAGAAGCCGCGCTCAAGTCGCATCATACAGGCAGTAGTGGACATGGCGCAAGTTTGTGGAGCAGCTGGTGGGGTGGAGGCGTCAGCTCGCTCACTTCCGCAGATCCCTCGGCGCTTGCTGCTGGGGCCAGTGCAGCACCATCTCATGCGGCCGAGCGCTACTCGCCCGCTTTCTTTTCCAATGCGCTCCTCAGCGGCAAGCTGAACCGCAAGGACTTGGTCAAGCATCTCATCAGCTTGAGGGTGACATTGTCCTCGGCGAAACTGATGTGGATCGCTGGATTCTTGGACGCGAGAGGTCTTGAAGCGCTCGAAAATCTGCTGAGGCTCGAGAGTGGCCCGCTTCTTACTGCCCGTCTCGGCGACAAGCGACAGGACCGCCAAGAGATGAGCGACGTGATCATCGGCGAGTGCATCAAGTCCCTACGTACATTGATGAACACAGAGGTGAGTGCGCATGATGGGCGAGTCGCCACTCCCCAGACACTGACCTCAGCGTCCATTCTTAACCTCAGCTCGGATTTGAAAGAGTCCTCCAGCAGGGGATGCTAATTACGTATATTGCGTATGCTCTGCGAACGCCCTCGTACAAGCTCAGGTCTCAAATAGCCGACGTCCTTGGTGCTCTTTGCGTATTAAGCTTGGCGGACGGTCACCGACTTGTGTGCGCTGCTCTGTCTGAGCTGGCTATTGCTTCAGGCGAGCGCTTCCGCTTCGCGTTCCTGGTTGGAAGCTTGAACGTGTCCAAAACGCGAACGTCCGATGCGGATAGCGAGACGAGTAGCTCACACGAAGACACGAACGAGGAGGCAGACGAAGACGAAGCCGCCGTGTGGGAATACCGTACGTCGGCCATGGTGCTTGTCAACGCCATCACCAACAGCCCTGAAGATTTAGAGGAGCGCATCGTTCTGCGCGACGAATTTGCAAGGCGTGGGCTGAACGAAGCGATGGTTGGTCTTCGCTACGTCGAGCCACCGGATGCGCTGCTCGTACAGCTCCATGTGTGGGCCGAGGAGAAACAAGAAGACCAAGCAGAGCTGCACGACCGAACATTGCGAAACAACGCTGGAAAAGAAGGCACGAATGCCGATGGAGCAGGCCTCAGCTTGAGCACTATTGGCGAGGTTGGAGAGCTCCTTCGAGTCGCGCAGCTTGACAGCCCGGACCTGTATCCGCTGATCTGCGACATGGTCCGCAGCACCACGCAGATACTCGCCCGAGACATTGACTATCAGCTCAAAGCTGATCTGCTCTTCGTCCTAGAGAAGTTCCTGGAGCATGGCGTTGAAGTTGTCGATTTCGATGAAGGCTGGAGGTCATTCATGAAGGCGTACCTGACCAGTGTGCAGCATATTGTCGGCAAGCATGCTATGATCAAGGCGAATCGACTCAGCGACACCAGTACGGTTCCGAGCTCCTTTGTTGAAGAGCTTGAAGGTCTACGTGCGAAAGTTGAAGAGCTCAGCGACGAGCGCAGTCAGCTTAAAGCAGACCTCAACGAGTCGATCGCGCAAGCCAACACGCTCCGAGGATTGCCAAGAATTTCGGACGGCGGAACAGCCTCGACTTCAGGCGAATCCGCTTCCGGGCCAAAGCGCGGCGAGAGGGAGAATTTTGCTGGAGTCATCCAACGTCTTGTGCAAAAGGAGAAACAGGTCTTGCAACTCCAATCCGAAGTGGATCGTCTGACTGCATCCCGTCCCCCCGATCGCTCCGGGGCGCCTGACAGCGAGGAGCATGCGAAGCGAGAACGTCTGGAGCGCAACAGGCAGTGGTCGAACCTAATGGAGGAGATCGCGCATCACAAAGAGCGCATTGCGGACACCGAAGGCCAGCTGGAGTCGCGAGAGCGAGAAATCAAGTACCTGAAAAGGGCTCTTGAGGCTGTATATGGACGCTTCCAGGCATCTGTACAGCCCGATGCCGCGACCGGCTCGACCTCGGTCAAGCCGTCTCTGGCCGACACGCCCACACCATTACCCTCACAAGTCGATGCTGATACGATGGCTCAGCGCTCTATCGATGCGCTGGCTGAGAAGGACACCGCCATCGCCACTTTGCGGGCCGATGTAGCCAAGCTGCAGGATCAGCTCGTTCGTCGTACCCAAGAGTCGATTGAGCGAGACGCGGTCACTCAGCAATCGCACTCACAGCTGCTTGCCAAAGCTACAAGCGAGGCGGACGAGCTGCGTGCAGAGCTCACGAAGCTACAAGGGCTTCTTTTGCAACTGCAGCTCGCGCCTACCGGCGCACAGGCCCAAAGTACTACTGCGTCCTCGGACATTGCCCATCGCGCTGCACCCGCACCGCCAATGTTTCCCACTCCTACCGCCATCGAGAATCCCACTCCCGCCGCTGGTCATGCGCCCGCTCCAACCCCACCCCCACCCCCGCCCGCTCCAGCTCCTCCCTCGGGATCCGGCCAAACCTTGCAGGCAGACATGGGGACTGATGCGGATCCAGCGACTCTCGCCCCTCTCGCCCCGCTTCCTCCTCCTCCTCCCCCGCCACCGCCCGCACCAGCCATCGGCCAAACTCAAATTGTACCCCTGGCTCCGGCTCCACCACCACCACCTCCCCCTCCTGCAGGAGCACCGCTCGCACCTCCTCCGCCACCGCCGCCTCCTGCTCTTGGAGGACCGCCCGTACCTCCGCCCGCCCCTGATGCGCCTCCCGCCCCATCTGCTCCTGGCTTCCGAATGATGCCGAAAGCTCCAGCCCTACCGAAATTTCCCGCGAAGAAGCGTCGCGTGAGTTTCTCCCTTCCTTCTAGCCATATCCGAACGTGCTGACATAAGTGACGCTCCTACGCGCAATCAGGCTTTGTTCTGGAATAAATTGCCCAACAATGCGCTCGCTAGAACAGTTTGGCACGACCTGCCCGCTACCTCCAAGATCGATCTGCAGATTGACGAGCTAGACAATCTCTTTGCCCTAGACAAAGCTGCCGCTCCTACTATCGCGCAGGCGCAAATCGCTGTAGGGAGATCATCTGCAAAGAAGGCGGCTCCGGCGACAGTCATCGACCCATCTCGGGCGCACAGCGTTGGGATCCTGCTTGCCCGTATCAAGCTCACATTCCCTCAGATCAGACAAGCGATCTTGGAGCTGGACGAGGAGAGACTTTCCTTGGACAATTTGCGGGCCCTCAAAAATTGTTTGCCGACCACTGAGGAGGCAGAGATGATTCGCGACTACGAAGGCAATGTCGCTCAACTCAGCCGGGCGGACCAGTACTTCCGCGAAATCGTTGGCATTCCAAAGCTTGGCGAACGGCTCACTAGCATGACCTTTATGCGGAAGTTCGAGATGGATCTTGAGGAGCTCAAGCCTGACCTGAAAGTGCTCAGAGATGCTTGCGACGAGATGAACGCCAGCGAAAAGTTCAAGCACGTTTTGCAGACTGTGCTCATGCTCGGGAATGTGCTAAACGGTTCGACGTTCCGTGGAGGAGCCATCGGCTTTCAACTGGTCGACCTGCTCAAGCTGCGTGACACCAAACCGGCAGTCGCAACGCCTGCGACGCCTTCGCTCTTGCACTATTTGGTACGCTTGCTGAATCGCTCAGACCGCACTCTGGTGGGCTTTTTGGACGACCTGCCCCATGTCGAGGCGGCTGCAAGGCTGTCCACGCAGTCCATCATGGCTTCCATCACTGCCCTACTAGGTGGTCACGAGCAGGTGCGCACGGAGGCAGACGTGTTGCAAAGGATTCCCATTTCCCCCGCTGGTGATCGCTTCCTATCCGCTACGGGCGTCTTTTTGACGACGACGACGTCCCAAGTCCGAGCACTGCGCTCGGCAGGCGACAGTATTCAAAATGACTTGGTCCGGCTGGTCGCGTACTATGGCGACGATCCGGCCGTCGTCAAGCCCGAGGAATTCTTTGGGCTTGTAGCGAGCTTTGGACAGGCATTGATGCGTGCCGAAGTCGACGTCTTGGAAGCCGATCGGAAAGCCGAGCTGGAAGTGCAGAAGAAGGCAAAAGCCAATTTCGGCGCCGGTCTTCGCCGTCTAAAGATACCAGAGCCTATCGGACCAGAAGTGCGCGGCCCTCTTGCGGGTGGGAAGAAGGGCGCGGCTGAAGCCGACAGGGTCAGCAGCTCAGACACCAAGTCCTCCGAAGGCGAAGCGACGACTCGGACGGCAGAGGAAGAAGCCGAGGAAGAAGCCGAGGAAGCAGATCAGCTCTCCCCCGTCGGCTCGGACCTTACACCTACCGCTTCTGGCACATTGACGGGTGCGCGGTTCCGGTCTTGGGGAGCAGCCGCTGCGGCCAGCCTGGACAAGTCGCGCTCGTCCGGAGTGCCTGCGGACGACCCTTTGCGCAAGAGCTACCGCGGTGGTCGTGGACAGCTCGATGAGGCGATCAAGGAGCTGAGAAATGGCGGCAGAGCTCATCGCGATCACGGTGTCGGCGGAATAGTCGAGGGAAGCTTTGGCAAGTCGGCAGGCGCGGCGCTGGGCAATGGACGAAAGAGCCTTCGGAGACAAGATACACTCAGAGTGGGCGGATCTGGTGGACATCGACCTCTTTCACGCGTCTTTTTGGATCAATGAGCGGAACGTTGCTCAATTTGAACGCAGGGTGGATCAACGCGATTGGAACTGAACAATGTAAAATTTGCGTGTAATATTATTACAGGATGATTTGCAGATGTCTAGAAGACGTGCGCTCCATTGCATGGTTTGGTGAAAAATTTAGCCTTTCGTCTCGGCGGCAACCTGAGGGGAATTTTGCGCTATTCGCTCGAGCGGGAGAGGAGATGCGATCACGCAGCCCAAGCTTGACTTTGAAGCAGATCGGGCGGCCGTTTCTTCAAACTTTGCGGGCGACGAGAAGATCGCGACTCGAGCAGCTTGTGCAGGCTAAATTGACCGGGTGGACCTAGCTTGCGAGAGCGAGCAAAGAGGCGGATGGGCAAGAAGCGACGATGTGGTAGTGGACTCGATCGCTAGACTATTCATCTGGCAAGATCCAAGCGCCCACCTCTTCCAATCCATCTTCAATGAGCAAGAGTGTGCACTCTCCGCCCGCGGCAATGTCCAGTATCCTCGGGCCTCGATTTGCCTGATCATCAGATTGCTCGGACAATCTCCCGAGTTCGCTATTCGTCGAGCAGGCGCGTCGTTGGTGCAAGGCTGCGGCAAGCCGTAAGGGGGGTAAATGTACCTCTTTGGCTTCGTCGATCCTCTCATCCACGGGCCCCTCAAATATGGCATCAGCGTCTCTCTCATTTAGACGCGATGCGAGTCCCATACCCAACTTTCCGCTCTTATCAAGTCCCCAAGCAAACAATCTTTGACTTTGAGCTTTCGAAGCTGCATCTCGATCGTTGAGAAAGGTCTGGGAGATGGCAAAGATGGCATCGAGAGAAGTGTGCAGTGATTGGACGGGTGGGAGATCAGGAACGCGTTGCAGGGTAAGACTGCATCGGTTTGAAGAACCTCTAGCCATGGGTCCATAGCCTACAGTAAATACTCGTCCCCAAGCTTTTGCGAGTCAAGCAAGGGGAACGTCAGACATGAAGAATAGCTGCGGAACATCTATGCGCACCGAGCAACTTACTGTCAAGCATCACCGCCCAACTACCCCCCAGCTGAATATCCCTCACTCTTGGTCCTTCTTCCTTCGGCCCTAACCCCTCCCTGAGCGCATCTTTCACAAATGCAGTCACCTCCACAGGCTGCCTGATAGCTTCCTGCACCTCTCCTCCAAAAGCTTGAGCATACTCTGAATTGCCCCAAGTCCATACGCGACCTGATCTGCTCTGGGCGAGCGAGGTGTCCCCACTTGCTCGAATGAGCATCAAAGGATCCGAAGCATCCCAAAAGGTTTCGAGGCGAAGGAAAGAACGAGTGAGAAATTGAGGAGAGCAATCGGATGAGCCGAGACCTAGTTGACCGTCCGTGTTGACTGCATGAACATCAAATCAATGCGCAGCTTCCCGCGTGTCAGTTCGTGCATCGACACGTGCGATTGTGCTGATGTACTACTCACTACCCGTCACCCAGACTTCTTGCTCTTGATCACCATCAGTCCCACATCGCTCGATCAACAAGATCGTATGATCCAATCCGTGAGCTACGTCCATCACCCTCATGCCTTCATCGGTATCGCTTTCATTTCCTCTTCTCTTGTTCATCTCGCTCGGATCGCTGCGTTTGAGCAAGACGCGACGTGGAGCAGAGTACAATTCCATTTGCGGTTCGCCTGACTGACTGGTCTGAGAGGCTAGGGAGGTGGAGTAGGGCGATGAGGGGTCTGTAAGACCTAGTTGACCCGTCGTGTGATCTGTAGGCGGGCGAACGAGGCATGGAATGCTGAGCGATTCTTGCGCGTCTCGACTGACACGGAATCGGAAGTTGAAAGGCCTGTCGCGCTCCCTTTAGCCTAGCCTACCCTAGATTCGGATCTAGCCTCAAGACTCACTTCCGAAAGCGAACAAAGCATGCCTTGCACTTGTACGCTTCTCTTGCTCCGCCTGCTGCTGCTGCTGCTGCTGCTGCTCCTGCTGCTGCTGAGCCTGCTGAGCCTGCTCCTGCTCCTGCTCGTGCAAGACACCAAGTTCAGTAACGATGAGCCCCGCAGCATTTCCCATCTTGACCAACTTTACACCTCCTTCTCCCCAGTATCCACCTCTAACAATCCCCCAAGTCGCTTCGTGAGAAGTGAATCCCAATCCCAATTGTCCATGCGTATTCCGTCCAAATGTTGCTATTCGCGTTCGAACGTGTTTCAAACGTCTAGCTTCATGACCTTCTATCGTCCTTGTCCCATTCGGAGCGTTGCTATTTTCGGACCAGAGGCCAGGGTGGAAAGCTGATCTGTCGCCTAGTGTCCGATAGACGATGGCTCCTCCTCCTCCCACATCGTCACTCATATCTAGTCCGACGACTGACAAACCCCTTCTCAAATCCTCAACCGGCGCACCTAGGGCTGCGATCCATTCCTTTTTAAAAGGCACAAAAGAAGTGGTAGCTTGATCCAGAATGGTGCCGGAAAAGAGCAGATGTTGTCGTGCTGAAGTGGTGCTGGTGTGTATGGCGCGCCGATGATGCTCAGGAGCATGAGCCAAGGTGAAAGGTGTGACAGCCGAGGAGCCGAAGGTGCAGTATGAACAGCGCGGTCGCCCACCAGCCACGTCCCACGCTCGATTGGTGCTTGTGCTTGTGTGTGCGAGTGCTTTTGCTGAGTGAAGACCTGAGCAAGGCTCAAGCCTTGCCGCTCTACCGACGCTACCTGCTCTCAACATCCTTCCCACCCCTGCGCGACCCCTCCTTCTGCGCTTCTTCTAGCACTTCTTCTCGTCCTCCACTCGCAAGTCCTCCACACCGATCCCTAACTTGAGCCGGGGGAATGAGCTAGCTGAAAGCAGGGTCGGATGCGATCGAGAACTCGCAATCGTGTAGGGCAATAATAAGGCGACGTCGTGGCAAAAAAAAATTAGCAAAGACGATGCCCTTCTCGACGTCGTCACAGTCACGAGTGTGGATGGCGGATCAAATCCACGTTTCTCAGCTCTTCTCTGTTCTGATTGGTAGGCGCGCATGTCACATTCACGATTGACCCGCCGTGCACGCACGCAACGCCCGTCGGTTGCATCTTCTCAAAAATCGTGCATGATCCGTGCGCGTGCACTTCCTGTTGAGTCGTGTCATCCATCGCATCATCGCATCGTCGGCCATACACGCAAGTCAATGAACAAGGTCGCGAATCGTGTAGCTGTGCCCGTCGAATGGGTTCGCTTTCACTCCGACCCTTCATCTCCAAGCAGCCTTCAAGGTCGAAGCCCGGGGGGACAGTCGCCGTAGGCGCTTCTAAAGAGTACATTGCACAGGACCCCCCAAAGATGCGTGGGACTGCGGCCCTCCTTCTCGTCGCAGCTCGATAACGGACTCAGACTGGCGTCAAGTACGCATTCACGCACGCGAAGCACACGTTCAAAGTAGATGTGAGCATTTCGAGCCTGCAAGTGTTGAGATGGGTGACGCATGTCGTGATTCATAAACAAAAGTTGAGAGCATAATTTGTCGAATGTGGGGGATCGGGGGAAAGGCAGGGAGAGGGGGAGAGAGAGAGAGAAAGAGAGAGAGAGGGGATGTTTTCTTTCAGACGAGAATTTCCCTTATCGGCATGGCTGAGTTTGAGTCGAGTCGTGAGTGAGGTGCAAAGCGGGCGCGGAGGTCAGAGAGAAGAGGCATCATACAGGGCGCTCTGGATTCGTGTGGAGTGCGTCTGCCTGGCGACGTGGAAGGCATCAAGATCGGGGAAGCCGACGCCGAAAAAAGCCGAGCCGACATGGATTGTGCGGGTCGGCGGAACTCGGTCGAGAAACAGCGGGAATGGCGATGCGCAAGGGCAAGCGAACAGATCACTTGTATAGCGTCTTTTCGTACGAGCTCAGACCGTGCACCCCACCCTCGAGCTGAGCACTAGCGGTCCGAAGTTCGAACCTGAGCGTTCCCACCTTGACGTTGTTCCTCAGTTGGTCCAAGCTCTGCACTCCCATGTCCTGAAAGCTGTGCTGCAAGGCAGTGTAGAGGTAATTGATAAAAGGCAGCACGCTACCTTTATCCGTCACTTGGCCCGTAACGCCTTGTGCCACCTTGACCGTATCCTCTTCCGAGAAGTACCTCTGCGTAGCCGCATTCTCTCCCGAAATCTTGTTCGTCTTGCGAGCCATGGAGGTGAGGGACCCCATGCCAGAGTACGCCTTGAACCTTTTGCCGTCTCTGTACACGTAATCTCCTGGCGCTTCCGTCGTTCCGGCAAACAAGCCTCCAGCCATGATGGCCGAGGCACCTAGGGACAAGGCTTTCGCAATGTGGCCCACGTTGCTGATGCCTCCGTCAGCAATGACCGGCACACCGAACCTGTTTGCGAATTCGGCAACAGCGTGCACTGCTGTTCCTTGAGGTCGACCCACCGCCATGACTTCCTGAGTGATGCAGATGGAACCGCTGCCCATACCCACTCTGAGACCGTCGGCGCCAGCAGCGATCAGAGTTGCAGCTTGCTCTCGTGTGACGACATTGCCCGCGATAACATCGATGTGCGGGTAGGTGCTCTTGATCCAGCGAATCATCTCTACTTGGAACACGCTGTTTCCTTGAGACGAGTCGAGGATGACCACATCCAAGCCGGCATCGACAAGGAGTGACAAACGTTCCCGGTCAGAGGGTCTGGTGCCTACGGCAGCAGCGCAGTACAGCTGCTTGGACTCGGGCCTCTTAGAAGCCAATGGGAAGTTTTGGTTCTTGAGAAGGTCGGATCTGGCGAGTAAAGAGACGAGGTTGCCAGCCTCGTCCAAGATTGGAAGCTTTCCTTTTTTGGAATCGCGCAGGATGGTGTTTGCCTCCTCCAAGGTGATGCCCTGCCGAGCCGTGACCAGATCGACAGTCATGACTTCCGTCACCGACACGTCTGGTCGGCGGAATTGCACGTCACGAGCAGTGACGATACCGAGCAGCTTGCCGCGAATCTTTCCGGTATCTAGCGTGCACAAACAAAGTTGGCGGGTCAGTTGAGTTCGTGCTAGACTCGAGGACGAATACGAGCTGGCGAGCAAAGGTCAGTGGACATAGGTTATCAAGTCTCCCCATCCCACCTCGTAAGAGGTTATTCGGAAGAACGAAGGTTACAGCAAAATCGTTGTTTTCATCACGGAAAGCCGCTCAGCACTTGCCGCTTGGTGCTAGACCAGCGAGCAAGTAGCCCAAGAGACGTACTGAGCAGAAAGCAGCTGACTCACCAGTGATCGGTACACCGCCAAAGCCCAAGCGCTGCTTGATATCCAGCACATCTCCAACCTTAGCGTTTGGAGAGAGACAAAGCGGTTCTGTGATGAATCCATTCTCGTACATTTTGACTTTTCGAACCATTTCAGCTTGTTCCTCTGCCGAGAGATTGTTGTGAATGACTCCCATACCTCCCATTAGACCCATGGCGATAGCCATGTCCGTCTCTGTCACCGTGTCCATCGGAGAAGAGAGAAATGGAGTGTTCAGGGTCACATTGCGAGTCACTTTGGTCTTGAGCGATGCAGCAGAGGCTGGAAAGTCAATGTAACCTGGCAATACCAAAAAGTCTAGAGATTGGGCAGGTGCGTGTGTTGAGATGTTAGTCGAGGTTCTTGGGAAGTGAAGATGAGAAGAATCAGATCGCTGCTCACCATTGTAAGTCAAGCCGCCGTGCTGACGGCTGTCGATGAGTTCATCCATGCTCAAGCCATCGCCAGTCTTGTAAGACGCGAGGGTGCTCAGCGCATCAGCAGGGTCGAGCAGCGCCTTGGCCGATGTCGATGGCACGGCCGAGGTGGAGCTTGCAGTGGGTGCCATTGTCAGCAGTGACGAGGCTGTTCGAATCGGTGCTAAACACGTTCGAGGCGGTCTCAGCTGAGATCGCGAGTCCGAATGGGTTAGTTCCAAGTGTCGATGTACGTGGGATACAGAGTCGTTCTGGCTTGCTTTGGGGACAGGCGGGCGTTCGACCTGATCGTGGAGTGCATCAGAGTGCGCTCGCCGCTCATCTGATCAAGGCGGCCCCAAGCAGCCATGACCCACGCACGCTCGAGCACCTCGTCATGACTCCCCCCAGAAAAAATTACAGCGTTCGTGCTGCTGCTGCATGCAAAGTCGCCAAACCGAGCAAAATCATTTTTCTCGAAGGGCGTCGCAATTTCTTTGAAATTAGGTCCCGCGCTGCTCTTTCGGACGAGACCCAAACGCGTCTGGCACAAATTCGAGTCAGAGTCGAGTGGCGCGACGCGACGCGTTGAGCCCACGTGGCACTTTGCGCGGCGTGTAGACCTTTACAAGAGCGCCATCAAGCAGCAGCTTTGTGTGTGGAATTCGCGTCAGACAACGATGGCAATGATGATGTGCTTCTGATGCATGTATGCAACCTTGTAAAGCCGCTTTCCCCCCGAGCGTACCAGAGTACGGTGATACGCAAAGTGTGCAACATCCTCGGTATGTGGGCCTCAAGGCCCCACAACAAACCACAAGAAATGCACGGCTTCCCATCACTTTCTCTCGTGTATCGTGTCGTTTTGCAAGAGGAAGGACAGTGAGGTGACGAGCTGCGCATCAACACGCGAGGCTTCCTCAAGCCTTTCCATCAATGCCCAGCTTGGCGAGATCTGGCAAATCCTCCTTGGAGCTGATAAGCTTCGTCACCTTTCCAATACCAATGGTTCTACCTTCCTCTCGAACGGTGAAGCGGCCCAATTGCGGATAGTCTGCAAACTTCTCAATCGCGATGGGGGCAGTCGTCTCTATGAGCGCTACCACTTTCATGCCTACAGAAGCGATCGAGTTTCAAAACAGGGTATCACGCAAGTCTAGTCAGCGCGTGTTGCATGGAAAGCAACAGCGACGCACTCACCCTTCTTGGCGAACGCGGGAGGTTTGCGACTCTTCTTTCCCGTCTTCTTGTCGTAATAATGGAGCAAAGCATTGAGTTGAATTTCCTCCGATGCGGCGTGAACGTGCATCATGGCCTGAAATCCAGGAGCGATGATGTTTCTCGAGTCTAGGATGGCCAATTGAGCTTCAAATTGTGTGACTACATGGACCGGTTTCTTGGCGTCCGAGAGGACGAAGCCTACGCTTATGTCTTCCGTCTCCACACCTCTGATCTTTACTCGCACATTATCCCCCGAAATAGCAGCTGGCACTTCTTCGTCTTGCTCGTTCGTGATGTTCACCACCTCCACCGAAACCGCGTTCGGCATGACCAGTATGGAATCGCCTTTTCTCACCGATCCAGCTTCCAGTTTGCCCACTACCACCGTACCCATATCCGCGTACTTTTCGGTGATGGGCATTTTCAAGGGATCGTTGATCTTTCTATCGGCCAAGCTGAGGTCGTCCAAAAAGGAGAGCAGCGTGGGGCCCTTGTACCACTCGCCCACACCCTTGGGCAAAGGATCCTTGAGATTATGTCCCGCATAAGCGGACACTGGTAGGAAAGTGACATCCGTCTTTGGATTGAAGCCAGTTCCCTTGAGAAAAGGTGTCATTTTGGTTTGAATCTCGTCGAATCTAGACTTGTCCCACTGGACAGTTGACTCGTCCATCTTGTTCACCACCACGACCAGCTTCTGCACACCGGCAGTCTTGACCAGCACCGCGTGCTCGCGCGTCTGTCCTCCCCTCTCGAAACCAGTCTCGAATTCTCCCCTTCTGGCCGAGATGACCTGTAAAGGGAACAGCGTGCGGCGCGTCAGTACTTTGATCGCTGCGATGCATGATCATAGCAACCCAAGCTCACCAGAATGGCAATGTCGGCCTGAGCAGCGCCGCTGATCATGTTAGGCACGTAACTCTTGTGTCCGGGCGCGTCCAAGATCGTGTAGCGTCTCTTTCCAGTCTCGAAGAAAGCTCTGCCGACCTCTACAGTCTTGCCCTTTTCACGTTCCTGAGGCGTAGAATCGAGTGCCCAACTCAAGTACCAGCTCTCTCTTCCAGCTTCTTTAGCCTCCTTTTCAAACTTTTCCAGCGTCCTCTTGTCCACCATTCCTGTCAGATGCAGTAACTGACCTCCCATTGTCGATTTTCCCGCATCGACATGTCCGATGAACACAACGTTCAAGTGAGATTTGACGTGCGCATCGCCAAAGAGATCTTTAAGCGTCTCTTCGTCCGTAGCCTTGTGTGCCTCGTCCAACACCTTTTCAGCATCCGTCGCGCTCTTTTCTCCGGCAATCTTCTTTTTTGGTGCAGACGCAGATGCAGAAGCGGATGATGCTGAAGCTTTGCCGGCGACGGGCGATTCGGACCGGGATCCAGGCGGGGACGCTTCGGGCGTCGAAGCGGCCTTTGCTGCTGCTTCGCCCTTCAGTGCCGCAACTGCTGCTGGAGCTGCTGGAGCTGGCAAAGCGGCAGCAGGGTCAGACGCACCTTCTGCTGGAGCTGTAGCGGCAGGTGGCGGAGCTGTAGACGCTTCACCGCTTTTGGGAGCAGCCGCTCCGCCACCAATAGAGATGCTAACGGGTTTGCGCGGCGCATCACCAGCAGTAGTCGGCGCCGGTGCTTCCTTCTTCGCACCTCCAATGCTGATGCTGACTGGTTTCCGGGGCGCATCATCGGCCTTTGCAGATGCGGGTGTAGCCTTTGCACCCCCAAGGGACATACTAACAGGTTTTCTGACTTGGCCCTCATCGGCTCCTGAAGTCTCGTCTACAGGTCTCGGGGGAAGACCTGCAGGACCTCCACCGGGGATCGGCGCTCTGGCTTGAGGTGGAGGCGGCAAATTGGATCCTGCAGCCGGTCTAGCTTGGGCTTGACCATGGTAAGGTGATCCTTGGCCTGTGAAACCTTGCTGGGCGTATCCTCCATACGCTTGTTGTTGTGGATATCCTCCATACCCTTGACCTTGGCCTTGTCCGTAGCCATACCCAGTGTACCCCTGTTGTCCGTATCCACCGTATTGCTGTGGAGGAGGCGCTCCTCCTGCCGCGCCTGTAAAGCCTTGCTGGTAGTAATTACCCTGCGGCTGCCCTTGGTGCGGGTTTGGGTCGCCTTGCCCCTGACCTTGACCTTGACCTTGGGCACCACCTGGCTGGAAGCCGGACGCCGAAGGATTGAAAGCGAAGGAACGAGCGTTGGGGTTCATCGTGACAAAAAAATGCGAGCAGCTGCGCCACCTCGAAAGAGTCTTGGGAGCTCCTCTATCTATTGTGCTGGCTTTACGAGAAATGGACTGAGCAAAGCAGACGCACACGTAGAAGGGGTAGGATTGCCTTTAATTGTGGAGCACCAGATGGAAGTGTGAGAAGCGCGATCAAGACGAATGCGGGTACCTCTTGTTCCGAACGGGGATGTGGACGTGAAAATTGTAGGAGCTGTCTCTGTATGAGAGACTCAACTTGAAGGTGCCTTGGCTCGAGAGGCACCGTCGTGAGTGACGAGTGACGCTTGCATACAGCAGGCATGCATGCATGCAGGCAGGCAGGCAGGCAGGCAGTTGCAGCAAGCAAGCAAGCAAGCAAACGCACTCGTCGCGCTGATCGCCGCCTTCCATGAACGCGGTCCACGTGGGCGCGGCACGGCACACCCACGGCCATATGACCTCATTCAGAATCGAATCGCTCGCCGTCGTAGTTTCGTTTTGACCTTGACTCACAGACTCGTGACTCGCGACTCGCGACTCGCGACTCACGACTGACTCTGACTTGGCGCTCCAAACTGCGCGCCGTTCCGATACAGGTTCAAGATTCGACCAGATCACCATCCGTCACCGTCTGACTCGAGAAATGCTCTCGAGTCACACAATTTGCCATACATTGATTGGGTGTGAAGTGGTGAAGGTCGAGCGCAAGCGGTCAGGGTAGAGCGACCAAGTGCACTAAGCAGCGCTCCCAACGCAGCTTTTGCACAGCTTTTACACAATCTTCAATGCGATTGCATGTGTCGCCGTGACTCGCAAAGCTTTGCACGGCATTTTGCCATCCAGCCACGAGTATGACTCACACTTTCGAAGGCAATTTCAAGTCAGCTGCACGCTCTTTTTGCACTCGTGACTCTTAGAGTTCGATCGTACGCTTTCTATATGCGTGTGAGGATCAGGAATGATTTGGACTGAAGAATGCCAAGTCAGCTTGTTGTGATTGAACGGGAGCAAGTCAGCTTGAGCTGATTCCACCCTCGAACGGCTTTCGATATATCTGTCTGCCCCACATCCTCCACCTCCTCCTACATCTACATCGACCCGGCCAAATGGCGTCTGCTTGCGTATCATTTGTGACGAATGGCTTGCGTGAGCCACACCGAGAGCAGAGCAGAGCAGAGCAGCTGCTCGCATGAACCGTTTCCAGTCTCACATCTCGAATTCGAGACCCGACCCTTGCACCTTCATCCAAAGATTCGACGGCGGGTGACACTCAGAATCGATTGCGAAGCGGATGCGTAGAGTGTATCAGAGGGCGTGTGAAGCATTATACTGGAGGCGCGGCGAGTAAGAGTGCGCATCACCTCTTTCCTTTGACAGCTGCTCTTCGTCCTTGACCTGCCCGGAGCATTGCAAGCGAAGAGGTGGAAAGGAGATGTAAGCATTACACGAATATCGTCTCATCAAATCCAGACAAAGTCCCCTTTTCTTCCCTATTCCACCATTGTGTCACACGAGCACCTGCTAATCCCGCGTGTTGACTTGGAAACTCACCCTTCTTGGGCGGGTTCTTCCCATAATGTTTAGCCTTGTCCAGATCAGCCAATCGCTGTCTCTCGTTCCAATCCACCACGTCCCTCCATAAATCCCCTTCCAGCTCTCTACCTAACATGTTGACAGATCTCAAATTGAGCGTAGGAGGATAGTACCTCAACATGCTAGGACCTCTTAATCTGGCACGTAGGATTTTGGATCCGGTTCGCACACCACCCGGATTGGAGAGGCTGGGTGTGGATGTTTGGAAGATGCGCGATCGTGCGACTGCTAACGAGCGCAGAAGATTTGTGGATGAGGAGGCCATGACTGGTGTGGTGATCGTGGTACACAGGATGAGATGTGGCCGCTGAAGTCAAAGTGCGAGTGAGGGCCAGATGAGCTTTCTGTGGAGTGCCAGATCGCCCTGGATGAAGGACCGGATGGGCTGCTTGACGTCTGCTACGTCAAGGCTGCCTCGCTTCTCGCTTGCTCTCGGTCTAAGCCTGGCCTGCTTGAGGAGAGCGAGCAGGATCTGGGGGTGACTATACGGCGAGCGTGGATCATCGGGTCTTGTGGTAGGTGTGAGTCTATCCAATTCACCATTCACTATTCTCAGCCAGAAGGCAACCAACCATGCATGCATGTGTTCCACACCCGTTGCAGGCAACCACGTGGAAGAAAGAGGCCGATGCTGAGTGGGACGCCTACGTGGCTGTGGTCCCCGTGCGTCCGTGCGCCCAACACCAGCCTGCGCGCAGCATGCATGCATGAACCCATCGTAGTAGGTCCATGCGCCCGACACATTAACCGCATCGGCGAATCTGCAGCAGACACACGAACCTATTCACAAGTGGACCGACTCGTCGACGCCATCATCATCATTCAGCATAGCATACATCGACAAAGTGACTTCAGCATAGTGTACATCGATAAAGTGACGATCCAAGGCGCTCTCCCATATCACACTTACCCTTCTCACACTCGCGCACACGCTCCTCACCCACCATCATGGCGCTTCCATCCAACATAGACTTTGCCGTTCGAGCGACCGACGGGCTTCCCACCCTTCTCATCTCCGAAGCGTCCAAATCATACCCCAAGCCAGATGGCATCAAATTCACATATGGCACCGCCGGTGTCCGAACAAAGTAAGTGACAATCCTCTTTCCTGGCCGGTTACCCGGCTTGGCACTAATTGCGTCAACTTGATGTCCCCATTTTGTGCTCGCAGAGGAGATGTACTAGAAAGCACTTGTTTCAGATTGGCACTCATCAGCGCACTCAGAAGCAAACGAATGGGCGGGAAAGTCGTCGGTATGATGGTAACTGCATCCCACAATCCCGAACCAGTGAGTATGCAAGCACAAAATACGCTCTGACGTCGTTGAGTTGCTCACCAAGTCCACCGCTCTTCCACCCAGGACAATGGACTCAAAGCTGTGGATCCACGAGGAGAGATGCTGGCTTCGAACTGGGAGCCATACTGCACAGAAGCAGCGAACGCCTTGACGGACGAAGAGCTATTTGCAGTGCTGCAAAGGCTGATCAAGGCGGACAGTATCAACTTGCAGACTCCGGCAGTCGTCGTTTATGCTCACGATACGCGCCCTTCGAGTCCCAAGCTCGTCAAAGCCATCGAAGCGGGTCTGGCCGCAATAGGTGCAGAGGGACGCAACGGAGGTCTGCTGACTACTCCCCAACTGCACTACCTTGTCAAGGCCTACAACACTCAGAGCACTCCTGATCCGTACGGAGAGCCCACGGAGGAAGGGTACTACAAAAAGCTTGCGGATGCCTTCCAGAGGGCCATCGTGAGTGCTCGTCGTCCATACTGACGCCGAATTTGCGCGGACTGCTGAGCCTGTGTTTGATCCATTGTGTAGGCCGACAAGCCAGCTACCTCTCCCCTTACTGTCGACTGTGCCAACGGTGTGGGTGCGATCTCTTTGCAGCGTTTCCAAAAGTACTTGCCTGCGTCGGCATTGCAGGTGCGAGCTCTTCGCACATCCATCGATACCGCCGGAGCGCTCAACAACGGCTGTGGAGCAGACCATGTCAAGACGAAGCAGGCGCTGCCTTCTGGTTTCGAAAAAGAGGTCGCCGAGGGGGAGCGTCTGTGCAGCTTTGATGGCGATGCGGACCGCATTGTGTACTACTACTTGAATGGGCATGCTTCGCAGAAGGAGAGCTTCAGATTATTGGATGGCGATAGGATCGCTGCTCTCGTGGCCGATTACATCAGCGAACTAGTCAAGCGCGCAGGGATAGCCGATGAAATCAAGATCGGATGCGTGCAGACCGCTTACGCGAATGGAGGTTCGACAAAGTACTTGTCCCAGGTGAGCAGAGCTGAAAGGACTGTCCACGACGTTGCTGTTGCTGAAGGCGAACGTGCATCTGCGTCTTTTCGCCTCTTCGCCAGCGCGTACCGGTTGTTTGCACCTCTACGGGAGTCAAGCATCTGCATCACGCCGCCGAGTCATTCGACGTGGGCGTCTACTTTGAAGCGAATGGGCACGGTACCGTGCTGTTCTCCGACTCTGCCCAGTCACTGATTCGCGGCAAGATCTCCTCCAGCTCTCCTCAAGGTGATAGTCAGTCCGCATTGTCTCAACTATCTAATCTGATCGATCTCATCAACCAAACGGTGGGGGATGCGCTATCGGACATGCTGCTGGTAGAGGTGGTGTTGCGTCAAAGAGACTGGGAACCTGCGCATTGGGACAGTCTGTACACAGACCTGCCGAACAAGCTGCTCAAGGTCATCGTGCCAGATCGCGCGCTCTTCACCACGACGGATGCGGACAGGAAACTCGTCACGCCAGACGGACTGCAGCAAGAGATCGACAAGCTGGTGGGCAAGTATTTGGAGGGGAGAAGCTTCGTCAGACCTAGCGGAACGGAGGATTGCGTGAGGGTGTATGCTGAAGCGAGAATCCAGCAGGAAATGGAGGAATTGGCCAACAAGGTCGCGAAACTTGTTACGGATGCTGCAAAGAATGCTTGAAAGCGCATATAGCCACGGTCACTGATCGCACTCGTTGCAATCGCATCGCGTTATCTTGTGACTGACTCCACGTCCGATTGGGGGCTTTTGTGCTTTGCGCAGCGTGGTGAATGCTTGACGTATAACATCGAATCAACTACAAGCGGCGACCTGTTCCTAATGAGCGACTCAAGTCGCTTAGACGTCGCATTGAGGATTTCGGGATGAGAAGCCTGCTTGTCGGATGAGGGCTTCGAAAGCTGTCGTGCTTTCAACTCGCATTGATGCAAGCACACTACACGAAATGGACGTTCACGAAGTTTGAGGAAGAAATGTGAATGCTCTGAGGATCGAATCAGGGCCCTCTCCAATTCATGGGCCCTTGAGGGTGGAGCATGGCCAGAAGCGGGAGTCAGCGAGCAAGCTTTCAAGGGAGGGCACGACACGCAAGATACGAGTCGAGGCGCAGGATGACTCACCTCGATTCTGCCTCGGGCTGCTTCTAGCTAGGAAGACAAGCCCGCAACGCGTTGCTCGTTGTAGTGCAAGCATAGCAAGAGACCTGCTATACCCTATTCCTGACCTCTGATCCATCCCCACCAACCCCTTGTCACTTCTCGCTCGTTCATTATTCCTGCGCCTCCAGCCTCAACACCCCTCTCCCTTTTTTCCCGGACCATCCTGATCAATCTATCCTTCTCCTCCTGCTCCAATTGTGTCTGTTCGCGAGCATCCAGGTAGGTCCAGAGGAGTTGCAGAGAGAAATAGATGGCGGTGGAGTAGCCCAACACGCGAATAAACGGCGGAAGAATTTGTCGGTAGAAATTTCGATGACGGGAGTGGTCTGTGCGAGGGTCCGAAGGAGGAGGAGGAGGAGGAGGAGGAGGAGGAGAAGAAGGGGAAGCAAAGGAAGAGGAGGAAGAGTTGGAGATGGAAGATTGAGCAGAGGTCGCATCTTGTGAAGACATCGAGCTGTGGTGCAGTGTCGCTCGAGCGAAGTGGCGGGGAGTGAGACGTGTTGGAGATGGGAACAAACGCGACGCGGCCACGCCTGCCAGATGGCTTCGCCCAGCCAAGTTGACCATCTCGTCGAGACCCTATATATGCTCCTTGGATTCCAGCGTGCAGAAGGCTTTGTTAGGCAATTGTGAGGCTGAGATCCGTCTCTGACCTTGCTATGCTTGTAGGCGGGAGACAACCGAGTGCACCAAGCATCTACATGTATGCCATGTCGAATTAATCACCGCGGATCTTAGGTATCTGCTGCCGCCTCGAATTCAATTCGCAATCAGAATTCGCAATCGACGGCGCGCTCGGCAAGCAGGGCGCACGTGATCATCTCTGGCGAGGGAGGCCCCGCGCAGCGCGTCGCGCGACACAGCCTCACGCGCAAGCGTCATCTCATTTCTGTGACGGCAAGCCCCTGCATATAGGCGCGGTGGCTGGATGGTGCACTCATTCAAGATTATTGGCTTAGACTGCACCTGTACCGTACCGACTTTAGACTCGTGACTGCATCTGTACCCTACCGAATCAGTACCGGTACAGTGAGTGGTGAGTAAGTCACAGCTGCCGGCGAGGACGCAGCAGCAGAAGCATTCCTGCAGGGTAGCTGATCTCGGACGCAGTCACCTACAGAGTCACAGTCCGACGGAGCGCACCAACGGACGGTATTCACTCCCACACTCACATTGTACCCTGAGTTGAAGCTCGAAGAGTGTTGAGGTGAGGCGTGGCAATAAAAACAAGACGGCACGTCCGCTCGTCAGCTCGGTCTGCGGCTCTTCCCTCTTCACGCCATCCCTCCAATTTTCTTGTCCTCATACAGTCCTCTCGCCCTCTGCACCCGACGCCAACATCCAGACGGGGTCTTTGTATCGGTCCGCACGGGTCCGCTTCCTCAGAGGTACCGCCGTCATTAAGGGAAAAGAGCAGACGCGCATCAATTGTCTGCTCATTGCTATTGGCGCTGCTCGAATACACACACGAAGGAGCTGACTGTCAAGTCCCTCAAGCAAGCAAAGCTGCCGCGCCATGGTTAGGCTCAAGGTCGAGTAGACACAACACGGACAGTTCCTGCCCTGCCCTGCCCTGCCCTGCCCTGCCCTGCCTGTCCTGTTCCAAAAGTCTCGTGTGGATCGTGGTGCTCTGCACTCTGCGCCGCTTGCCCTACTAGCATCGTCGCCAAGAAACACAGCACCGCTCCTCGCCATTCCCACACACCACCAAATCGGCTCCTTTCAGCATGGCGAGCGACCAAATTGGCCGCTTCGAGCCCATGCCTGGCATGCACATCCTCTCGCAGCCAGGTCATGCGGTCCGCATTGCGGATCCTCGCTTCGACATTCAGAGCTTGTCCATCTCCGCCACAGTCAGCCTTTCTCCAGTGGCAGAGACTCGCACGAGGCGCATGAGCGGGCAAGACTTTTCTGCGTCTCTTCCTCCCAAGAGCGAAGCAACGTCAGTCGACTCTCCCACAACAAATGGGCGCAGTAGGGTATCTTCTTCCACTTATCATACCCAACCTCCCGTTTCAGCTTCGGCCAGCGCCGCCAAGCGCGTCTCACAACGAGTGACAGATGCTGAAACTGCCCAAGTCTTAGAGCATTGCTCATCACAACCTTCGGCATCCCCTTCCAAGCCCGAGCAAAACCTCTCTACTGCCCTGCTGCGAGTCGGCTCCTCATCCTCGAGCAGCTCGAGCAACATGCACTTGCCAAAATCTCGTCCAAGGTCTGCCGATATTGGAAGTAGAGCGCGTGATGCCCTCTTGGATCTCGGTCGGGCGGCCAGGGAGCTCAGAGCACCTCGCGCTGTGATGGGTCAACATGCTGCACTCAGTCTCACATCTCAGCTCGAAGCTGCACCGAACGGCAACTCGATGGCGGCGAACGCAGTTCCGCAGGGCTTGGCGCAGCCCGACCAAGGCTCTTGGGAGCCGCCATCGAGCATCAGCCGGGTCAGAGTTCGTCGTGTCTTGCGTCTCAGGCCGACACCTATCCAACCTGCATCGCAGATCAGTCAGCCTCGCTCACTTCGGACGAGCATTCAGTCTAGGTTGGAATACTCGGACGATCCTGTTCAAGGTCTTGGAGCTGGACAACATTCTGGTCTGTGGGCCAGGTTGGGCGCTCCGCCTTGCGAATTCGTCATGGATGAGGAGCCTGGCGCATCTGAGGATGCCGATGCGGAGGAAGATGAGATCGACCCGGCGCATGACAGCCTGTTCCGCCTGCAACGTCCAAGAGAAGCGGCACACAAGCGGTGGTCTGACGCAGACAAGGATCAGAGGGATGTTTGCAGCCTTGTCGAGAGCCACACCGTCAATCTCAAGGTGCGATTGCGGTTCCAAAGCGCGCATTCTGCGGCGACATCATCCAACAGCACCTCAAGTGCGGAGATTGGTTCTCGAAGGCGCACGCCCTCCTCTTCTTCAAGACCAAATTCGGCGCATTCGCATGCGCTTTATTTTGTTAGCGCGGATAGCTCTTCCCAACTACTGCACGTGCTCAACGCTGCCGACAACAAATTGCGAAGTCGAGCTGGCGGACTGATACGACCAGGCTGGACTGTCGTGCCGCAAGACGAATTTCAACAGGAGCGAGATCAAGACTTTGACGTCGAGTGGACACCGGAGCAGTTCGGCAAGACGGGCAAGAGAGCCTGCTGCTTCGTCGAGGTGGACGAGCGGAATAGCAGCTCGCGCATCTTGGCAGGATTCGCTTTTTTTGTCGATCCTCTTGCTCCCGCGACGTCTGGCATTGCACCGACTCCGAGCCGGTCTGCAGCTACGTCGCCCGCTTCCGCGTCACGAAGCTTACCGCACGATTCCGATGATCGCCGTCTCACGATGTGCAAGCCGGAAAGCGATCCAGTTCCATTTCCGAGCAGTGATCCGGCTCCCTCCGGTGCTACGTCGAAGGCTCTATTGGTGGACCATACCGAAATCACCGTGGCTAACTGTCTCGAGGCCGATTCGCCTTTGTTCAGAGCTGCGGTACAGAACCTAAGTCGACGGACTGCTGCGCTCAAAAAGCAGGCCAAGGCGGTCCTGCGCGCCACGGCTGATGTCCAGGCGCACGCCAGCGCATCGCGTGCGGCCCATGGGGCTCTGGATGATGCGCTACAGGATCTGTCCATGAGCCAGCCTAACACACTTGGAAAGCTGTTGCAGCTCGCACTGACTCAAGCAAGAACGCGAGCCAGGGCGCAGGACGAGAGCGAATCTAGCATGCTAGACAATTGCGTCACTGGCCCCGTGAGAAACCTGCTCGAGCTTTGTCGGACCGCACAAGAGCACATCAAGCTCTTCGAAGCGGACAGCAGAGCGTATTACAACCTCACGCAGAAATGGCTCTCTACCAAGACCATTTCGGCCGGCGCGATGTCTGCAGATGTCGATGCGGATGTGAGCTACGCTTCGAATGCTGTGGGCTACGACAAGGGTCAAGCGAAGCAGGACAAAAAGGACGAGCTGCAAAGACTCAGACAACTCAAGTTCGATAGAGCCAGAGTGGAGCTTTATAGGGTACATGCTGCGCTGCATGGAGGTGCTGCAGAACTCGAGTCTGCACAACAGATCCTGTTCCTGTGCAGGTGGCACGCCGATACTGCGCCAACTAGCACGACTCAGCCGCGCTGGCCAGCTCCTGCGCTCTATTCGGCGCTGGAAAAGTTCGGGGACGAAGCGCTAGCTGCTGCTCAGCAAGCCAAGGCGAAGGATGTAGAGGCACGAAAGGCACTCGATGTGCTCGACGCTCAGATTACCGAGCTGGACGAGACTTTCGCTGGCGCAGCACAGGCTCCGGCAGATGCTACCGATCCAAGCACTACTCTGGGCTCTGTGGAAACCAGCAAGAATGCAGCATCGGCGAAGTTCAAGAGCCTTTTGAGCAGCTTTGGGGCCATTGGCTCTACGGGTCTGAGTGCGGGCTCTGCTGGTAGGAACGCGGCGCCAGCTGATCAAGCACATGTCGAGGCGATCGTGGACACGCCCATTGTGACCCAGATGCCGGACAAAGGCTCATCCCTGTCATCGACAACTGCGCAGCCAGCTGCAGCGGGGCCCGCATCTGCAAGCACGTCTGCCACCAATGCGATCGGGTTGATGCGCCAAAAGGTATCGCAGAGGTTCGTCAATGCGGGGCCTGCTACCACTGCCATCACCGGTCCGGTCATGGGCGCCTTTCAGCGCTTCCGAGGTACGGCAAGTGGCACTGCCAATGTAGACGAGCACCTGACGAGCCCGCAAGAACTCTCCACGTCACTTCCCTCTGCGACGCCAAAGCATTACAGCACGAGCGGGGCCATCACTGCTCCCGCCGCACCTTCTTTGACTGCTGTCAGTCCGTTTGCCGTCGATGCTAGTCCCATAGGACTCGGTACACCCCGGGGCGTCAATCGAGATACGCCTCGACGAGCCCTGAGTCAGTCCAACACTCCTAGCCCCTTTGCCAGCAAACAAGGCTTGCTCGATTTCAGACAAAGACTGGTATCGGCTACCTCACCTGGTCAACAATCGAGCGCGCGCACAACGCAGAGAGGCAGTCCGTCTATGAATCGATCGTCGTCCGAGTCGACGCACACCGGACGCGGACTTGGAACCCTTGCGGGCGCAGGAAGGAGCACTTCTTCCTCATCTGGACTCGGAATCGGAGGGCTTGCGATGGAGGACCAGGATGTCCGCCAAATGCCAATGTCGTCATTGATCAGCGCTGCCCCTCGCTTTGGACCGTCTGATGGCCTTCTAGCTCAATCTTCGAGGCGGAAGAAGGAAGGCTTGCTTTGGGTCCACAGTAGACCTATCAACAGCACGAGCGCTTCGGATGCTCCGAGAGGCGTCAATCGTTCAGCGCATTGGCGCGAAGCGTGGGTCGTCCTTAGCGGCTCAGGTCACCTCGGAGAGTATGCGGCTTGGCGTGAAAAGAAGATCTTGGAGCCTAGTCAGCCCATGATCGATCTTCGATTTGCTACAGTGCGGGAAGCTAGAGGCGTGGAGAGAAGGTTCACGTTCGAGGTGATCACGCGCGACCAGCGCAGGTTCTTCCAAGCTCCTGATGATGTGGCAATGAAGAGCTGGATCGCGGCTATCCGCAAAGCGATCGAGAGCTTAATCAATGGGACCAGCAGCGTGCGCCAGATCGACAAGGTCGCTAGGTCAGCAGAGATGACTGAAGCTTTCGAGTCTGTCTCTGGCGCGGACGACTTTGGTCTGGCGGCCCTCAGACCTCTCGGTCCTTCAGACAATGGCAATGCACTTGCCAGTCAGAGCAAGGCTTTTAGCCAGAGCTTGACGGATTTGAGCAACATAGCTACCAATCGTCTGTTCAATAGGCAGTCGGACAGCTTGCAAAGACAAATGGCACCGGCGTCAAGTTCCCGCCATAGCTTGGTCTCACCTCAATCTCCGTCAAGCCCATACCTGTCGGTCTTGATGGAAGGCTCGCGCAGTGGTATGCCCACGACTCCCACTCGACCTTCGCACGAGCGTGGCATCTCCAACAAGACGCCTGTCTCGGGCTATGTTGGCGCGCACGATGCGAGCGTCGAAAACATCACCATCACGTCTCCTTTGCAGACGGCGGCGGGGGCTTCGCGTCAGTCTTTGCTGCGTCGCCAACCGACAGACTCGAGCGATGCGGGCGCTCCACCTTGGATGGCGGACAATGAATTCGATGCGCGTATCGCTGAGCTTGTGCAAGGCTCCTATGGCGATAGTACCACGGACCTGTCTACTGTTCAGATTGGACCCGCGCCTATGATGGCTGGCAGCAGCACGAGCAGCGGTGCGAGCGGCTCGACTTCGACAAGCCAAGCGAGAAGAATGAGCCAGGCTTCCAACCATCGAAGAGCTTCCACGGAGCTCCAATCTCCATCTAAAAGGCTGTATAGACCTCACCTATCGACGGACATGAGCGGTGCTAAGCTGCCCAGCTCGAGCGCGCAAGAAACTGCTGGGACGACGACGGGCAATGTGCGTAAAAGAGTGGAACGCATCAATTCTGGTCAGTCTGGATCCAAAGTTTCGCGCGCGGCGGAAATCGCTCGAATTTCGAGGTTGCCAGAAAATTCCGCGTGTGCAGACTGCAGGCTGCCAGGTGAGTCTTGCTCGGAATGCAGCTAGCCGTAGACGGAGATGCCTTTACGCGTCATGTTGACCCATTGACTTGCTACACCTCCTCGCAGATCCTCGATGGGCATCTTGGGCTCTGAACGGTCAGCCATGCTGCATCTTTATCTGCATCAGTTGTTCGGGCGTGCACAGGAGCCTTGGCGTGCACGTGAGCAAGGTCAAAAGCGTGGATCTGGACGACTGGACCGAGGAGCAACTGGATGCGGCGCGCGAATGGGGCAATGCGCGCGCCAACTCGTATTATGAAGCGAGTCGACCCGCTGGCGTCGTGAACCCTCTAAGCACCACGGCTCGCGCGGAAAAGACTTTTTGGAAGGAAAAGTACTGCGAGAAGAGGTGGGCTGCGCTTGGACCGCGCGAACAGTTCCTTGGAGCCTCTTTCTCGTCGGAAGGCTCTGATGCCAACGCTGCGAGTTCGAGCAGTAAGATTCGAAGCCCAAAGCGAACGTCTACGTCGTACCCCATAAGATCCTCCTCGCACGTCCAGACGCTCAGCTACACTTCGGGAATCCCTTCGTCGGACGACAGAAGCGCGTTCTCGCAGGACTCGCCTCTGAGCAGCAATGGCATGACTGGCATCCAGCTGGCATCGACCCCTCGTCCTTCTATACCGCCCAGAAGCCCAACCGTCCAGCGAGGCATCGCCAGTCACAGTGTCGGGAACCAGCCGTCAGCTCATTCGATCACCGCGTCGCCCAAGACGCTGGAACGTACAGCTGCTATCACTGCTGCTGGATGGAGCTTCACACCCGAGACGACCCCGTCTCGAGATCTCTCTAATGGCACGAACAAGTCGACAGCTCTTGCGCACATGGAGGCTGCACCACAAACGCCTACACGTTCTCACAGCCGTAGTCAATCTTCGTCTCATCGATCGCCTCAAACTCCTTTGGCGTTGGCACGTTGATCGCAAAGCGTCCTGTCCGACTTTTTTCTGCCGTGCCCTACGTTTCTGTCGTGCGCCCTTCAAATTTCGATACCTCTTGCTCTGCACTCATACCACGATACGCCAGTGCGAAGCTTTGCAAGCCTCGTCGTCTTTTCTTTGCTACCTTGACGCTTCGTCATCCCTGCCCCTGTCTCAATGTATTCTACGCAAGTGACGAAGACATGCTGAATTGTGTTACGATCGTGCAGATCAACATGGACTTCGCCCATCGTTGCACTTCACAATAGCCTGTCTTGCTACATTGAACCTTTGACATCTGAGCATGCGCACGCGATTCACTCGAAACGTAGCGCAGCAGACTTGTATTGTCCATACGACTGCTTTCGTGAGTGTCCTGTCTAAGTTTGTGATGTAACCGAGTGATTGAGATTGTGAGGTGCTTTGCTCGAGATTGTTAGGGAGGTGCTGTAAAGTGGATAGGCAACCCTCAAGACCGTCGTGGCAGTCGCAAAAAAAAAGAAGTCGTTCGAGGGGCCATAAAGAACAGCTTCGCCTCTAGAATCTGTTGAGGTCCCTTCCAAAGATTCGATTGACGGCCCAAAAGAAAGGTACGAGGATTCTGTTCCTGTTGCTCAAGCTCATAAAGGTATAAGCGCTTCTCCAAATAATCCAAGCCCATCGCCCATGGATCTTGGCTTGCGGAGAATCCACGATTGCTTTTCCACCGCCCAGAGCGGCCATCTGGCCCATATTCTTGAAGGTGAATTTGGTCTCGGGTGAGATTTTGCCGTTCAGTACGGAAGCTACGTACTTGCCCTTCTGAGCCGCTACTTGTGCGGTAGCGGGTAGAGGAACCCCATCGATTTGCGCACAATCCCCAATCGCATACACATCCGATAAGACTTTGGGCGCGCTTGGGGTTGCTTCGGAGCTGCTAGTGGCCTCGACTTCACCCTGTGAAGCGAGCGCGTGTAAGTGCTCGTTGGTGTACAAGAACGAGTTGCGCTCGTCTTTCTTGATGCAGGTTATGGACTGAGGCACAGTGATTGCATGCAGAGTGTGTTAGCGGACGCAGGCAATGCGGGTTTGTCTCTGCCCCAGTGTCGATTCACCTTGACGAGCGGTGTGCTGCAAACACCCGTTGACCAAACAAGCAGACCAAAAGGGACTGCGAGGGGTCCGGAGGCGGCGCATAAGTCAGCGCGGACGGGCAAAGCTCGACACATCACTTTTGAAGGCTTCTGGTCCAGCGTCGACTTACTCTCGCCATCAGGCTCGACGACGAGTCTGCCCCTGTCCACTCTTTTGACCTGCCTTTCGAGCAAAATCTTGATCCCATCCCTCTTGAATTTCTGCCTGGCATAGGTCGAGAGACTAGCATCGAAGGAAGAGAGGATACCGCTGGAAGCGTCAATCAGAGTGATTTGTGCCAACGGTGCCACTTTAGGGAAGATGCGCGTCAAGTCGGACTTGACTAGATCGTGCAGCTAGGGACCAAGGAGTCAAAACGAAAAGGGACGAAAGACATTCAGACACAAGAGCGTAAGCGCTCATTGGTCAATTGGAGCCACGAACCTCTGCTGCAAACTCTGAGCCGGTCGGCCCTCCGCCAACGACGATGAAACTGAGCAGCTGCCTGCGCTGCTCGTCGCTCATGCTGGGTAGATGCGGTGCGGAAGCAAGGCGATGCGAAAGTATTAGTCATCGCTCTGGCTTGCATTGAAACGAGGTGCACTCACGTTGGGTGATCAGCCATCTCAAACACCTCCAGAATCCGCCATCTACGTCCAGAACAGGTGACCCAACTCGGCTCAGCGGTCACGAGCATCGACGAGCTCATTTGGGATGAATCACTACTCACCGAATCGACCGAGCATTTTGCACATCCTTCAGAAACCAGGCATTTTCTCGAACACCTGGAGTCTTGAATGTCCGGTTATAAGCACCAACCCTATGGTGTGCAGGAGGCGAAGTAGTTGCGCTCATCAGGACAGGTCATCGAGAGCTCTCTGACGCTCATCGATCGGAGCCAGCGTTGTTCCTCTCCGCAGCCGGATTACTCACGAGATGACCAGCTTGTCGTACGGCAACAAGTACTGTCTGCCTTCTTCAGCGCTTCTCCACGTCTCGCCCTCGCTCTGGGCATGATGTCTGCTTCTGCTGCTCTCCCCATCCACCTCCACTTCTGAGCTCTCGATAGCTCTCCTATGAGGAGGTCTGACAAAGCTAGTGCTATGACCACCTCTAGCATTCGGGAAGCTCCTCATGGGTGCGTCGTCCGGACCCAGCGTGGCGGGCGGTGCGGTTCTGAAAGCAGGGGGATAAGCTGGAGTTAGGAGCAAATGTTTGGCTGTAGTGTCGATGCCGTCTGCCCAGGCGTGGTATAGCTGCGTGGATCCGCACGACCTGACAGACTCCATGGTAGCTTTGAAATCCAAGGAACCTACAGCTGCTTGAGCTAGCAAAGGCGTCATGTTGAAAGAGCTGTTGGGAGACACGCAAACCACTTCGTACTTGGAGTGATCGATGGACTTGAGAACCGTCATTGCTCCCCAGCCTGACCCTAGGACTACAACTCGAGGTTTTATCTTGCCAGAGCTGTCCAGCGCAGGATTGACCGGCAGCACTCGAGCTGGAATAGGATGCGTGCGATGCATCCCGCGTTGCTGCAGCACGACGGTGGGCTCAGTCCTGGCCGTTGATCTTGCTAAAGATCCATCCTGAACGAGGCTGCCCAGCCTGATCATGGAGAGTTTTGCTTTAGAACGCAGCATCTTCGCGAGCGGATGCTGCAAATAGCAGCCAATAGGTATAGCAAGAAGGTCTTGGATTCGCGAAATCCACACAATGTGCTTCAAGTGTTCGATTGCGGCGGACAAGAGACGTGGAGGAGAAGGATCAGCAACAAATGAAGCCCCAGTCTCCTTATGAGGACGCGGGAGAGCTCGTCTCAAGAGCCCACTGGGTATTTCGATGGTGTGCTCAGCACGTACCAAGGATGAACTGCAGGATCGGAGTTGGACTTCGGTGCTTGCAGTGTGAGTAGCAAAGAAGGACATGTGTACCCTGCACGTCAAGGCGATGTGTCGTCACATCCAGGGGCTTCGGAACGCTTTGGAGACACTACTACATGCACGTTGTCCCGTCCATAGATAAGGTACTCTAAGTTCATATCGAAGCTTTCATACGTCACTCAGACTTGGCCCCTCCTTTTGCAGCATGTTCGCAGCAGCCCCCTGCACGACCCTACATGTCACAAGCAGGCCTGCCTGACGCTCGCGACACTCGTGACTTCTGGTGTTCACAACTCTGTTCCAGTAACCCACCGATGTTCGACGCAATCACGGCTTTCACGTTGGACCTCGCTTGATGTTGATCAATGCAATGCAAGAAGCACACCGGTACATGCCCTCATCTAGACCAAGCACATGAGAGCCGAAAGGTGGAAATCGGTACAACGAGGTGTTGTGTTGGCGTCCAAGGACAAATCGGGAGGAGCTTACTCCGGGTATGGACGGAACCGGCTCGATGAGCATGTCGGTACTGCGCCCGTCACAGCCACACACATGCACATACCTACGCAACATCATCATGCAGCACTTGCCTAGCGCGTCTCCGCGCGTGCGCGGGTCGCTCCGCTTTCCGCGCGCCGGCCTCGCTGTGTGAAAGCGCCGCGCGCGCAAAGCCACCAGGAGATCCATGAAACACGTGACAAGCATTGCTGTTGCCAGCCACGTGATCGAGTTTGAACGCGGCGTGGCGGTGCTCTCGGTCGTTCTGCGCGGAAAGGCCTGGAAACCGCCGGGTGTGGAGGCGGTCTACTGTAGCTGCCCTAATTGTACCCATGCATGTGCACTCATCCAACAATGCGAGAGTCGCAGTGCACGCAGATCGACATGCATGCAGGAGGGATGTGGGCAGCAGTGACGCAGCAGTGACGGTCACGAGTGCGAGTACCGGTCTTGGTTCCATGTTCTACAAGTAGTGCATGTATGAGATGCGGATCGATGCTTGTCGTCTGCCCATCATCACCACACCTATCATATCAGCTCACGCGCGCCCATCCCAAAACTTGCGAGCAAGACCCAGCTGTGAAAGATGACTTCCATCGCCACCAAAATCGCCAAAGGTTTCATCGAGAAGAATGCGAAGCAGTACGAGCCCGTCGACCCATTGTGAGTTTGGAGGGGGCAGTGCCGCAGAAATTCCTGCTGAGAGCGAGCAGAATGTCTCAAAACTTCTTGTTCGTCGCTTGTCCTTGCGCAGCTACGAGGAATATATCGACAAGAATGGCAAAGAGAAGCGAAGAAAGGTGCGTTTCGCTTCTCCTTCTCCATGCCTGCTCACATTCGGATCGGAAGCGACTTGGATGGGCGTGGGCTGACTGTAGGGCTTCATCGCTCTTTGCCCTTTCTTGCCCAGCGTCCGCCTCCACCAGGCTTGACAAAACAAGAAGCCAAATTGTTGAGGAAGATTGCTAGAAGGGCACATTACCTGGACAAGGGCTTCACCATTTGCGGTTTCAGATTCGGATGGACGGTGAATTGGCGCTTTCTATGCGTCTTGTGCTCGGGCCTTGATGCTTTGCGTTTGTACATGCTTACCCCATCTTCCGCTCGACCACCGAATAGGCCATCATCGGCATCATTCCCGGCGTGGGAGATGCGACCGATGCTGCTTTGAACTACTTTTTGATCCTCAAGCCTTCCAAGAAGGGCGCAGAGTGAGTGCATATCGTCGAAGCATTCCTGCTCCATCTTGGTGCCGCGCTCAATTTTCTCTTGCTCAATTTCAAACCAGTCTGCCAGACTGGGTCGTGCGCCGCATGGCAGCCAACAATGCCGTATCCGTAGTGGTTGGATTAGTGCCAATCGTGGGGGACATTGGTCTAGCAGTCTGGCGAGCCAACTCGCGCAATTGCAAGCTGTTGGAAGAGTTTTTGCGCGTGAGGGGAGAAGAGCACATTGCGCAAGGGTTGACCGGCTTGACCGTCCTTCAACCGCTGCCCGAAGGTGCTAGGAGCAAAGATGGCGGGAATGTTCCCAAAGATCATCCGGCGCAGAAACCGGCAAAGGAACTGGTCAAGAGCCATTCGGGTCAGATCGATGTGAGCACTACTACCGCCGCTGCTGCTACTGCCAATGCGAGCAACAATGCGACTTCGAGCGCGCCTGCCTCTGCATCCAACACGGCGCCTGCTGCATCGTCCAATGCCAAATAGCTGAGCGAGCACATCCGTGGGGGGCATGGTCGCCTCTGTACACATGCTTCATGCACATGCACCACTCTGATCAGATGCCCCATCTCCTCCTCGCTTAAATCACTCGAACCACGCTCCTTCACATCCGGTCTCTAGCCCCTCATGCAATGGCAAATCCCAATACCCCATCCTCTTCTCTTCGCGCGCCAGCGCCGAATAGCAGCAAGGCTAGCTTCTCGCAGACTCGAGTCCGTCGCGCGTCTTGCTAGACTGCCTCTCGACAACCGACATGTGTCGAGCACCAAAAGGTGAGAACCGTCAAAATGCGCAGTAAATGCAACGCATGTATTGGAGTTGTGGCATTTTGTGTGCGCACAAGGGGGTAAAGCGTATACTTGAGGCTGTTGTACATTTGTCAGGAAAGAGCATTGCGGTGTGGGGGGGGATCGAAAAGTGATGCAGGGGAATGGAAAGAAAGGTGCCACCTGTGAGCCTGTCAACGCGCATCTGGCGTGACTTTAGTTGTGATGAGTTGATGTGCCTTCAGGTGATGGAGGAAAGGGGGTTGTGATAAGGCTTGATGTGTACATAAGATGCGTCTGTTTCCCCTCTGCGGTAACGTCCCGAGAGCTGGGCGCAGAAGAGCATGCGGAATAGGGGTTTCGATATCTCAAATCGGAAGTGAGTGTGTCGTTCGAGCTGCTCCACCCGAGTTTCCAGATAGGCGACTCCACGACGGTGCCCCGCCACATGACTGATGTGCTCCAAGAGGTTGCTTCTCGCACACCTGATTCACTTCAAGCGTGAAAGGTGTGGTTACAATCTGCACACACGTAGCTGAGCAACATGCGTACATGTGCGACGCTATCGTGAGCAAAGCGTCTGAAGCATGCTCCAAGGGATGCGCAGGGCTGGCTCACAAGAGGATCATACGATTGTGGATACGCTTGCCCTGATCTTGAAAGAACACAGCTCTGGCAAGAGGTGAAGCAGTTTCTACTGTTCAGCTTGCGAAAGTTGGGGCAAGCGCGGCTTGCAATCCTCGATCTAGCCTGGAATCGTTACCCGAGCAAGAACGGTCCGAGCAACAAAAGGTGACGCTGCTGTCTGCCAACCCCATCCCCATAAAGCCATTTGGCCCTATTTGCGTGGGGATGACGCCACCGCAAGAACTAGCGAAGTACCTTCACCGTCTCGACTCACTCGCTATGACCGCATCGAGGGCAAGGATGCTCGTGGGTCCTAGGCAACGTGGGATCCTGAGGCAAACCATCCACCACTCCCTGTTGTTCCTTTTGCACGCTCATCAGATCATTGCTCCAAACCTTGGTCTCTTCAGCTTCGACCCAGTAAGAGCAGTTTCTGCAAGCATAGAGCAGAACGTGATTCGTACGATCCACCTATCGTATTTGGATACGCGCCAAGCTCAGTGTCACTTGGCGCGCAAGCACCTGTGTGAACGAAACTGGCTTACCTTGGGATACAACAGGTTGGAACTAATGAGACGTAGCGTGCCGCATCAGAACGATGCCTTGGATGTATGCGTTTGGCCAAGTGATCGCTCGGCTACTCACCAGTCGAAGCAGTACGCCAACTTGGAGGAGGCCATCTTGTGCTTCCGAAGTCGTTATTGGCTACTACCAGCCCTGCACTGGATTGCGCGAGCAGACCTGTCGAGTAAACAGACTCGACTGTTCCTGCTTGATCGTCAAAGGTCCCAGGTACCACCCTGGTGGCGCAGAAACGCTGCTGAACGCTTGCCGACTATTCCCCCTTCTTGCGCCTCGCCACAAATTGGCCCGGCCAATCCTGCTCCAGCGCTGCTTCCACTCTTCAACGAAATGGTAGCGGATGCGTGAGATGATCCTTGCTGCTGTGTATAGCGCAATGGAGCTCGCGAGCAACCATACAGGAGTATCAGACGGTTGTGGTGAGGGCAATGGAGGTCAAGTGTGAGGGTGCGTCGATGGATGCGCAACATTTAAAATTGTTAGCCGACGCGCAAAGCGAGGTCGAGTCAGTACATGCGCCCCCGTCGCTTCGACCGGCGACGGTTCATGATCGAAGCAGAGAGGCAAGGCAAGATGACACGTGATGAGGCACGGTCGGCAGGTCGCGGACATCCAACGCGCCACCCATCAGTCACGAGTCGTGAGTCACGACTCATCACGAGTAGTCACGAGTGCTGTGAGTGACGCCGTGCCCTTTCATCCAGTAATCACGAATCTTGAATTACTCAGACTGACCCCAACGCGGGCGTCATGCAGCGAGGCGCGCTTTGTCTCGTGCAGCGGCATCCGCCGGTACCGCACCCGTGCACTCACTTCTACGCTGCATGGCGGAAGCGTTCGCGCAAGGGAGCCCCATCTGGGAGCACGTAGCAGTCTTGAGTGGTCGCATTCACGATTGCTGCTGTGTGAGATGGTTGTGATCATTGGGATATTTGCCATGAAGAGATTTTGGGAATCCGCGATCATGAAGCTTATGAGGATCGAAGGAGCAGTGACAGTAGCCGTGATAGACATGCGCTGACGGATTCGAGTGGATGTGTGAGTCGAACGCGATGTGAGTCGAGCTCGGACGCGAGCGGGCGTGGCAAGGTCCGGATCGGAGCTTCTGATCGAGTCAAGGATGTGCCGGTGCGCCGCGTCATGCATGCGTGGAGGATGTAAGCAATTAATCGAGGCTAGGCCCTGGGTGGTGGGGAGACTGTTGCATTTGATTATGCCAGATTTAGGTACTGTAGACATGGCGTCTGATTCTGCTGCTGGCTGTACGCTCCGTAGTGTAGTTCACGTCGGACCCTGAAGCAGGGAAGAATCGGCCAAGCGGTGCATGCGTGCCCTGCCTGCACTCACAGTTGGAGGTGCGAAATGAATGTGTGAATGTGGGAGGGAGCAAGCGGGCGAAAGTTTCTTCGGCGCTCTCTGTATGCGATATCTAGTGTTGTGAGTCGTGAGTGGGCATTCGTGTTTGGCGATTCACTTGATTCCAGATTGGCTCTCGTGATGTTCTTGAAGCACTATCGTGAATGACGAGCTGATTTAGGATGGTATCATTGTATGGACGTGCGCGCCAGCCCCTGTGGCCTTTGGGGCCTGCTACTTATAGCTCTTCCACCCAAACCTTCTGCGGAGGCTTGAATGACGCTTGAGCGTGGAGGGACGAGGCTGTTATGGTGTGCAGCGACCTGCTGCAGGGCATCTCAATTTGTATGGGCTCATCGAGTTGCTAATTTTAACAAGCACGTCGGAGTTTTGTACTTTGGGGCTCGGGCAGCAGCGACCCATCCATGATCGAGCGATCGGCCAGTCACGAGTCAAGTGCAGGTCGCGCTTTCGCTTCCTGCTGCACCCACTCACTACCCACGACTCACATCTCGATTCACGGCCTCACGAGTGATTGCCAGCACCACATATACATATGAACACAAAGCTTTCAGGCTCCAGATGACCGGCAGCAGCAGATCGGTTCAAATAGCAGCAGCAGCATCTGCCCACCCTCGCGCGCTGATCTTTTCTTGCTTCATGTCACTTTGGACGGCTGCCTCGCCGCGCTGAATCCCCAGCCGGGCAGCCTCATCAAGGCCAAAGCCATCGCGCCGCGCCCAGTGTGCGAGCACTCGGCAATAGCCGTCGCAGCTAAGATGGAGGCCTTGCCCCACATTCACGTGCCTGACAACAAGGTACCAGAGCGGCACACGGGTGACGCAGACGTCAACGTCGACTCGTACCTCGTTCAAGGTCAGGGTCAGCTTCCACCCCGAACATCGCTTGGCGGCAGCAGTCGCAGTGAGAACACTGCTGACGACAGTAGCATGGACGGAAGGCGCAGCAGCGAGCCGCCCACCACTTTTCGCCAAGAGCGAGCGAAGCGATGGCAGGAGCCAAGCGGCAGCGTGACACCGGAGAATGCCTCGCTCAACAACTACCAGGGCAGACAAGAGAAACATGATGATTTCGAATCGCGGCATGACGCCCGCCATCATCGACCCGACAACGCGGGCGCAATTGATCCCGCTGCGATGACGACGCCCGTCGTGCAAACAGGCGACGAGGAACAGGCCAAGCGGCATCTTGGCGAATTAGCTGCTGATGACGAGACAGCACAGGGCGGTGTCCGCTCAACTACACGCACCACCCAAACCACCTCATCACGAGCTGCGACGAGTCTCTCCACACCTGGCACCTCTGCCCAAGCTGTGTCCTCCTCCTCGGCCTCATCTTCACCCGCAATTGCTCTGTCGACTGCGCTACAAAGAGCAGGCTTGAACGACAAGTCCCGCATACGCTCTGGCATCCTCTCTCGATCCCCATCAGAGCGGAGCAACAGCAAGTTTTCCACAAGCGGCACCAACTCACCTGTGCCGTCCGCTTCAGCTTCGGCTTCGGCTTCGGCCCCTTCAGCGTCAGAAGACGAGGGCGGGAGCGCTCGCATACTCGCTGCTGCAAGATCCAGAAGGGCAAGGTTGGACAATCTTAGCGCCAACAGCTCCGAAGCTCACCTTGCACGCGCACGTAGACTCGATACGAGTGGCTCTCTTGCTTTCGCAGGCACCACTTCTGGCCCCACAACGCCTACAGCAATGACGGCAGCTACTTCGACCAGCAGCTCCCCTTCTGCGGCTTTAAGCAGTGCCCTCCACTCCCTTCACACGAGCCATCCCTTCTCTGAGTACGCGGGGCGCGAAGCTGCTTATTTAGCGGAAGCCATTCGGGAAGCTGGTGAAGCAAGTGCAACACACATCGATGGCTCGTACTCTGGAGCTGGCATCTATGCGCCCCCACTGTCTGCAGCTAGCTCAGCATCCGGAGGCTATCGAAACGAAAGTCAACCTCTTTCTAGGCCGAGACTACCAGCTGGAGGCGCATGGAGGTCTGGCGAGTCGAGCGCGGCAAACAGCTACGCGAGCTCCGTAGCCTCCAGGTCTGGTTCCATTCGCAGGCAGGGTGCGATGCGTCAAGGCAGCGGGGGAGAGATGAGCGCCAGCGATGATGGAGTTCTGAGCGGCGCGAACCTTGCTCGAGCCAAGAGCGTCAGCAGCGTTAGCAGCGTGACGAGCTCTAGCAGCATGGAGGCTGTCCCCTTTCGAGCAGCGCCCTTGGGAGGGGTTCGAGAAGGTTTCGGAGGGTTCAATGCCAGAGCAGCTGCTCAATCCCGCACGCTCCCTCGCTCTGCCGGATCAGCTTTGATAGGCTCTGGCTGGCCAGCCAGAAGACCAGAAGAGGATGCGGAGCCTTCGCAGACCAATGCGTCGCTAGCCGCTCTGAGTCCTACAAAACTGAAGCATACTCCGAAAGGCCCCTCTGATGCGTGGTTATTCCGCAACGCGCCTGGACTTGGCAGCACTAGGGGAGCTAGACCGATTCCTGGAGCTCCTTCGAGCTCTGTCGAGCCGCTGCGCTCGCTCTTCACCCCTTCGCTTGGGCTCTCGCCGCCCGATGGAGATTCAGCACCTTCCACGTCTCCGACGCGCACGAGAGCGAGTTCGGTGATCCGCAGCAAGCTCGCCAAGAGCGCTGGAAAGCTGGGACTCAAGCCACTGACCGTGATGCCCACCTCTGGTCCTGGTCAAGGGTCGCCTGTTATCGCTTCATTGCACTCTAGCAATCCCGTCGAGCGGATTGGTGCCGTGCTAAACCAAGCTACATTGGGCTCATCCAGCACGCCAAAGACGGCTGAAGACTCCATGGCCCTGCTGACTCCCGTACCGGACACCTACTTTGCGCATTCTGGACCCAAAGATGGCTCTTCCTCTTTCTTGCCGGAAAGCATGATGCGTACCAGCAGTGTCACGAACGCACCCCTTGTTGTACCCAAGCATCCGCCTGGACCACCAGGAACGGGACCGCCCCCTTCGCCCGGCCTCATCGGTGTGGCCAGTCCTTCCTTCATGCTGCGAACAGCCAGCCCTCGTATCAGCCCTCGGGAGCTGGCGGATGACGTCTTGAATGATGCTCATGGACACCACTTGGGGAGAGGCGCATCGGCGGAGCCAGGTTCTCAAGCAAGTGATACAGCGGCGTCTCCCTCGTCCGCCGCGCTTCAGCGCGACGACACTCTGACACCGGAGGATTCGAACATCCAGGCGATGTTCCTCGCACAGCACAGGTCAGCTTCTTCTTCCACTATAGGCCCTGGTCTGACGCCAGCCCAGCTTGTCCAGCAGCAAGCACAAGCCGGAGTGGCCGTCGTGCCCTCGGAGCCAAGCGGAGACACGCCAGGCCCATCACCTGCCTCCCCTGCTTTATCTCCTTTGCGCGAACACCCTCCTCGTACCGGCAGCGCCTTCCTGACACCAGCCTCTGCGCGCCACCATCACAACAACTCGGGCAGTTCCGGTGGAACGGCTGTGGGATCTTTAGGGACTGTCATTCCTCGCACTGCATCACCTTCTCCTCTCGGGCCTATCACCTCGCGTCCACGTCGACCTGGCCTTTTGAGAGCACTTACTAGCGAGGGGGCAATACCGCGGAACAGTAGTACGGGAGAGGCGTCGCCCAAGTCGCCCAGCAATTCATCCTCGCCAAACAGCCTCGGTCCTCATCCGTTGCGACCCAGTCGCTCAAAGAAAGCCATCCAGAGCGAAGAGTCTGTGGCGCAGTGGAAAGCGCCTGGTCGGAGCAGAGGTCTTAGCGGGAGCAGCAGCGGAACTGGAAGTAGCAAAGGTTCTAGCTCCATTTCTTCGGCTCCATCCGGTGCGATGCCACCAGCTGTGCAAGCCGCTGCCGTGCCCTCGCGGTCTCCTTCAATCGTGCACGATCTAGCCTCCACTAACCCTTTCACAGCTCCATTTACGCGCGTCGCGACCGAGCAAGGGCCTATGGGAGAAGATGCGGTGACCGACTCTCAGCCCTCGATTGCCCAGCCCTCCCTCTCCGCTTTCGTCGCCTCATCCAGCCGTCCGCCTTTACCAGGCTCGCTACCCTCTTTCGCGCCATCGAATGCAATCACGATCGACGAGGAAGCGCCTTTGGTCCCTATCAGGACAGTCAAGCGCGAAGTTGCGGCAGCTCCTCGACCGCCACCCTTTCGCTTACCCGAGGCTGCCACGTCTGCCGTTTCGCTGGACGTCCCAAAGCAGCCCATCTTGGCGCCGTTGGAACCAGCAACCGCCACCGCGCAAGCTTTACCGCAGCTTGGTGAGATATCGGAGCATCCTACCGCTCACGTCTCAGCTCCGGATTTCTCGAAGATGACGGACGCTGGGGATCGGCCAACACTTCGCGCTGCTTCTTCGCTGTCGATCGTAAACACTCCACAAATCACGAGCGCGCCTGCAGTGAGCGAAGGCGATGCTAAGGGCACGAACGCTGCGATGTCTAGTCAGCGGGCATCGCAGCTGCACACGCCCGTCAAGAGCAGCACGTCACCCGGAACACACGCGTCTCAACAACAGACGCGCACGGCGCGAGGACGTGACGACTTTGAGTTTGGCGAAGTGTTGGGCGAAGGATCGTACTCGACGGTCATCGAGGCTTGGGATCTTCTCTCCAAGCCGAGCACAGGCGCGCGCGATTCGTTCGACGAAAAGGCCGCGAAGCCGATCTCTGCCAACGCGGCGATAGCCGGTGCAGGCTCCAGCGCGATTCGCAGCGCTGCGATTCGCAACGAAGGACGCAAACGCTACGCCGTCAAGGTCCTCGATAAGGTGCACATTCTGAAAGAGAAGAAGCAAAAGTATGTGGCGGTGGAGAAGGAGGCGCTCAGCTTGTTACTTCGCCATCCGGGTGTGGTCACGCTTTACTGGACCTTTCAAGACCGAGATAGTCTTTGTGAGTATGATCAAAGTCAAGACATCGGACTCGGCCGTCCACATACTGACTTCACACATTCGATGTCCTCTGCCTCATAGATTTCGTGCTGGAGCTTGCTCCTAAAGGCGAGCTCCTCGGCCTGATCAAGCAGCACGGCTCTCTTGATAGTCTGAGTGCAACATACTTTGCTGCTCAGCTGGTCGACGTCATATCGGGGATGCACGCAGTTGGCGTGGTGCATCGAGACATCAAGCCAGAGAACGTGTTGCTAGATGCGCAGTACCGCATCCGCATGGCCGACTTTGGTTCCGCCAGCATCCAACGCCAGCCTTCTGGCAAGCCGCAAGTACCAAGGGCAGACGGCACCAATGCCCAAGAAGGTGCGCGGCCACGCACAAGCAGCTTTGTTGGTACGGCCGAGTATGTCAGCCCAGAGCTGCTCACCGAGAAAGCTGCGACGCACAGCTCGGATTGGTGGGCCTTTGGATGCGTCCTTTACCAAATGATAGCTGGCAGACCTCCATTCAAGGGGCCCAACGAATACCAGACGTTTCAGCGTATCATCAAGCGCGAGTACGAATTTCCAGAAGAATTTCCGAATGACGCAAAAGATCTCGTAGAGAAGCTGCTCGTGCTCGATCCAGCGCAGCGCCTCGGGACCGGACCGGATGGCGTGCAAAGCATCAAAGGTCACGCTCTCTTCCGAGACGTGGACTGGTCCTCCGTCTGGACCTGTCCAGTCCCTGATATACAAGCGGGCATCTTCAAGAAAACGGTACCTGCAACTCGACCGCCGCAATTTGCTTCAGGGGATGATGGCTTTGGCAGCGATGCTTGGGCCGAGGGATCCATGGATTCGACCGACGAGGAGGAGTCTGCGGGCCACAACAGAGATGCGAGTCGCTCCGCTGCTTCGTCGGACGCGGGCGCCGATCAGTCTGCACGGTCTCTTGCGAGCGAGCCGGGAGAGGGAGGTCAAGAGGCTGATGATGATGACTCATCGAACGACGAAGCACCCAGAACCTCGCGTCGGAGGAACACGTCTTCCAATCGTCTCAGCAGCAACATCCTGCGCGTCGCCGCTAATATCGCTGGTGCTATGGGCGGAGCAGATGTGATGAGCACCGGTTCGGCCAAAGGCAAAGTACCGCAAGCACGCAATTCCATCTCTGGTCTGCGTGCAACGCAAAATCGCTTCTCCACGGCTTCGCTCGACTCGGCCAACTCGAGTCCGCACAGCTCCAACGTGGCCTTCCCAGCGACGGCGGGCGGACAAGAGGCTTTTCGCAACGCGCCAGACTTGCAAGCGCAAGTAAGAAGCTGGGCAGCGCTCCTGTTGCCGCAAGAAGCGCTACTGTTTGCAGGGCCGGTCATTCAACGCAAGACGGGAGCTTTCAGAACGACTTCTAGAAGCAGGCAGCTATTGCTCACCGATTTTCCTCGACTGCTGTGCGTCAAGGAGACTGAGGATCAGCTGGTTGTCAAGAGTGAGGTGATCCTTGCTGTGCCGCGCGGGTCTAGCCCCTCTCGTCTGTCGAGCGAGAGGCAGCCTCATTCGCTTGAAGGACCTCATTCGGGATCAATGACCGCTACTACCCCTTCGAGTCGATCTAGCCTGCTGGCGCAACGTAGAGACAGCAGCAGCGCTTTGTCCCGAATGGCAGCCATCTCTCCGGACGCTGCGCCAAACTTTGTGACCGCTGTCGAAGCAAAGGGCTCTCGTGCATTTGTTGTGCACACGGTGAGTCCGCCTTTGCTGCTGTGCGATGATCAAGATGCGACTGACCAGTCGTGATGACGCTTGAACGCTTCTTAGCCGGCAAGGACTTACCTGTACGAAGATTCTGCTAGTGGCGATGCTACGCATTGGATCAGATCCATCATAGCTGCCGCTCAGAGGTCGTGAGGTGTGGGCCATCTGCATCGCGAGCACTCGTTGCCTCTTGATGCTATCCCGAGGAAAGACGCCTTTGTTTGCGTTTCATCGCGCTATACAGTTGCGCAGTGCTTCTCCGCCGCGACCTGCTTCACCGCTGTCATGTACCCACATTCACCGTCATCGAATTTCTAGACAGCCAGCGGAGGCTAGCGACTGCTGGACAAGGACCCCGAAAAAGTCCCGTCGCCATGACGATTTTCAATCGACTGGCAAAAACTGCCCCGCCCGCGCTCCATCGCGCCTGCCAATTTCACTTGGCCTTCCTTTCTCCGTTGTACTCAAGTCACCCTCAACCTCATTGATGCACGCTCGCACACACACACACACGCACACACACACACACACACACATACTCACACATACTCACACACACACTCTCACACACACACACACACACACACGAGACACTACTCTCACACACGTGCAAGCAAAACAAAGCGACGCACGCCTACTCGCTCACTCGCGCGAACTGAGCGGAGGCGAGGGGGGGAAAGACAAACGAAAGACGTTTACGAGATTGGGGCATTGGACGGAATGATTGCAAAGTTCGTGCCTTGGCCCCCCCCTCCATGTCTTTGCGTGTGGAGATACGTGTGGGCGCAGCTGGGGTCCTCGATCGCGTTCTTAACTTCGCAGCTTGGATGTTTGAGGGGTTTTGCGGTAAATCACAATGTGGTGCAGAGCCATATGGTCTTGGGCGTGACAAGGCCGCTATATAGCTCACCCATGTTACCTTTTCGGGGGAAAAGGAAAAAGAGGGGGGCGGGGCGGGGCACGCGCGTAAAATGCTTTTTTTCGTTTGTGCGAATGCTGTGGACTTTTTCTCGTGAAAGATAAGGGGGCCCAAAAAAGCCGGATCGGATCCCTGGCTGATGCCGTTCTGAAATGGGGGGCGGATGAGAGAGGGCGCGCGCGCGCGCGCGTCGGTTTCGGGAAACGCACGCTATCCATCGTTATACCCCTCGCAGTGGATCATTCGCACTCGTATCACAGAGCGACGGACGGAAAATAAAGTCCTGGCATTCGTGCTATATGGGCAGAATGTGTGTGTGCGTGTGCGTGTGCGTGTGCCATTCATGCATCTTCTTGCTGCTCCAACTCTGCCCACGCCCTCCTCTTCTTTTCATTCATCACGGCCGCTTTCTCAGCGTTGCGCGCTGTACGTTCTAACCGCTGTTGCGTTCGGGGCGGGGGGGACAGCAAGCAATTCTGACCATGCGTCAGTTTCGTGTGGAATGTGAAGAAGCGTGAAGACGCGTATATGATTGAAAGCGAACCGAGTGCATGCGCGCCTCCCACTCCCAGCCACTTCGCAAGCCATATCCTCCATGCACTTGTGCCAAAGGAACCTTTGCCCCCCCCCACCGACTTGGCGTTGGTGAAGCACTCACCTCTTTTCTCAGACACTTGTTCAACTCCAACTTGACATCATTGCAACCTCCGGTGATCTTGTGCCAAAAACCTTTCGCATGACACTCATTCAACGCTCGTATCAGCTCCCCACATTCTGAGCACCCCTCGCCCGCCCGCACCCCCCCAAAGGTCAATTTGCCCCCCCGTGGCAAATCAAAAAGCGCAAAATGTCAAATGGTCAGTCAAACGTGTTGCGGTATAGCATTGCCAACTTGGCCTACTGGGGCCTGGCCGGCCTCAAGTCGAGTCGAGCGGAGCAGGGAAGAGGGCATGCCATGCCAAGCTGCCCCCTCGCTCCGTCCCGCAAAAGCGTGCGGTACCATTCCGCATTGATCCGTCTCAAGGCTGGGGGCAAGAATGCAAGAGGGGCATGCTGCTCGAAAGCGCAAGTTGCGCAACACTCACGTTCTTGCTTCGAAGCTGAGAGAGCCTGAACGTAGCAGAACGTGGGGGCGAAGGAGGAGAAGCAATAGAGGGGAGAGGGGGGAAACAAAAAAGGGGGGACCAAAGGGATTCAGTCAGTCTCTTCTACGCGCAATGCTTGGATGAATGAGAGGGGCCTCAGAGGGAGCTTTATGACTCACGGGATGCATCCTTGGGATCTTTATCAGGCCTTTTCAGGACCTCAGTAGTCGAGCAGTGGGGGGTGGGGGGAGGGCACGACTGTGAGACCAGAAAGGTGCGCCCTGAGCTGAGCTAAGCTACAGATGCAATAAAGCTTGAAGCGGTGATTTGCAAATGCCTTCTTTCTCTTCGCCTCTGCTCGATCCCTTGCGACGCCGGCGCTGTATAGGTGTATACTAGCGCGCTTCAGAGCTGTTCAATTCGGCAAGGAGCGTTTGCTAAGCCCCTTGCGATCGCCCTGATATCCCGTTCAGAGTGGCGGGGTCGATGAAGCGCGAGACGAGTATTGTATTTGACTTGGGGGATTATTGCAAGTAGAACGAGGGGCGATGTGAGTGAGGCTGGTGATGTGTCTGCGTGGAGGTGGAGATGAGTCAAGACGTTGGGACAGGGTCACGAGTTGAAATCAATCGGAATCGTGGGTAAATCTACGTCAAGCTTGACTCAAACTCGTAATTGATTGTACGCGCGGTGGAAAAGTTCACGACGAGTTGCCCGCATAGCATATTCACGATTCAGATTCAAATTTACGTTCGCGTTCCTCCACATGCACGTGACCCCCCTTCTCTCGCTACGCCATGCAGCAGTCTGAGTCAAAAGTCGTGAGTGCTTGCATATAGCATAGGGCATCAAATTCGACTCTAAAGACGAATTGATGGCGAAAAGGCTCAGCTCGAGGTCAATCAAATGTTGCGCTTGGAGTTGCTCCTTGATCCTCATTACACCATATGCCTCTTCCTCGCACACCGTGAAGACTGCGCTCTCTCTCTCTCTCCCTCCCCGCTACGTGCAGGCGATGGACTGCGGCCAGCAGCTCTACAGCTCTACGACGCTGTGTTGGTGACGGTGACACAGAGAGCCAGTCCTCGTCTTGGGGCTGCGAGAATGAAGGGTCAGAGAGGAATCATCAGAGGTGTCGCTGCTCAGACTCGTCGTGCGACCACGACGGGCACGGCACTTGACAGATCCACTCAGCACGTTGCGCGCCTCCATTCCATTGTACAACCAGCAGGGTCATGCAATTCGAGCAATCCTTCACTGCAAGCACGCTGTATCGCCATCGACACCACCAACAGCGCACGTGCACGCGCACTTGCACGTATCGAGCGTCGAGTGTCAGCCTCGCAGGTCGCATCTCTCACCTCGATCGAATCCCATTCACACAAGTCCACACCGCCGCGTGCGACGTCGAGGGAGGGATGGCAGGAAGAGTGGACATGGGAGCCCGTGATAGGCGTCGAAGTGCACGCTCAGCTCGCATCCAGGCAAAAGCTCTTTTCGCGTGAGTCCGACGCCAAGTGTCTGTTGCAAAGCATGGCAACGGCAATGGCAACAAGCTTGGCGTTGCAATGTGCGCTCCTCTCACCCCCCCCCAACTTACTTCGCTGCCACACTGCCCCCCGCTCCCAATGAGAGTAGCAGCAAGTCTAACATCCAACACCTCTGCAAAGCCCAACACGCTCGTATCCCCCTTCGACGCTTCTTTGCCCGGCACCCTACCCCGTCTATCCACTTCCACCCTCAACTTGGCTATCAGAGCTGCGCTCGCGCTGGGCTGCCACATCAACCTGAAAAGCGGATGGGATAGGAAACACTACTTTTATCCTGATCTTACAACCGGATGGCAAATCACGCAAAAGTACGGTGAGTGAGTGAGTGGGTAGCAGGGGCAAGAGCTAGGTGGAATAGCATGATAAAGTCACATTTCGGGATTGGCAGGCACGCGGAATGGAGCCACGCGGTCTGATCGACCATCGAGGAGCTAGGCCATTCGATCCTGACACTTTCCTGCATCTCTTTCCTCTCGCTCTCTCTCTCTCTCACACACACACGAAAGCGCCATTTGCCTCTGATGGAAGTATCTCGCTATCCGCTAGCGATATCGATGGTCACAGACCCAAACGCAAGGATGAGCCTCTCTCTTTGCCCGCAGAAGAAACGCGCAACATCCGCATCGAGCGAGTGCAGCTGGAGCAAGACACATCCAAATCCTTTCACAGCATAGACGGCAGCACCAACTCCCCTCAAGTGCTGATAGATCTCAACCGCATGGGATCTCCGCTGATAGAGATTGTGGGCCTGCCGGATCTGAAGAGCGCAAAGGAGGCTGCTGGGTATGTTAGGAAGGTGCAGCAGGTGCTTAGAGCTGTTGGAGCTTCGAACGCCAATATGGACGAAGGAAGCTTGAGATGCGACGTCAATGTGTCTGTCAGCAAGCGTCGAAGGAGGTCCGAAAGCTCGGCGTCTGGAACAGAAGGGCAGGCAGCAGAGGAGATGGTCGGAGGAACTCGATGCGAGATAAAGAATCTGAATTCGGCCAGATTCGTGGCTATAGCCATTGACTACGAGATTGCGCGTCAAATCTCCATCCTGCAAAGCGGAAGTTCGGTGTCGCAGGATACGATGGGATTCGATGAGGCGACGGGAAAGACGTACGTGATGAGGTCCAAATCGGACGCGCCAGAGTACAGGTACATGCCGGATCCTTCATTGCCCGATCTGGTTCTGCGCCAAGAGGACGTGAGGGGGATAGAGGAGGATGCTGCGGAGCTGCCTGCCGAGAGGAGGCAGAGACTTTTGAAAAGGTTTGCGGGATGTGGTGTGGGAGAGAGGGAGGTGGATGTGCTTTGTAGGATGGACGAGGAGATGGCTTTTCAAAGGGAGAATGAGAGAGCATTGAGGTGGGGTGCCTCGGGGAAGCAAATAGAGGAAGAACAAGCCTACCTCGACCCTGTGCAATACTTTGAAAAGGTGGTGACTGGAAAGGAGCAGCACGATGGCAGGACCCTGGAATTTAACGATGCGGACCGCGCAATCGACGAGCGCTTTGCGAGGGATCCGAAAGTGGTGATGAATTGGTGAGTGGGACGTGTGAAGAGGACGAGCTTCGAGGGGTGCATTCCCTGTCCTCCGAGGCTTTGGCACGCCTCGCGCGATTTTCATAACGTCCTAGCTGATCTATTTGATGTCCGATCCTTTCACTCCGACGCGTGCTCCTTCTATGCGTCGTAAAGGCTGATCAATGATGTCGCTCAAGCTCTCAAACAATCCTCAGGACAATCCGCAGTCACCTGCACCTGCACCACCACCACCTCCTCCTTTGGTCGCTTTCAAAAGCTCTTTCCTCATGAAGCTTTTGGCGAGATGCTGGATCTGGTCAAGCAGAAAAAGCTGACGAGCACATCTGCTCGGAAATTTCTTCGGGATGTGGTCGATGGCGATGTGCGGCTGGATCAAGTCTCGTCCTCCTCCTCCTCCGATAGGATATACGAGTTGTTGAAAGAAGCAGGAATGCTCGCATTGAGCGCTTCCCTTGCCCACGACGGTGATTCCGTCGTCGGTGCCGGTACCGCTGGGCATGCCACTTCGCCGCAGCACCGGCGGTCCGAATCGACGACGAAGCAAGACCCTACGCCGCTGCTCGCCATCGTGCAGCAAGTCGTTCGCCACTCGCCCGACGAGGTGAGAGCGATCAAAAGGGGCAAGGAAAAAGTGCTGATGAAGTTGGTGGGCTTGGTGATGAAAGGTACAAAGGGAAGGGCGGATCCTTTGCTCGTGCGACGCATGCTCCAACAAGAACTGATGAAGAGCTAGTCGAGATTTTCATTCTTGAAGCTTCTTGTAATTCGAATAGAGCGCGCGCGCGCGCGCACGAATTATTCCCAAGGTTTACCCCTTTCGATGGACATCGGTTCGGGGTGATGTTTCGTCATTTTAAATCTTTTTCATCGTCATCGTCGTGGATCGTCCTGAGCGCTGTCTGGTCGAGCAATGCAGTCGAAGGATGAAGAGGCCACAAACATTTTTCCGGGGGAGCACACGTGCGAGTTTCATCACGAACACGGGTCCCCTCCTGATTGTCTTTGCGGGGGTCCGTGTAGACGGAGAAAGCAGCTTTACATTCGGTACGAAATACATTGGCAAGGAGGGGGATGAGGGAGGGGCGGGAGCGCGGAGTGCAGAGAATAGGAAAAAGTCCACGAGTGAGTGGGTGCGGTGGCGTTTGTGTGGAGATGTACGGGGAACATGACGTGGGCGGCACAAATGGAGCAAAATCGAGAATCGTCCCTTGGGAGTGAAAGGCTGATCAGCGCTCGAGCTGACTCTGGAAGACTTGGTGCTCTGACTAGGAGCAGAAGGGGGGGAGGGGGGGGGGGATCGGGGAGGGGGCGGGAGCTACGCTTGTGTTTGGCGGACAGACGCGAAGGTGGGGGTGGAAGACACGAAAGCGCTCGAGCCCAGATAGGCTATGCGCGTTCGGATGAATAGCGTAGAGAACATGTACGGTGTCAATTGTGCATCGTACAAGGGGACATGCCGATAGCCTGGGAATGGGAGCGAGTCGTTGATTGTCCGAAAGAGCGCCAAAGCAAGAATCGGATAGG